TTCAATTATATAAATCTACTATTTAAATATGACAGTTTTTTAAATATAATCTCTAATATAATTTATATAAATTCTTGGAATGGATTGTAAGTTTGGAACTCATAGTAGGATAGGGATATAGAAGTATGAGCAAATAATTAAACATTTCCAATTTTGGATTATTCAGATTTCTTAATTTAAAAGTGTATGGTTGGGAATTTTAGCAAGGCAAGAGCATGATAGTGAAACGTGAAGCGCGGGCCATGCTCAACAATGACGGATGTGTGGGATGGGGGCGACAGTCGCCTTCAACATTTTTGAATTCTCTAATTATTTAGTAAAAAAAATATTATTAATTTATTATTTTCGTTCTCCAAAATTATCTTCCTTACTTCCAAAATTTTGACAGGGATGCATCAAAAGCATGCCTACTCGGCTACTCCTCTATTTTGCCTATTCTTTACTTCAACCACTTATGTATACCATTTATTACAATTCTCTCTTCCCTAGAGTTCACTTATATTTATCTTTAGGTAATAGAAGCTTTAATTAATTAATTAATTAAATTTATAGTGGCAATTCGAATTAAATTTGCATAAATTCAATTTATTTATAAACTAAATCCATAAAAATAGAGATTTTTTTAAGAATTATTTTTAATTTTATCTTTTTACAATGAATGGTTATAAATATTTTATTTAAAAATTTATTTTTTATTGGTTTAGTTCTTATTCAATGTAGAACTTATGCAACAATAATTTTTGAACTAATTTTTAGTATTTTGACCGAATTAAAACTCTATTTTATTAATTACAGTGTTCATTGACATAACATTTATAATAACTTAGATTGTAAGAGTTTTTCTTATGAAACATTAAATACCATAATATTTAGCTTTAAGTGTTTAGCGTCTTAGCTTTTAATTAACTTTTTTGAATATCATATCCATTATTTTTCTTTTTTTTGAATTATCATTTTTATCGTTTTAAGTTAAACAACTATATTTACTAAATATTTTTAATTTAAACCGCTATGTAAACAACAATCAACTAAAAATTAATATTTTTACTATAATAGTTAATAACTACTAAAATAATTAATATTGCCGAAAAAAACATTAGCAAACACATGATAAAAAATTGCCCTTTACGACAAACAATTGTTGTAGCTGGCATAGAATTAATATATAGGACCTTCCTTCCCACTTGATTCTGATAATGTGTAAACCGCAACTGAGAATTAGGCATATATAGTATATTCACAAGTGACAGTGACATATATGTATATACACACGCACATGAACAGCGGCATCTTTACAAGAAGCTGAGTTCTCTATGGGTGAAATCGCTGCAGGTTTCCGTCGTCAATATATGTGTTCATATGAATGTTATCTTTTACATTCTCTGCCACCACCCAACAATCACAACGTCAAAGACTGTGGAGTGAAATAGGTACAGTCTGCTTTAATATTTTTCACCTTCGACCCTTTGGACTATAGACGCGTACAATCTATATTCTATATGGCCCATTTCGATTTGTCCAACTTCGTTTATAAAAAGAAAGAAAAAAAAAAATCTTTCAATCATTCTTGCAGTTTCCTTTTCTCCGGCAAATGAAACAGAAATATATAAAATAAAAGAAAATCCTTTCATTGATTCAGAGAACCCTATCTCTTTCTCCTTGGCATTATTGTCAGGTTTGAAAAATGCCGTTATTGGAGTCAAGAAAATGGATTTAAAGCTGCGAACCAGTACTTATTATGCAGAATACATATGAAAATTGTTTGATTAAATCATCAAGCAATTCAATAATTGACCCATATGCTGAGAGAGAGTGTGTGTGAACAATAACAAGCCATGTCAAGAATCTGGACCCAGTACAGTGTCTTCACTCTTCATCAGAGTGATAGCTACGAAGTACTAACAAACCAATAATGGAAATCAGTACGCGTAAGCCATTCACAATAAAGTTGATTTGAACAATCTCCGTCGTCGTCCTCTCTCAAATAATTATGTTTTTTAAATACCCTAGTAAGAAGTTGCTGTATCCATGTATCCACTTGGAGGCAATGGCGATACGATGGTGACCAAATCAGTGTTTTGGAATTTTGATATATTGCTAGCTAGCAGTGAGCTTGATGTTTGTACAAAGGGATTTTATTTTTTCTAGCTTTAGGGGAGCTGGGAGTATCTTGTTAGGACTTTAATAATTAATGGAAATAAAAACTTGTGTCTCCTTTGCTACTTTGTACTGAAATGGGACCTTATCAGTCAATGCAAAAGCTTGAAGGCCACTGTGCTTCAAGTCCCTCGCCACTAGACATGCTTCCCATTATGGAGGCAAGAGAAAGTTGGAAGAGAAACTCTAGTTCTGTTTCTGTAGCTTATGAAATTAGGAGAAACCAGAAATTTGACCCCTTTTTTATTCATTCATTCTCAAAAATAATAATTTACCTGAAAAGTGTTTTTGAATTCTTTTAAAATAATGTTAGAAAATATTTTCATAGTCAAATAAAAAATTTAAAAATTTTAATAAAAAATGACTTTCCATCTTAAAAGAAAAAAATATTTTTCAAATTTTCCTATTTTAAAAAGAATATATATACTAAGAAGGCGTTGGTTATGATAGTAAAAAATCTCAATTCATGTAAAAGAGATAATATAAATTTGATCTCCCAAAAATGCACTTTGCGGGAAGAATAAAAAATTTTTATGTTTTACGACTCAATAAGGATTAAACTTTCTGGTTATACCCAAAACTTTATGGTCACCATTCAATACCTCACCATCTATTACTATTTGTCATAAATTTATCATTTTTATGCATTTTTCTTCAAATTGAACAAAAAAATTTTTGAAATATGAAATTAATTTAATTAAAAGTATGATAGCATAAATTAAGAATTTTAATAGTTTTTCTGGGTTGGAGTAAATTGGGGAGACATTGCTGGTAGATTGTAGTTAATGTTGCATCTATTTGATTCATACAAGGTATTTGAATTGGTTCTAACTATGGACCCAAAGGGAACTATATATTATATAAATGGAAAAAGGTTAAAAACATACATTTTTGGGGTTATTTCATCCTTGTATTTCCCCCCCTTGGGGTGACAGTTTACATACCAGACAATGCACTAAATGGAGTGGTTCTTTGTGTGCCCAACTTGATTTGCATATCAAGGTAACTGGACCCATCTTGACCTTATTACTATTATTATTCACAGGACATTGTTGTTGAAATTGATTACATAGTACAAAAAGTGGTTAGCAAGTTCGTTAATTAACTCCTAGGAAAAACATTTTCCATAATATAGTAGTTTAACATTGGGTTAATTATAAAGTTTATCATATAATCATTCTTCATTAACTAAAATGCAATTATACCCTTGAAAAATTCAGATATTTAATGCACATCCCTTACTAAAACCACACATCAACGCTGGGTCCTCTGTATTGGGAAATTATTAGAATACAAATATAGTATCTTTGACCAACTACTATAGCAAATTTAAGGAAAAAGGACCGACTATTATTACACATGAGATATAAATATAAAATTTGATTAAACAAATGTATATTCATCTTAATACAACCTTAAATATTCATTAAACAAATGTTTATTCACTTTAATATATAATAAATATTTAATTAATTTAATTTTATAAGTTAAAATGTTGAATAAAATAATTTTAAAAATTGAAGTGTCTAATAAATATGAAATACTAAAAATTAAACATTCTATGAATTAACCTTTTATAAAATATATTTTAATCTCTAAAAACCTTAATTTCTATAAATTAATTTAAATATTATATTATTAATCACTATAAAAAATAAAATTTATTATTTAAAAAATATCTAACACTACAAACTACTAAAACAACCTATGCCTAACACACCTTTAATATTTAATGAGTTAAGAGTAATAGTTAAAGTGCATTGGTTAAATTTATGCATTAAAAAAAAAAAAAAAAAGTAAAAATGTTGAATAAAATAATTTTAAATTGAAAAGTGTCTAATAATATGAAAATACTAAAAATTAAACCATCTATGAATTAACCTTTTATAAAATAATATTTTAATCTCTAAAAACCCTTAATTCTATAAATTAATTTAAATATTATATTATTAATCACTATAAAAAATAAAATTTATTATTTAAAAAATAATCTCTAACACTTGTTACAAACTACTAAAACAACTATGCCTAACCACCCTTTAATATTTAATGAAAGTTTAAGAGTAAATAGTTTTAAAGTGCATTGGTTTAAATTTAGCATTAAAAAAAAAAAAAAAAAAAAAGGTAAGAGAGTATATCAGGCATATGTTGGGTGGGAGTAGGGTAGATTAGAATTTCGAGTGGACGTCTGTCAACGTGGCAATGCATCTTTTGTTTCATGGGCAGCCCACCACTCCTTACCTTTCAACTTTAAGAAGATGAGAGAGAGAGAGGGAGAGATTCATTTGGAACCGATAGCGGGCAAAAAAAAAAAAAAAAAGTAAAGAGAGTATATAAGGCATAATGTGGGTGCGAGTAGGGTAGATTTAGAATTTCGAGTGGCGTCTGTCACGTGGCAATGCATCTTTGTTCATGCAGCCCACCACTCCTTACACCTTTCAACTTTAAGAAGAGAGAGAGAGAGAGAGAGAGAGATTCATTGGAACCGCTAGCGGACTTTGCAAGGCTAAAACTTTTTTACTTTTTTTATTATTTTTATTTTTATTTTCACAGTCTCACTCTTAGACGTTATAAAAAGTAGTTTGGAAAAAAAAATATAAATAAAATTAAAAGAGTGGGACAATCAACTATGTCTCTGAGGAGGTGAAGTTTTTAATAGGAGGGTTGACAACGAATATACCTGAAATGACATTTACCCCCCTTGTCATTTCTGTCTTTATACAAAATTCTTTAGTAAATAGTCTTTCTTGTTAAGGACTTTATTGTAAACTCACTAACTTCTTCAGCTTACAGTATACTTAAAACCTATGCATGGGGTTTTTCTTCTTCCTCTGGTTTTTTTTTGGGTTAATCTTTAAAGAGAAAAAAAAAAAAACACAGGCCCTTTTCTTGCTACATCAGTTTTCCTCGTAACATTGAACTTATATTTCCTTCGTTAGTTTGCGTGAGATATATATAAGGTATTTGGTACCAGCTTTGTCTAGTCAGTCTCTCTCCTACCTCCTCAGTCTCTCTCTCTCTCTCTCCAATTATTTTATCTTTCCAAAATATCAAGTCTTCAAACAAAAACCAGACTGGTTTTTAGTCTCCAGCTTATAGGCATAAAACCATAAACCAGCTCTAAATCAAGTTTTTAAGCTAAACCCCAAAATGCTTGTGTCTCCTAGTCCTATCCGTGAAGTTTTTGTCTTTTTTGCTGATAACCCGTTGCTTCAATATTTCTCAAGTGTTGAGGTGGTGTAGTTTTAAGTGGGTTTTTAATTCTATATGGATTTTGGGGTGGTTGGTTTGGAGGGGTTAGTGGCCGGTTCAGACACTACTGGCAGTAGTTTTGCATCTCTTGCTAGTTCAGATCCTGAGACAAAGCACAAGTGGTACGGATCTGGGTTTCTCAAGCAAGAGAGATCCGGTACTACTGAAGATGATTGGAGGAGCTCTAAACTGTCCAAAACTGAGTCAATGCTGCTTCCACAGAGAAACACTTTACTTAAATCTAATGCCACTAATCTGTTTCCTGATGGGAATCAACAGCAGCAGCAGCAGATGCTGAGCTTCGCCTGTCCTAAATCAGAAAGTCTTACTGTTGATAGGAGCTCTCAAAATCTCACATTACCTTACTTTCACCTCACTTCTGCTTATAATAGAAATACAGGTACTGTAGGTGTATATTTATTGGGGTATGCATATCATATTATTTTGAGAAAATGAAAGCGATACATGCGTATATCTTTGGTTCCCTCTCGGGGAGAACAATGAAAATGGCTTTACGGGTAAAGCTTACATAAAAATATGGGGTGGTTGTAAACGATTAGACGTTTGGTCTGATTTTAAAGATGGGATGTTATTGGCTAACTGGGGGCTTTGATTCTTACTAGTGTTGGAAGTCTTTTCAGGGAAACTCTAGGAGTCGTCTTTGTTTCAAGTCATGTCAAAGAAAAAGTGGATAAATTTTTGTTTTTCTATCCCATGAAATCCGTCTTTCTGTTTCTGGGTTAGGGGTTTTGGCGATTAAACCAACACAGATCAGTGTGTACAAAAGAAGTAAAATTTATATAGGAGAAAACAGGAGCAGCAAGAAAAATCTGAATGACTCTGACTGGGTTGATGATTCTTTGTGTTTCTCTTTTCTTTTTCTTTTATTTTCTTGCTCTATCAAAGACAAGAAATTCATGATTATTGGAGCTCCTTAAATGTTGCACAGAAAGCTTATAATTTCGGGTTCCCTGCCACACCCCTTTCTTTATTTCTTTTTTGTCCTTTTTACCAAGATAGCCCCTTTTTTTTTTTCCATTTCCAGTTATTTAGCCATATGCCTTTGAAATTTTGGCTTTTTGTGCTTTGCATTTCTTCCACTGTGCTTTTACCCAATCTTTTCTTGTTTCATCTTTCAGGGTACAATTATGGAAGCTTCAACAGTGCAAATATGCATGGAGCTTTTACAGAGGCTAGAGGACCATTTAGTCCATCTCAATGGATGGAGCTTGAACATCAGGCCTTGATCTACAAGTACATTACTGCTAATGTTCCTATACCATCTAATCTGCTCATCCCTATTAGAAAAGCTCTTGATTCTGCTGGGTTCTCTAGCTTTTCAGGCGGACTTCTCAGACCCAATACATGTAAGTTCTTTTTTTGTCTCTTTATCCTGATAAGAAAGAGAACTTTTTTGTTTTTTAATTTTTCCATAGGATTTGCATGTCTGTCTTCCAAAATGATTCTCAAATTTTCAGTTTTGATTTGCCAAGTTACTATATTTGGATTCCTGGGTAATGGTTAATTTTTCTAACAGTAAGATTACTTCTATAAGTACTTTTTTTTTTTTTTTGGGTTTTCCTCGTAGTGCTCTGTTAATCAAAGTACAAATTGTCACTAAGCATAAGTTATTGGTCCTTGAAATATGCAATTTTTTAAGGCATTTTCTGCTGGAAAAAAAAATTCCAATGTTTTAGCTGCATTCAATCAAGTACTTTTAGTTAAGAGAAAAACCAAAAGTGTTGGAATTCTAATATATTTATTTGTACATAATTTTTTTCGGTGTTTTGTTCTGATGTTAATTTCAGTGTCATGGGGTACTTTCCATCTGGGATTCTCTAGCAACACCGATCCAGAGCCAGGACGGTGTCGTCGAACGGATGGGAAGAAATGGCGGTGCTCAAGAGATGCGGTTGCCGATCAGAAATATTGTGAGCGGCATATGAACAGGGGCCGCCATCGTTCAAGAAAGCCTGTGGAAGGCCAATCAGGCCATTCCGCCGCAGCCGCTACAACCACCACTGCAAAGCCGATGCCCAGTGTCTCCTCTACTTCCTCCTCTTTGTCAGCATCAGTGGTGGGGCTTCGCGGTTCCGGCGGCGGCTCGTCGAACAGCCTCGCCATTACACATCACCAGCAGCAGCTCAAGAACTTACAGCCAGATAGCTCATCTAATCTTTCGGCTGCTGCTCCCCTTAGCAGGTAAAAGGAAAGCTGTCTTTGATGTTGAAATGAAGACGGAAATGAATGCGTAATTAATTTCAACGAATCTTATTTTAAATTTATTTTTAAATAACTAAATAAAAATTGATGATTAGATTAAGAATTTCAGTTTAGGCTGAGTCTAATGGAGGTGAACTTCTATTTGCCAGAAGATGGAGATGGAGTCCCCTTTCTAATATTAAAAGTAAAATTTATATAAAGATCAAAAAATATATAGAAGAGTTGCCTTTCCTGTATTGAAATGAAAAGAACTAAATTCTATTTCAAGAATTGCATTCTAATATCAAATCATGTCGTATGGAACGACTAATGAGGCAATATATATTTTCAATTAATTAATCAATTCATATATTTTGTTACGTCGCAGGATGTTTCTTGATCAAGAGAAGGTGGGTGAGAGACTGCATGATTCACCCAGCTTGTCCATGCTATCGTCCAACATTGACATGAAATCTAAAGAAAACACATTCTTTATTTCAAAAGGATGTTCACAAATTGAGTTTGGACTTGTCAACTCTGATTCACTTCTTAACCCATCACAGAATAGCTCTTCCTTGATCAGTTGTCGGAACTTTGGTTCTTCTCAGGACCTAACTGACCAGGAAACTGTTTCGCAGCATTCTGTTCGCCAATTCATCGATGATTGGCCTAAAAGCCAGTCTGATAAATCTTCTGTTTCATGGCCTCAACTTGATGTGCAATCAGATAGAACTCAGTTATCAATTTCAATCCCTACTATAGCTCATACAGACTACATGTCCTCCACGTCCTCACCAAACAATGAAAGAGTCACTCTTTCTCCATTAAGATTATCGCGAGATTTGGATCCAATACAAATGGGGCTCGGAGTTGGTAGTGTTCTTAATGAACAAAGCCAAAGGCAAGCAAATTGGATACCCATTTCTTGGGAAAATTCAATGGGCGGTCCCCTTGGAGAGGTTTTGCATAATACAAATAATAGTGGTTCAGAATGCAAGAGTTCATCAGCTCTAAACTTAATGACGGAAGGATGGGATAATAGTCCTCAGATAGGTTCATCTCCTACTGGGGTCTTACAAAAGACTACATTTGCTTCGCTTTCGAATAGCAGTGCTGGTAGTAGCCCCAGAGCAGAGAACAATAAGACTAATGAAGGGGCAAGTTTGTGCAATGACCTTCTTGGTTCAACACTAGTTCATTCTTCTTCATTGCCAGCACTGTAACTACTTGACCTGCTAGACTGATTGAAGTTTTTAAAGTGACAAGCAAATTGGATGAAGAGGAATGTGTTTTTACCTCTGCTGACACAAGTTGGAACATTTTTATTTTTTTTCAGTTTGTTTTCTTTTGGTTTCTTATTCTTCTTTCTTGAAATTCTATTCGATAATATGTATCTTTCCTTTTTTGTTGATGCTTTTACTCGGAAATGCAGACCAAGTAGAAGGCATTAGCCATTTGCCAGGAAGATGGCTCTCAGGGTGTGTAGTGTGGAATTATTATGGCTATGAACTAAAATTTTGATTTGAACTTAATGTATGTATTTTGTAAGATTTTGTGTACAATTTCTTCTTTCCTTCAACGATTTTGCTTGAAGTCTAGTTTTGCATCTTAATTATGAAGCAGGTCAATAGTTCTTATAATCTCTCTTTTCGAACACTTGGGTATGCATTTGATGGTGGCTGTTATTGAAAGAGAAGCAAATTTCCTTTATTTCCAGAGAGGCTGTGTATTATTAAACGACAGGAGCCAGCTTACCATTTTCAGTCGTCCGCTCACGACAAAAGACCACCATTAATATAACATAAAATATTATAAAGAAAATATAGTGCTTAGGCCCAAACCCAATCCCAAAATGTGGAGTGGTTAGGCAAGAATTGGACCAGACCAAGACCATGTTTATGGCTTTGGAGCAGAATAAGTGCCAAGTTCCAAGTTATTGTAGACCATCAAACCCATGGGCTATTAAGTAATTATAATCAGAATAGTTCTGTGATTATGATTGTATTGTATCCATCAGATCATCTTTGCCCGTGTTGTATTGGGACCCAATGAGAGCCTGTGCCAATTTCATTTTTCAACTAATTACAATATTTTATGGTTTAAACTTCAAACTTTAGATTGATGGTTCTCTCATTTTGATTCTCTATTATCTCATTTCATTAGTTATTTAGTCTTTTTATTAGTATTTTTAGTAAAAATAAAAAGTTAAATATAAAATATTTAAGATAAATTATCATTTAGTGCCTAAAGTTTGACAAAATTTTATTACTTTAAACTAAAATTTATATAAATTTCAGCTTTTACATTTTACATTTTCTTTTGGTCTGCAAACACTATGTGGTACGTACAATTTTAAGTCCATTAGGGAGCAAATTAAATGCCGAGCGAAAAAGGTATAAACGCGTGATCTTTTGATCATAAGCACAAAAATAGCACTTCAACCTTCAAATTAATGGTTATCTAACAAAGGAATAAGGAATAAACAGTGAATAGTATTCAAAATTAGATATTCATTAATTTTATTTTCAAATAAAAAATCAGAAATTGTAAATGAGTTGGTATAACTCAAATGTCAAAGACTAAAAAATATAAAATAATATTAAAAATGCAATATTGTTAGCAAATATAATAGTATTTAGCACCATATAATAAATTATGAGAAATTATTTATATTATATATAATATCCATCTAATTTTATTCATCAAAACAATCTATAAATTTTTAAATTAATTACAAACTTTCACTTTTCAAATGAGAACAGCAATAGTATGCTAGTTTTATGATTTTATCCACATCCGTTAGATGAAAAAAAATTTTTTTTTTTTCTCTCTCTCATTTTTTATTTTTTTATTTTTTACCCCTGCCACTTTCACCCTTCTTTCAAAGAAGAGAAATGGAGATGTCCAAACAAGGTATTACTTCTACCTTTGTCTCAAGACAGTCAAACACTCTCCCTCTCTCCAATAATTTATCGTTCTCCAAAATATCAACTTCAAGCAAAAACCAGACTGGTTCCAGTTAAAGTTTGTAACTTTAACCATTTCACTTCTTAAACCACCCTCCAAAAATGAGCCTTTATCCAACTCTGAAAGCTAATGACTCTTTTGCCAGTGGCCTAAAATTTCATTACTTCTTCAATGTAGAGGGATTGTAGTTTTTCGTGGACTGCTTTCTATATGGATTTTGGGGTTGTGGGTTTGGAGGAGTTAGTGGGTTCAGATAATGTTAGTTCTGGTTTTGCTTCCCTTGCTAGTTCAGATCGCGAAACAAAGCAGGAGTTGTACGGATCTGGGTTTCTTAAGCAGGAGAGATCTGATACTACTGAACATGATTGGAGGAGCTCTAAACTGTCCAAAACTGAGTCAATGCTGCTTCCACAAAGAAATACTTTACTCAAATCTAATACTACTGATGGGCATCGACAGCAGCAGATGCTGAGCTTCTCCTGTCCCAAATCAGAAGGTCTTACAGTGGAGAGGAGCCCTCGCAACGCCTCATTCCCTAGCTTTCATCTCAGTACTTCTTCTGCTTACAATAGAAGAACAGGTACCTTACTTAAGAATCACTATATAAAGCTTTAGCAGATGTTTATCATATGCATTTTCATTATTTCAGGGAATGAAATGATGCATATGTTTTGGTTCCTTTTCCGGAAGTAAATGAGTATAGTTGCATGGAGCCAAGGTTTTATTTGTAGATAGGGTTGTTTTATAAGATTAGACATCTGATGAATTCTGATCATGTTATTGGTTCCTTCAGGTTCTGATTCCTGGTAGTGGTTGAGAGTTTTTCATGGAAATCTAGTTATGGTCTTTGTTTCAAGTCATGTCAAAGGAAAAGTGCACAAATTCCTTTTTTTATTTTTTTTTTACTTCTGATAAAATTTGTATCTTTCTGTTTATGGGAGATGGGTTTCGAAATTAATCAAACAAAGGAGACCAGTGTGCTCAAAAGAGGAAAATTTTATGAAGTGAAAACTGGGAGAAGCAAGCGCAACAAGAAAGACCCATTCTCTGACTGGGTTGAATCCTCCTGTTTCTATTTTTCTTTTCTTTTGTTTTCCGTTCTCCCTCTAATTCATGATTACTGTAGCCCCTTAAATGTTGCAGACAAAGCTATGATTTTGGCTTGCCTGCCAGACCCCTTTCTGTATTTCTTTTTTAATTTTTTACCGTTTATACCAAGATAGTCCTTTTCCATTTCCAGCTTGCTGCTACAAGACTTTGGAATTTTGGCTTTTGTCTCTGTAGTTTTTTCCCAATACTTTTTACCTAAAGATTTTTTTGTTTTATCTTTCAGGGTACGACTATGGAAGTTTCAATAGTTCAAACATGCATGGGGTGTTCACAGAGGCTAGAGGACCTTTTACTCCATCTCAGTGGATGGAGCTTGAACACCAGGCCTTGATCTATAAATACATAACCGCCAATGTTCCTATACCTTCTAATCTGCTAATTCCCATTAGAAAAGCTCTTGATTCTGCTGGGTTCTCTAGCTTTTCAGGTGGACTCCTCAGACCCAATACTTGTAAGTTTTATATCCTTTTTTTGTTTGTCCACAACCACTAGATTTACATGTCTTTCCAAACGACTCTATATCTTTCACTCTGATGCATAAAGTTATGTATGGCCTCTCTCTTTATACCTGTAACTTTTAAACTTTACTTTTCTAATGAGTAATGATTTTCAACTTATAAATAAATGTTGCCGGAGAGTACTCTTTTCAATGTCAAAATATTGCTAATCTAAGTATAGAAATTTTAGTAAGCATAAATTATTGGTCCATTAAAAATATTTTTTCTTCTCTTAAATCTCCTCCTGTGAAAAGCACCAGTTTTTAGCTGTGTTCAGTTAGTTAGCGGTTTTTGGATTATCTCAAGTGAAAACTCTTTTTAGTGGAAGTAGTCAATTGAATCAAAATTGGGACTTTGTACTGTAATATGTTCCACTTGTTTTTATAAGCTAATATATGTTCCATTTGTAATTGGAAACTCAGTGCCATGGGGTACTTTCCATCTTGGGTTCTCGAACAACACTGATCCAGAGCCAGGTCGGTGTCGTAGGACTGATGGAAAGAAATGGCGGTGCTCAAGAGATGCAGTTGCCGACCAGAAGTACTGCGAGCGGCATATGAATAGGGGCCGCCATCGTTCAAGAAAGCATGTGGAAGGCCAAACTGGCCATTCTGCTGCTGCTGCTACAACCACCACTACTGCGAAGCAAATGTCTACTGCCTCCTCTTCCGTTTCAGCATCAGTAGTTGGAATCCAAAGCAGCAGCGCATCCAACAGCCTCACCATCACACCGCATCAGCATCAGAAGCTTAAGAACTTGCAGCCAGATAGCTCATCTAATCTTTCTGCAACTTCACCGCTTAGCAGGTAATAGCAAAAGTTATTACATCTTATGGATTTAGTTTTTGCCTATCATTTTTCATCTATTTGCATTTTCATGTTTGCAATATTGTGGTAGTCTAATAGCATTTGCAATTTTGTTAATTTGTATTGTTTTGATATTCTCAGGTAGGAATTGGGACTTTTTCATTTACATCCTTGCAGAATATACTGATGTCTTGTTAACTATTTAGTTTTTATTCTAAGGTGTTTATTTCATGTAATTGATGGCTTGTGTGCATGGTAAATGTCTTTCAGGATGTTTCTCAATAAAGAGAACTTGGGTGAAAGAATGCAAGATTCACCCAGTTTGTCCATGCCACCATCCAACATCAACATGAAATCTAGAGAAAACCCTTTCTTGAATTTAGAACAACAGAACTCATATCAGGAATCCTCACAAATTGAGTTTGGACTTGTCAACTCTGACTCTCTCCTCAACCCTTCTCAGAATGGCTCATCCCTAATCAGCAGAAACTTTGGTTCTTCTAAGGAACTCATTGGCCAGGAGACTATTTCACAACATTCTGTTCGCCAATTCATGGATGATTGGCCTAAAAGCCAATGTGATCAATCTGCCGTTTCATGGCCTCCACTTGATGTGCAATCAAATAGAACCCAGTTATCAATTTCAATCCCCATAGCTTCTGCAGACTTTACATCTTCCACTTCCACTTCAAACAATGAAAAAATTGCACCCTCTCCATTAAGATTATCATGTGATCTGGATTCTATAAAAATGGGAACAGGAACTGGCATTATTCTCAATGAACAAAACCAAAGGCACGCAAATTGGATTCCCATCCCTTGGGGAACTTCTATGGGTGGTCCACTTGGAGAGGTTTTGCACAATACCAATAACACTGCCTCGGAGTGCAAGAATTCATCGGCTCTGAACCTCTTGGCTGAGGGATGGGATTGTAGTCCTCGGTTAGGTTCATCTCCAACTGGGGTCTTGCAAAAAACTACATTCCATTCTCTGTCAAATAGCAGTGCAGGAAGCAGCCCAAGAGCAGAGAACAACAAGAATACAGAAGGGGCAAGCCTGAGTAATGACCTTAGCCCAAGTTTAGTGCATCCTTCCTCATTGTCTGCCTTGTGACTTCCTGACTTGCCGATTAAGTAGTTTAGGTGACGAAGAAGATGATAGATGAATGAGATTTATCTTCTGTTATCAAAAATATAACTGCTGTTTTATTTTTATTTTTTTATATTCATTTGATAATATGTCTTTTGTCTATGCTTTTGTTTAGTGATGATGGACTAGATTAATTGCTATGGATTGTAGACTTCTGTTTTCTTCTTGTGTGCGTGCCTTAGGTGAGAGGAAGTCTTTTACCTGCAGTATGTTTAGTGGGTAAGCTTGCTGGCTGCTTGTTGCCAACAGCAATTGCTAGTGTTCCAGACTGGGAAAATTTGTTGGTATCCTAATTTCTGCTTATTCTCTGTTAGATTTGTCAATGTCATTATCTTACAGTGGCTCTAATTTGTATGGCGCCATGTGAGAATTTGACAACCATAAACGATGCGTTGTACCTGTCTAGCTGAAATTGATTCTTTTATTGATTCTCATTGATTTACAAGCTGTTACTAGCTGAAATTCTCTAGAGGTAACGATACGACAGAAAGTAACAGATTTCCATTTCATCTAGTTGCAGAAGGGGGCAGAATTCAATTCAAGTATCAGACTTTAGTGATATAAGAAAGAACTTGAGGAGCCATGATAAATAAAATAATGATGAAGAATGGGCAGTAGCCAGGCTGGAGAGTTAATATCAACAGCGATTAAAGAATTTCAATTTAATGGCTGCATCCTCCTCCATCAATGGAGGACTCTGCTCAATTATTGGTAAGTCTGATCTTAAGGGTGAGCTTGTCAGGTTGGGCATTGCCAAATCAATTATTTAGTTAGGATACAAAGGGGGGAAAGGGAAACAATCCTTAGAGAGCCTAGTGTCAGATTCAACTAGTCTTCAATCCAAATTGTAATTATTAGGTCCCAATCCTTTTCAAAAATTTCAAACTCAACCAGAGCCTTTTCAAGTGCAAGGCCAGCTAAAAAATATCGTTGGGCCATATGTTCATGGAAGCACAACAAATGAAGAAAAAAAAAAAAAAAGAGAGAAAAATATTCCAAAATATGCTTTCTTTTTCATTTATGTACTGTATATATATTTACATGTATATTATATATATATATATATATATAATATATATTGGAGGATACAGAGGGAGGGAGAAAGGACCCCAAAAGAAAAGACAACTAAGAATCCTAACAATTCCTGCGTCAAAGTCAAACCTTGCATATCCCATGGCAAGAGTTTCAAAAACTTCATTCATCCACATTGTCCAAAACAGCCAAAATATATTGGATACAGAGGAGGAGAAAGACCCCAAAAGGAAAAGACAACTAAGAATCCTAACAATTCTGGTCAAGTCAAACCTTGCATATCCCATGGCAAGAGGTTCAAAACTTCATTCATCCACATTGTCAAACAGCCAAATTGGCTAATCTGTCCGCTGCCGGTTCGCCTCCCTGTAACAGGGTTGAATATAAATATGCCATGCCAAGGACGTTTGAGGCTTCTTCAATTTGCAGTAGCACGTTTGAGACACGCAAATTACTAACCAAGCTTGCTGTCAAAAGTTCTTCTGCGACCAAAGAGTCTACTTTCACCACTAGCTTTCTACAACCCAAGTCCCAAGCCATATTAAGACCATGAACGAAAGCTTGTAATTCGGCCTCCATTGAACTACACAAACCCAATCTCACCAGGAAACCAGCAACCCAACATCCTCTGATGCGTACAATGCAAAATACAGGGATTGTATAAAACAGATGAAAACAATAACAAGCTAGTCGATCGATTTATCTGCCAAGCAAGATAAATAACCCTTCCAGCCGCTACCCAGCCTGCAATCCACAGTCTAATATATAACATGGCAAAAAATGTTTCCGTATATCCCTATTGTCATTTCTGTAGGAGAATACTCGTATCAATTTCATTTCTCCACATATAAATAAAATAATCTCAATTTCATTTCAGAAGTCATTATTAGGAATGAATCAAAAAAATCTCATTTATGAGATGGAATCAGTGTTAAATTGCTCATATCAAAATCCATTTAGAAATTTACTATCCATACAACACAGCTTAAGTATCAGTATTTGAGAAATCATCTAAAATTTTCCGAACCCGTAACTTTAATTACTTAAAACACTCCTCCACTAGTTGGTATCCAAAAATGCATTGTCCGCTTCCATCCCTATAAGAGCGTTTTCATCACTGCATTTTGTCTGAAACTGAATATTACATATAATGTGGAGGTGTGCGTAACCCCAATCTATAGAATTGCTTCCATCAGATCAAGGCTTTAAACACCACCAATTAATTCTAAGGAGTTGACGGAACACAATGCAATTATTGTTAAATGCACTGCAAATCGAAGTCATCTCCTAAATCGTTTTCAATTATATCATCAAAATACAAACCGTCAATCGTAATAGATCCTAACCAAACTAGAAAATTAGTTGTACAACAAGATCAATTATCAAAACAACAATATTTCTACCTCTCAAAATTCACAACAGGCAAAGTTATGACTAATTTTAAACTAAAATTTTTAAATAATAAAGCAATTACCCAAATCGAGAGAAATTAGAGGGTGGTGCTCATATTCTATGGGTGTAAAAGGGTCTGTCATGCCATGGCTATAGCATTCAGAACGAGGAATTTTTTATAATCATGGCAACCAACCCTCATTTTCACTGAATGAAAAATGAAGAAACGAAATAAATTGCAGAGAAGAAGAATGAGAAGCTAAACTCGTGTTTGATTTGGTACCCTGGTTTCGTCGAAGACGGCACTTAAATAAGCAAGGGTGAGAATAGAGGGCCAAAGCCCTAACCCTAATAACACAATCCCAGCCCAGCAACAGGAACTTATTCCTGAGAATTTTTGAAGTGACGCCGTTTCAAAGAGAAGACTCCACGACGGCGTATCATCCCAATCTGTAATTAATGTAGAGACATTGTTAGTCGGTACATTTAGACAAGGGTAAAATTGAAAAAACAGTTAATGTATCTTGATTCCCCCAAAAAAGTCAAGTGGGGAAAAAAAAAAAAGTTCACAAATTTAAGGGGACAAAGGGAGTATTAAATAAATGAGAAAACAACAAACCTTGAGGAGAAAATCTCAAAATCAAGCTAAGCTGCTTCAAAAAATAATATTATAATTCATATAATTGACTTGTCTAAACTAAGTTTATCGCTCTATCCATTAATCAAATCATTAAAAAAATAAAATTTTTTAATAAGACAAGAATATTTCTAATGATAAATTATAAAAAAATATAAATAATATTTTAAAATTTTATTTGTATGAGTTTAATTCATTGGTTAAGTTATAGATCCGATCTAAACAAACATAATTTATAATTCACCATGGATCATTCTCTGAGAACAGCGAGGATTAGCAATGGAAGATTGAAAGTTACACATATGTCGTATAATCCAAGTCGTACCTAACAATGAAAGAAAACTAGAAAAGTATGATTACTCAGTGACCTACGCTGCCTCATTTGTTTCCTTGTGAATAAAATTATACAAATTATGCAAGAAAGAAAGTGTACTTTTCTATAATTCTATACAATTTGTCCAATACATAACAATATCAAACGTTTATTTGTCAAATTTGAATGCAAATTAATTCCATGTTAACTTCGTGATCATTATTTTATTCATAAAATTTATTTTGCAAATGAAATATATAAATTAGAGCCAAGATTTAAATGTGGAAAGCAAAATAGTATATAATAGCTAGAAGAAAATTATAAAAAATTAGTAGGGATAAAGTGATTGAAAATATATTTAAAATGTTGAATGGTTAAAGTTCGAGACATGCTGATGTAACCCCTTCCAATATATGTGCATCCGCCCATGCCTACATATGCAGACGGTGAAAAAGTTTTAATAAGTTTGATTGAACATTTTTCAATTGAATTCAGGAATATTAATAAAAATGACAATTAGTTTACAGTTTGTCTAGTAAAAAAAGTGTGGAGGCTGAAGTACCTTTTTTTTAGCTTAGTTATAATAAATAAGAGTTGTTTCTTTTGATTTTTGCAAGTTTTTTACTGTTTATCTTTTCTTATTTTAATAGGATATATCTATGTATATTTTGTACAGTTTAACGGAGTTTTTGATAATTAGATTTTTTCACTTATCAAATTTAAGTTGTAATTTTTGGGTGTATAGGAGAGGCTTACTGGCTCGAGTTAGTATATTGGATTTAATAAATTTTTCCTGATTTTATAATTAAATAAAATAAAATATGAATTGCTGATAAAAGAAAATGTGCAAGAAAGAAGCTGCATGAAGTCATTTGACCAGTTAAAGGTTGTTGGAATAGTAACTCAATTTCTTGGCAACTTCCCCCAAGTTTCTATTTTCTAATATTATGACCTATGACTCTATGAGTCATTGCATAAGCACCCATAAGAAACTGCAGTGTCATATTTTCCTTGCTTACAAAAAGACATGCTGCTGATCCAGCAAATTATTTTTAATTAGTTGAAAAGTTAACTCTCTTTCCCAGGAAAATAAGCCGTTACAAGGCATAAAGCACATGAGCACCCTCTTTTTGAGAACTCAACCAACTTTATATGATCCTAACCTAACTACCCCAGCCTCCATCGCTTAAAATGAGTCATAATAATGGAAAAAACTCTCAAGTGAATGTGCCCTTCTCATGGGAGCACAAGCCTGGAGTGTCCAAGGTCACACATCAAGAAATTACAAATTTATGGCATATCAGGCTAAAAACGTTGCCTCCTCCTCCTTGTCCATCGTCAAAGAGCACTACAGTTTCTTTTGATGACCCTCAACTACCCTTTTCGCTATCTGCAACTAAAGGTTCTTTCAAGAACCAATTTAAAGAAGAGGCAGACCCTTTTATGGTGGCTTACAAGAAATGCACCGATCAAAACCCTGTAAATGGTGGTAAGTTGGCAAGTATTGGTAAAATTAGTGAAGGAAGGAAAAAGATGAGGAGACAGAGCGTTGGTGCTCGTACTTTCTCGTGTAAGCATTCTTGTGTTGTTGCTAATGATAATTTAGTTAGAATGTCTCAGATTTCTAGACCGGTCATGAAAGAAAAGGAAAGAGATATTAAGGAATAGATAAATTAAATAATAGCTTCATTATTATTAATTAGTTATGAATTAGTTTGACAGGACATTGCCAATTAAGTTTCTTTTGATTTTTCAATCTCCTGCTATACATCCCAGATTCACAGGCATTGTGACCAATGCTGTTGCTCCATCATGTTCCCCTTTCTTCAATATATATAGTCGAAGAAGAGGAAATTACTATAGTGCTTGGAATTTCTTTTCTTTCTTTTTATTTTATTTTATTAATATTTGGAACTTGAGTTAATACTATGCACTTAAAGTTGTACTATATGTGGTGAGTCCTCCTTTTTTTATTTTTTATTTTTAGGTATAACAATTAATTAATGTTTTAAAGTGAATTAATTGTTTGGGTTATATGCCTTGATAAGTTGTTAATATTATAAATTGTTTAATGTGATAAAGATTGATTTCTATTTTAATTTCAATAAATTATGATAAATTTGCTATATGATAGTAATTTAACAGGAGCCAATTAAGCCTAAGAAGTGATTAAGCCATCAATTTACTGCAAACCTTGTTTTATGAAATTTAACAATAAATGGCTCTTGAAATCGCAGGTAGATATTGACATTCATTAAACTGAATAAATACTATAGGTAGCAAGTGTCTTTCTTAATATATTCTTTCAGCCAAGCCAATTTACGCAGAGACTGAAACTCAACAAGAAGTGGGTTTGAAGGCCAACTGATCATTCATGTCTAATTACCTAATAAATTTGCATGATCAAAAGTATGGCTAGACATGAGGCTGTTGTAACTATTGCAGGCACATAGATTACTGGTTCTTAGCGCCACTTTCTGAACAAGTTTTTGGTGGAGATGGAAGCTTAATTATATCTCCTTTAATGGAGACAGGGGTGCTTATATCTAACTAAAGTGTTACTTTGAGAACTCATCAAACCCAAGGGAAGATGAACCCACTAAAAACTAAAGAAATAAGTTAAATAAACGCAAAAGGAAGAAAAAGAAATACGATAGAAATAACAATTGCCCGGTTTACTGTATAATATATATTATGTGCCTATTGCCAATCTGGACAAGCAATGTGCATATATAGCGTTCGAGCCTATTACTTGCCATGGTCGTGATAAAACCAATGTATTTAATATGACGAGAAGGACAAGACTTGTAAGGGAATAATTCTGTTGAGTCCAGGTGGTGTATTTTCATTTTGTTAATGTCAATAATAAAAACCACATTATATATCGGATTATAATTCAAAAAAATGAGAGGATTAGTTGTGACCAGACCAAAATATGATGTAGTTAATGAGTCCAATCTGGCGGGTCTAGACAAGCAGATGGCTGTGTATTAATTGGCTTTATCTAACTCTACCAATATCAACCATGGTCTTGTATCTGTACCTAGTGTCAAAGTAATGATGATTGAATGGTTGAGCTTGGGACAAGAAAGCATCTCTTTCTCTGATCTCTTAATCTTCAGACAAAAATTTTCAATTTAGTATTTTAACACCTTTTTTTTATGAATATATAAAATTAATCTTCGTTTTCGGGATATATGTTTATCATTCTCTATAAATGTTTTTCCGTGATTTTGCAGAAATCATCTATTGAACATAAGCATGCCTTATCACTTGATGTAGCTTCTTACAATCTTTCACCTTAATTACACTCTATAATTCTTCTTCTAGAAATTCCAATTTATTTGGCACTACAAGTCTTAGTCTTTACGTAAGACAATCAAAGACTATACAGGGCGGCAAGAAGAATATATGTAGCACACGTTTATTTATCTGGTTAATTAAGGACCTTAAACCATCCAAATCTGAATTTAATTAGTATGTAATTAATGAAATGAGTCAATGGCTTTAGAGCTTGTCACTTTGCCTCAAACTCCTTTCCTAACTTCCCAAACCTTTCCATGATGTAGATTTATACGACTTGGTCTTCTGTCCTCAGCTTCTCTGTCTTTTCCCTTTTTGTTTAAAAGGTTTTTGCCTGTCTTCACATTTTATGTGCTTAGCTTACGAAGTTCATCCCCTTTTATTTTTATATATAAAACCTAACCAGTTAACCTCTCTTTTCTCACATTCCTTCTTGTAAGATTAATTGGTTCGAGCATGAATCAAATCAAGGCTCATAATTCCAAAGGAAATGTTCCCTTCTCATGGGAGAAGAAGCCTGGGGTCTCCAAGGTGAATGCTATGATCAATAATAATCAAGAACAAGATCAGATTGTAGTAAAGCTTCCACCACCTCCATGTCCGATAGAAAGCCCTAGGGTTTCAGCTCATGAAATCAGCATTCCTCTTCCGCCATGCACGTTTCAGCCTCCTTCGAGAAGTTCTTCAAGAAAGTGGGATGATCCCTTTCTGGCAGCTTATAAAGAGTGTACTAAAAGCAGCACTAGATCAAAAGCTAAGGTCGCTGGTGGATCAGCTGGATTCTCAAGGTCTGGTTTGCGGAAGGGTATGTTTAAGTTGTCTTGTAAAAGCTCTTGTAGTGTTCGTGATGATAATTTAGTTAGGGTTTCTCAGCTTCCGTATGAGACTGATCGAAAAAGAGATCAGAAATGCAGCCCTGTGTGAAAGTATTGTTCTTAGTCTTCTGTGTCTTCTATTGAATTACTAAAAATTATTATTTCTTTAAGGACCAAAAAAATAATATTATTTCTTTAAATTTTCATTTCCAAATATCAATTCAATCGACATACAAAGAATTTACAATTCAAGGGGCAGTTCAGTTAGTCAGAATTTCCTTATTTTTTGCCAAAATGATCATAATATAATCTTAATACTGAAAAAGAACAATATTCTTATATCGTATATGAAGTTTTTACTTTGCTTATTAATTCGTAAAATTGAATTTGAAGTAAATATTTTGTTTTGCTGATCAAGAAGCTCAAAGACGAACGAGTAGTTCATATTCCACCAGCGGACTTTCAGATTCTGATGGTTATATTACCAGAAAAAAAAAAAATTTTGTAAACCAATCTAAATCAGATCCTCTTATGCTGTCCTTGAAAGCGTATAAAGCTGACTGAGTAAAGAGAGGTTCTTTTAAATTTTATACACCAAGCAATAAAATCATGCCATTTGGTGAGACTTATTAAAATATCTTTTTGCCAAATATCAAAATATTTTATTTGAAGGGAATCAATTGTTATTTGATTAGTTTTGTTACTGATGGGAGAACTGAAAAAATATTTTTCAAACGTTTTGTTAAAATTTCTCTGACAGCCTAACTGGTGGTCTTATTTTATGGATTGGATTGGAAATTCGGGAATCTTAAGTTACAGTCTCCCTGTTCATCAGATATTTGCTGGTTGTCAATTCTTATTGGCCCTGTTGTATTAATATATCAATAAATGACCATTCCGTATTGACTCTTTCAAAAAAAAAAAAAAAAGGAATTCTTAAGGTTAGCCAGCTTCCACCTGTTCATCAAATATTGCTGGTTGTTCAATTCTTATTGCCCTGTTGTATTAATATAATCAAAAAATGGACCATTCCGTATTGGACTTCTTTCAAAAAAAAATTCAAAAAAAAAAAAAAAAGGTATTTTTACTATTTAATTTTTTGTATGCGAATCAGATGTGATTTGCAGACCGTAATATTATTTTTTAATTTATTAGATTTCCGATAAATTTACATAATTCTTGAAATGTTATTTCAACCATTAAATTTTCATAAACAAATTACATTTAAAAAAAATTAATAAGAACATGAAGGGTCCAATATGGAGATAAGCTAATCTCTGCTTAAAATGGGATAAGCTAATATTTGCAATTAACTTATACAGAAGAGCAGAAGAAAATTAAGACTTCTCTTGATCATGTGGAGAGAAATCAATTTGAGGCAGATTTTAGCTATATTGCCTTGAACTCTCCATCTCCTCAATACCTGATACATATTCTAACGTGAGATTGCAGATACAAACATCAATAGAATATGATTTTATTTTTCTCTTGAAGTTAAACGTCTTCGCTGTAGTGAATTTATAAATAATCCTTGTAAGATTTTTTTTTTTTTTTTTTTTTTTATTTTTTTTTTTTTTTTTTTTTGGCTTTTTATAATTTTTACTGGCAAAGAAATATAAGTACAAAGAGAAGTTTAAAAGGTATATCGACTTATCGTGGACCAAATCAATGGAAAAATATTTTTATTAGCATATAATAAGAAAAAAAAAAAAGGATAAAGTGAAAATAAATTTTAGGAAAATCTACTTAGTTCATTAGTTTAGTTTCATACATGAGTTTGCCATAGAATGAATCTAGATAGGTATAATCCAAGTTTTGGGTATACCGTATACGCAAGTCAATTCCTTATTGCAGATATGTAATGTAATCTCGACCCTCGTTTGTGGGCCGGTTGCACGTGTCCATTAACGAGACAAGGTTGTTTTAGTAATTATACCTGAACATGAAACGATGCCGTATCCATTTCTCCACGTGGCCGTATACTGAAGGACAGTTACGGTGCAAGACCGGATTGATTGGGTCGGGCTACCTGAGTTGGAAAGGATCCGAGTCATGCTTGTAGCAAAACTTCAAAATAGCGTGCCTGTCTCCTTAAATCCTATTTCGCAGTATTTGTCCCTTTCTCTTGAAAATTCCATCTAAACTTAAACCCTAGCACCTAAAGTAAGAAGATAAAGATCTGAAATCTTTTTTCCTCGTCATTCTCTAACGGAATAATTTCAGGCAATTCGTTTCTTCCCAACTGTGAGTAATGCACTCATTTTTTTTTTTTTTCCCTCTTTCCTTTTGCCTTTATTTTGAATGGAATTACTTTCTAGCATTTGCTCAAAAAATATTAAGTGCGAAAATTGAGAAGCAAAGGAAAAAAAAAAAAGAGTGAAATGTTTTTAATCTAATTCCTCGGTCTTCTGTTATTTGATGCAACTATAGTATACAGAACCTGAAAATTCTGAATTATTGCCTGATTCGAGAAGATTGTGCTCACAATTAAACGGAGTATGAATTCAGCAATTTCAGATTAATATTCTGTTTAAGTGAGCTTAGTTGATGCTTATAGTCTATTTAATAGGATTACTAGCAGTACGCAATATTCTGAATTGGTCGCACATAGGTTTCACCTGATAAATAGGTGTGTAAACTTGATTAGCTTGTGAACTCAGGTTGCACATTCTTGAGTTGTTTTGGGGCTTTGATTTAAAATTATCTTTCTTGTATATGATGCCTTTATTAAACATATTATTTATTTTTCCAGCTATTTGAGTTTGCACATGTGCTGCGATGGACAATGGTTCTCAGTCCTCTGGTGCACAGGTAACATCCTTAATCTGGTTCAACTGTAGGTTTTATCGTTAACCGAAAATCTCAATATGATTCAGCTATAGAACAACATGCTTTGTTTCCTCAACCACCCCCCACCCCCACCCCCCCGGGGCGCGCCCAGGTGTGTTCATGTATGGGCTTTATGGCACTTGTGTTATCTTGCAAAAGAGATAAGATAACTACTACTAATTTTTGAAGAAATCTGAGTTGGCTTCTGGTTTAGATATTAGTTGCTAACATTAATACCAGATTCACTCATCTCTCTTCGGGTTCTGAGATCCAGATCGTATTTCCCAAAACATGGTTCATTTGCGACCCAAAAATGCTATGGGACATCATCTGGTTTGCCAAATCTAGCGAATCCATTAACTACGAACTAAATTAAGATTACATAGATGTAGACTGTGAGGAGAAAATTGGAAGACAAGATGACGACGATAAGAAGCTCCCCAAGGAGTTTGAAGAAAGAAGATGAGTGGTTTTCTTTTATTCAATCCCAAAGAATAAATCATCGGTGGAGTAGTGAAGAGATGAGATGATAAAGAGATAAGCCTGAGTTAGTGTTCTTGGAGTTGGTGTATTTTATTTTTGGAGACCATCAAAATTTTGGTCGACCAAGAAGCTCTAGCACAAAAAATATTATTATTTATTGGGTCAAAAAAATGTGAATAAACTAAATAAATTCAGTACTAAATATCATTATAATTTTTAAATAGATATGATATAAACTTAATACTATTATATAAATTTAAGTAAATAAAGAAGTTAACATTAGATATGCATTTAATAGCTCTAAGATGATAAAAAAAGTACAAACAGTTAAATTAAATCCAAAATGATTAGCTTAATTACATTCATTTAGGCTCAAGGAACCCAAAATAATATTAAAATGAACCTTGTCCCAAAAGATCGAACTGACTCAGCCTACCCCCAACATACAATTTATAACAAATAGGGTATCACGTTCCCTTTCTGGTACTGCGAATCTGATAACTATGGTTGATAATTTAAGCAAATTCACCTCTGTCATATATTACTTTGTTGTTTTTTTTTTTTTTTTTTGCTTTGTTGTTTTTTTTTTTTTTTTTTTTTTTTTTTGGTTCAAAGTTCAATGGCGTGGCGTGAAATTCTACAGTTCTTCAGGCTAATCTGATCATTTCTTAAAACAATAATGCTGGTTTTGCTTCATGTTGGTATGTTTAGCATTTATAATTTTGGAAATTTAATTACAAGTGCTATTTTTATATATTTTACTGCAGTTTCGATCAGTAGTTCCTGCACAGCAGGGACAGCCGTACATTCCCCAACAGTTCCGGCCTGTTGGACAAGGAATGCCTTCAAATGTTGGGATGCTGCCTGGTCAAAGTCAGACACTGCAGTTTTCTCAACCGATGCAGCAGTTGCCACAATGGCCAAATCAACCTGGCCATGCTACAGCATCGCAAGCTGTGCCATTGCCATATGCTCATCCAAATAGGCTGCTTACATCGGGCCCACCACAGTTGCAGCAAACTGCCCCCCCAGTAAGTAATCATGCAACTGGGTTGGGCATGTCTGGAGTTCCTCTCTCTTCACCATATGCTGTAAGATCTCACTGCCACATTCTTTCTTTCTGTTGCTTTATTTTGTAGTATACTTTTCTCTCTTACTTCGGTTATCTATTCTTTCAGTTTGCACCATCTTCTTTTGGCCAACCACAAAATAATGCCATTGCATCAACCCAGTTCCAGCCAATGCCTCAAATGCATGCACATCTTGTACCTCCAGGTGGTCAACCTTGGTTGCCTGCTGGAAGCAACGGTCAATCACTTGCTACAGCAGTACAGCCAACTGGTCAACAGCCTTCTGTATCTTCTTCCTCAGATCCAGTATGTGCCCTTTTCATATTTCTGCTTCTGGTCTTGGGCATATTTTATTTACTGAGGTTGCATTATTGTTCGATGCTTTCATGATGTGGTAACGTTGGATGCCTTGGAAAACATTACCCCATGGATTGTTGCACATTTGGTCATGCTTATTTTTAATGTTCTTCATGGAAATATAGATTTGGATAAGGTGATAATGTGTTAACAAGTGAGCTATCGGATGGATTAAGACTTTCACTTGTCTAGACAGCTGATTTGGGCATTTCAACATTGTATGTGAATGAGGAAAATGACAAGGTCTAATCCTAGGGGTGAATAAATTATTGTAACTTGTGCTTCTCTGATTGAATGATGCATAATTTTGAAGCCTTTGGTCCACATATGTTGAATTTCCCTTGACTTGGCTCTCTCACATGCGTATCCTCCCTGGACAAAGAATAGCTGATAAGAATTGTTTATACTCAAAAAAAAGAAAAAATAAAAAAATATATAATATATATATAATATATATAACTACATATACATATATATATATATATATTCAATTTTCTACGATAGGAAATGTGATTTTTAGTTTCCAATTTCGGGGGGTCTGATTTAAGCTAATTCTTGGATACTGGACTTGATGCTTTCTGCTCTGTGTTTGATTTAGGTTTCATTTTGTGTCCATACATGATCATTTACTTTTGAAATTGGCTGGTTATGGGCAATTTTATAACCTTTTATTTTTGGAGTTTCAGGCAGTAAATGCTCCTAACGTTGGTCAACTGGCTTCATCTGACTGGCAAGAGCATACAGCTGCTGATGGGAGGAGGTTTGGTTTTTGTTGTAACTGTGATTCTTGTCCTTTATTCTTATTTCCTGTTGTTATTCAAAATTTTCAGTTATATTAGAATTATCCTTTTAAGAATTTATGCTTTATCATTGGAATTTTGTCAATTATCACCTTTACCTTGGTTTTTCTAGATATCAATTTTAAGTCTTTATCTTGGTTTGTCTAGATACTATTCAAGATAGTTCTGTTCCTTATATTATATTTGATAGCTGGTGAATCTGTTTTTTCAGATATTACTACAACAAGAAAACAAAACAATCTAGCTGGGAGAAGCCCTTTGAACTGATGACAGCAATTGAGGTGAGTCATTCTCAAGTGGTTGCTATCTGTAACTTAATGTGATCTTTGTTTACGTGCTACACTTGCTTTTGAGACATTTTGGCATGTGATCAAACTGTGGTTCCTTCTATGAATGTTGCAATTCTAGACACCCTGAAGTTGATCAAATTTGTTTTATTTGAATTTTCCTTTTCTCTGCATGTTTCATTTTTCGTCTGTAGATGTCATGGCAAATGTGGAGAAATTTAACGACTGCTCTATATGCTCATTTTGAAGGCAGGCTTTCTCGTTCTCAAGGCAGGCAACGTTTTGTTATTTGTCTTATTTGTCATATGGGGACATTTTTAATTTGGTTGTCATTTGAATGTTCTTAACTAGCATTAAGTATAATAATTTCTATTTTCTCTATGGCCTACTGAAGTTTCAGCAAGAGTAATGTTTACTTGGATCAGTTTCTCCGTATGTTTCTTCTCATTGTTGCGACTTCCGTACTTCTGCATTTCCATGATTAGTATAAGATAAGTGTGGTTTACTTATCTTATTGATGTCCTACTCTCCTCCTGTCCATTTCTGGAATCAGAATCACAATTTTTTTGAAAAACTTTGCTATCTCATCTATGTTCTATTATCACCGCATATTGTTTTTCCTCTTCAATTATTTAGCTTTGGATGCATTGGTTTTCATGCATGACTTGTTTAATGGTTGCGATTCCTAAAAGAGTTCCACAGGCATTTATATCCTAATTTCAAGAGGTATGAAATGCTGGATTACTAATACTTGTTATGTTGTACCTCACCTTCATTTTTTTTGCTACTTAATTTATACAATGGTTGTTAACCTTCTCTTCTTAGACTTAACACACTTTTTCTTTTCCCTTCATTTGATGCTGATGCATGTTTTATGCATACAAATGATTACCTTGTCTTTTTTTTCCTCCTCATTCTTAAGGCTCGAATAATTATAACCTATGCAGTAGCCAAAAAATATGATTTGACATTCTTCTTAAGGTAAATCGTATGTCAATGAAGCTTACAGAAAGATTTTGCCATATACTACCTCAGGAGCCGGATTGTGCTTTGGAGAAACTAGATTTGGTTAGAAGAAGGTTCCGACTAATTTCCTATACACCAACCCTTTGAAAAAGTGAGAATTGAAACATTGTTTTCTGTTACATGTCATTGATATGGTTACATGAAAGAGTTTGTTGCTTTTTCATCTTCCTGAAAGGAAACTTTTACTTGTCCAATTCATGTTTGTATCTGTCTGCTGAATGAATGATGATTTTGCTGTCTTGCTCTTTATTTATAACTTACAATTTTTATTATTTGGTCTACTTTATAAGTACTTGCATGGGTTTTCTTTAAGTAACTTTCTGCAGCTTCGTTATTAGTATATGCAGTTACTTACCTTCTGCTAGATGTTAACTACTACTTTATTTGTTATATCTATATTCCTCTCTTTTTTTCTTTTTTTTTTTTCTTTTTTCTATTTTATAATTGTTTCTCTTGTTATGTCAAATTGTTACTTGATAATTGCCGTCACTATAACAGCGAGCTGATGCATCGACTGTCTGGAAGGAGTTCACCACTTCAGAGGGAAAAAAGTAAGTCATTTTTTTTTAACATTATTAATCATTATGTCATGCATATTTTCTTGGAATTTGTTTGTATTGTGCTTCGCTTTCTGTCTTTGAGATCCCTATTAAATCAGGTGATGACATTTGCAGGTATTACTATAACAAGGTTACAAAGCAGTCTAAGTGGTCAATTCCTGAGGAATTGAAGGTGTGCTGATGTTATCTTTTTCTAATTGCTTTCCCCATAAGCATGCTGCTTCTTTGATATGACATTCTTAAAATTTATTTCCAGTTAGCTCGTGAACATGCTCAGCAAGCAGTTGGCCAGGGAACCCAATCAGAAGTTGATGCAGCTTCTCATGCCTCATCTACTGTTGCCGTTACTTCGGGCGAAACATCTAACATTGCTATTTCAGCTAGCTCCAGCTCTTCAACATTATTTGGAGCAACTTCAAGCCCAATTCCAGTCACACCTGTTTCTAATCCTGCTGTGGTAGTTTCTGGTTCATCGACCCTGCTTGTTGCACAATCTTCCATAGCAAATACTGCTGGAGTCCAACCTGCTGTGGTAACCACTACTCTTTTACCCACTGCTGTTTCAGGAAGTACTGGTGTTACTGCTACTTTGGTTAATGCCAAGATGTTAACGTATGTGCTTCTTTTGCTGCTTCAATTTTTTACTTCTCTTTGATGATTCATAATTGTCATACAATGTTAATGTTGCTTGCTTAATCTCTCTAATTTACAGAACTGGCTTTGATAATCTTGCACCTCAAGTTGCTGCAAATTCTGTAGATGGAGCATCCATGCTGGAGTCTGAGGTATAATGATTCTTCCAAGGCTGTTTCTGAAAGTTATAGTTTGTGTGTGCATTTTTCAACTCAGCTGGAATTGCCATAGCTGCTGATATTGGGGAAAAAAGAGGATTGATGGTTATGCATGTGACGCCTTTATAGAGTTTTTTCCTATTGGGAAGACATTTCAGAACATGTTACATTTTTTAGTTTTTATTCTATAACAAGGTTGCTTCAGTAGCTTGCTCTTAAAAAATGTTCTTATTATGCAAAAAAATATTTGTTTGATTTATCTGTATCGTGTTACCAGCAGGAAATGAAACAACGGATGGAGGTTGCTGGAAAAAGTGATGCAGATGTGTTAGAAGAGAAAGCTGCAGATGATGAACCTTTAGTATTTGCAACTAAACTGGTCTAACCTCTCAATTATTTGCTCCCTCCTACATCTGTTGACAACTGTCCATTATTTATTTCTGTTTACCATTCCATTCATTTCTAAGAATTGGCTGAAAATGACGATCTTTATAGTTTATTGATTTATAATTTCACATGTATATATTTTAACATGTAGGAGGCAAAAAATGCATTCAAAGCTCTCCTGGAATCTGCTAACGTTCAGTCTGACTGGACTTGGGAGCAGGTAGCATAATTTAGTCATATTGGCATATGTTTCTGTTGTTGAGTGATTGTCATTGATGTTGAAGTTTGGTGTTAGGCAATGAGAGAGATTGTCAATGACAAGAGATATGGTGCTCTAAAAACACTGGGGGAACGGAAGCAAGCTTTTAATGAGGTAAACTTTACATCAAAACTTGTATATGACGTTGTATTGAATCTCCATACTTGCAAATCAACTTTCCTTCACAATTAATAATTTACACTTTTTATATAAAATTCACTATTTATTATGCTTTAGTACTTGGGTCAAAGGAAAAAAATAGAAGCTGAGGAGAGGCGAATGAGGCAGAAAAGAGCTCGGGAAGAATTCACCAAGATGTTGGAAGTATGTCCCATAGAGCTAAGGACACCTCTTTTCTTTATTATTACCCTGTTTTCTGCTCTCCTCTTCTCCCTCTGTATTTCTGACTGTTATAATGCTTATTGGTGCTTTGGATTTTTTTCCAGGAGTCGAACGAGCTCACATCATCCATGAAATGGAGGTTTACAACTCTTCCCATTCTATTTGAAGTTTGAATTTTTAACTTTAGGCTTTCTCAATATAGTATATGTGGCAATATAGTCTAGGGAATTTCCAATCTCTTTGGAAAAGAAATTGGGTGCAGAAAGGAAGTGGTGGAAAATGTATGAACTAAGGTTTTATAACAAACTGTATTTTGCCCTTTGATGATTGGATGGGAAATGGAATAAGATAAAACATTGTATTCTCTTTTTTTGGTGAAGTGGGGAAAATTAGAGTAAAAAATAAGTATAAATTTCTAATTTTTTCCTAAATGGTATTCAACATCTTGTATTTTTTTTTCCCAGCCAACAGCTTAGAAGGTTTGATGTTAAGGATTTTTTCATTATTGTGTCAGAGAAACAATTGAAATAAAGGGGGAAAGAAAAGCAAAAAGACAGATAAGATGGCAACGGAACATATAGGGTGATGGGCAGTGTAGTAACCTGATTTACACCCCATTTCCTCTCCAGTTAACTGCCAATTTGGAAGACTCAAATTTTGTGGGGCTGAGGGGAAGTTTCGAATTATTTTTGCTCCCCTTTCTATTTTCTTATCCTTCCGAAATAGAGGAAAAACTACTTTCCACCTCATTTTCTTTCCACTTATTTTCCTTTCCCCCTATTTTCCTCCCTCCGAAACTGGATATTTGGGTTTAGGTTGCTTGTTTGGGTGTCTTAAGCATCAACTTTAAAATAGATTATTTCAAGTCATTTGGGATATTCAAGTTCCCTGGGATATGTAAGTTCAAACCTGAGATATTTGGGCCATTTGGACTTGGTATGGGTTCAGGCCTGTTACCAATTGCCACCTCTACTATATTGTATAGCTTATGACCATAGGATGACAGAAATTTCCCTCCATGAGTGAGTGTTTTGGCTGAATCTTTTCTTCAATCAGCAAAGCTGTAAGTTTGTTCGAAAGTGATGAGCGGTTTAAGGCTGTTGAGAAAGCCAGAGATCGGCAAGACCTTTTTAACAACTACATGGAGGAACTCGCAAGGAAGGTAGCTATTATTCATTCCTAAACTCAGCTCAATCTTGCACAAACATGTATGTGCATTTAATTTTAAGTGAATGATGATCTTTGTCTATCTGAAATTACAGAATGATACAGTGTAAAAAACTTTGAAATGCTCGAATTTGAATGAATTCCTACATCTAACTTAATGGATTTATAGGACTTTTGATTAGAATAATATGATTTCCTCATTTGACTGAAACAGAAATTTCAATCTATATTTCTTTCACATATGCTATTAATAAGGGGCAGTTTGTAAAGACACAGTTTCTGTTGCGATAGAATAAACTGCCTTTTACAACATATGTTATCATTTTTGGTCCTGAGTTATGCTGGTGCTTTATCACTCTTATTTTAGATGGGTAGTCAAAGAACCTGGGGGATACGCCTATAAAACATTTTTATTAGAATCATTATAATTCACGATTTGGTTCTTGGGATTCAATTCGATTTTCATGCACAATGATACAAATCTTAGAGGTGAATTGGAATTGAGCATGAACCGTAATATGAAGTGTACAATTCAAGTCGATTATCATGCCTAAAGATTCTCATACCCAACAAAACAAGTGGATAAGTCAATGTAGAAGAAGAAGATCAGGAGGATATAGTTATATTAGAAGGTGAAGATGATGAAGGCTTGAATTTAGAAATGATGATGAATGAATATGCAGTTGGATAGGAAATTTAATATTTTGAATCTGGAAACTGCACAAGTCATTAGGATGTCTTTCATTTTGTGTTTAGTACATGATTTGGAATTAAAATATATCCATAAATGTAAATCTATTATTTTTAATTAATTTTGAAGGTTATACTGGATCTTATGATTCAATTCTCGATTCTGAAAATAATAATTCCGATTCTCTATTCGAATCTCAATTTGACACTTTGTCATAAAATTGTTCATCCTGTTCATCAAATTTATTTTATACATTTTGCAGGAAAAGGAAAAGGCTGAAGAAGACCACAGGCGAAATAAAGCAGAATATAAAAAGTTTCTGGAATCCTGCGACTTCATTAAGGTATTTCTGGAGGAATATAAAAAATATATCTTAGTTGTTTATTCCTGAATCTTGTGACAATTAGTATTTCATTTGCAGGTGAATAGCCGGTGGCAGAAGGTTCAAGACCGCTTGGAGGATGATGAAAGGTGTTTGCGTCTTGAAAAAGTGGACCGCTTAGTCGTTTTCCAGGTATATTCTATTTCTTACAAATCATTGGGTGTTTTCTACTAGTGCTGATAGTGTTAGTGGCAGGACTATATTCGGGACCTGGAGAAGGAAGAAGAGAAACAGAAGATGATACAGAAGGTAGATCCATGTACATGATCAGTAATTCTCTTGAGGTGTATATACTTATCTTCATTTTATTTTATATGTAAAAGGAACAACGGAGACGAGCTGAACGCAAAAACCGTGATGCGTTTCGCAAACTGCTGGAAGACCATGTTGCTGATGGCTCCCTTACAGCAAAAACTCACTGGCTTGACTATTGTTTGAAGGTACAAACTTGATTCGTTCTGTAGCCAAACAGGAAAAGTTGCTTACAAAAGAGAAAATGGAGTGACAAACTTTGTATGGTTGGGTTTGGTTATTGCGTTTGATAATTTTCCTCTTGGTTGTAGGTTAAAGATTTGCCTCAATATCATGCTGTTGCAACAAATACCTCTGGTTCAACTCCAAAGGATTTGTTTGAGGATGTTGCTGAAGAATTAGAGAAACAGGTAATTGTCTTGCATCTGTCCTCCCTTCTCATTTGAAAAACAGATAACTAGAGTACATATTTCTATTACTACTATTTTTATTATTATTATTTTTATTTTTAAGTTGTTTCACTCATCCTTTATGTCCCTAGCTGCCTCTTTTTCTCTCTCTTCCTTATCTAAAGCTTGTAGGAATGATGGTGGACATTTAAATTACTTCATTATATATGTTGGATTCTCTAGCATCAACGCTGCCCGATTGCTCAAGCATCGCTTTTTATTCTTCCCCCTTGCTTGAAGTAGTTGAATTTATAAAATGCATGCGTGTAACTTAACCTTTCTCTTTGCACATTGGCAGTACCATGATGACAAAACTCGTATAAAAGATGCAATGAAATCAGGGAAGGTGAGACATTACATACACACACCTTCCTTATGGCTGCACTGTCATTTTAAAATTTCTGACATTTGCATTCCCAGATCACCATGACGTCAGCATGGACATTTGAAGACTTTAAAGCTGCTATTTCTGATGATATTGGTTCCCCACCAATATCAGATATCAACTTAAAGGTATATATACTATTTTAGTTTAGACAATTTGTCCTTTTTAAATTTTCTCATGACTCTCCGTAATTTATTAAGATGTATAAAGATACATGTATTATCTGGTTGATTGATCAGGCAGTGGTTTATGGGACTAACTGGAGTTAAGTTACCCGTTGCTATGGAACCTAAATTCTTACCTGAAATAAGCATTAATTTGTGAAAACCGATTATGCTAATTTTGATCAACATCCCGAGTAACCGGAAAGAACATGGAATTAATAAGAGATTTTTTTTTTTTTTTTTTTTTATAAGATACTGTTAAATTATCTGGTTGATTGATCAGGCAGTGGTTATGGGACTAACTGGGTTTAAGGTTACCCCGTTGCTATGGAACTAAATTCTTACCTGTAAATAAGCATAATTTTGAAAACCGATTATTGCTAATTTTGATCAACAATCCCGAGTAACCGGAAAGGAACATGGAATTAATAAGAGATTTTGTTTTTTTTTTTTTTTTTCTTTGAAACAGCAAATAATTAAGAGACTTGATTGAAATAGATATGCACAGCTAATGTTTAGCGAAAATTACCCACAGATAGTATTAAACCATATACCTAGTTTTTTTTTTTTTTTTTTTTTGAACAGAAATAATTAAGAGACTTGATTGAAATAGATATGCAAAGCTAATGTTTAGGAAAATTCCCAGATAGTATTAAAACATATACCTAGATTTCCTACTGGGAAGATCCTAGACAGGAAGGTATAGTTGATAAAAAAATTTTGGTGAATCTAAATTATTCAAATCAAGAATTAAATCGAAATAATTATAAATTCTCTTTGTTGACTGCATCAGCTTTGCCTTAATTGGCAATATTTCACTATATTAAGCTACCTGAGAGAATCCAATGGCATATGCATCATGTTGACCACAATGTCTTAAGACCTTTTTATTCCTTTTTTTTTTTTGGCTATTGTGCCGTGTTTCGTACATCATATATTAATGATGTGCATATATATTGATTAAATGCTTTATATGGGAACCTATAACTTCTCCATATGTTCAGTGTAACTTCTGATTAGTCATTTTTGCAAGTATCATGTTTTGAGATCTTCAGTTATTTTATCACTTCATTGTGAATCTTGTAAATTATTACTCAATGATGAATATTAAGTCAGTATATTAGCAGTACATAATGTTATTGTTACATAAGATTCTGATTATCCTCAATTCGATCTAGCTTTTATATGATGAGCTACTTGAGAGGGCCAAGGAGAAGGAGGAAAAAGAAGCTAAAAAACGACAACGTCTTGCTGATGATCTTACTAAACTGTTGCACAGTTTTAAGGTATCGCAGCATTTTCATGACTCAAGAATATTACATGTAGCTCTGTTACGGTATGGTTAAACTTTTCCATCTCTACTCGAGTCTACTAGTTTTATGCTTTCTTGTAGGAAATAACTGCATCTTCAACTTGGGAGGATTCCAAACAACTTATTGAAGAAAGCCAGGAGTACAGGTATGGAAACTTCTGACTAGCTTGCTCTTTACCTTTTTTCTTTACTTTTCTGATGGTTTACCTTCTGCTTGTCTCTCGTAGATCAATTGGGGAGGAGAGTGTTAGCAGGGAGATTTTTGAGGAATATGTGGCACACTTGCAGGAAAAAGCTAAAGAAAAAGAACGTAAGCGTGAGGAGGAAAAGGTACTAATATAATTCCCCGCACTTGAAAAACATCTGCAGGGTGATCTTGTCGGAATTTTCCTTTACATGAAAGATGCAACTGTTGTGGAATGTACAAGTTTCATAGTTCTTTTCTTTATTTATTTTACTTCCAGCAGGCCAAAAAGGAGAAAGAGAGGGAGGAAAAAGAGAAACGGAAAGAGAGAGAGAGAAAGGAGAAGGAGAAGGAGAAGGAACGTGAAAGGGAAAAAGGGAAGGAGCGAATCAAAAAGGATGAAACGGACAGTGAAAATGTTGATGCAACAGACAGTTATGGCCATAAAGAGGATAAAAAAAGAGAAAAAGACAAAGATAGAAAGCACCGGCGACGCCATCAAAGTGGTGCTGATGATATAAGTTCCGACAGGGATGAGAAGGAGGAATCTAAAAAATCACGGAGACATGGCAGTGACCGTAAGAAATCTAGAAAGGTATTCAACTTATTTTTGTCTGCAGTTAAGCATGGTTAAAATTCTTTAATTCTTTTATGATCTTTTCTGGCAGCATTCATACACACCTGAATCTGATAGTGAAAGCCGACATAAAAGGCACAAGAGAGACCACCGGGATAGTTCCCGTAGAAATGGTGGCTATGAAGAGCTAGAAGATGGTGAGCTCGGCGAGGATGGAGAAATCCAGTAGTACTATATAATCCTAATTTTCTTCAGATTACTAATTAAATGCATCAGCGAGCATGTAACATCTACTTTCAAATTTTCCCAGCTCCGCCAAATCATGTAAGACTGTAGTTGGAGATAAATGATCGATGTAGTTTTTGAAATTAGGTTCATCATGAACTGCTGTTTTGATAGGATGTATAGAAGTATATACTTCCGCTTTAGTTCCAGGTATATGATGATTAACATTTTTGTTTGGCGTGTAAATGCCAAGTATCTTTACAGTGGGAATGATAGCGTTGATAAACTGGGATTAATGGAAGATGAAAGGCTTTTAATTTCATTTTTGGAAGCAGCCACAGTTGCAGCTTCAGAGGTGGAATATATATAACCTAATCCTTTAAAAGTGCAAGTATTTGTGTGATCAATAACCCAGCCGTATGCGACATGTGTATAAGTTGAAGAGGTGAAATCACAATCTACGTGAATTTATTTTGCTTATTCTTGGTTGTTTAAACATCCAAATCTGCCAAGCAATAATTTCAATGAACTTTGACCTTATTTCTATTATTTGAACACGAGTAAGTTTAGGATTGGCAAATGTCGATTCTTGTCCATTCCAGTTACATGGTGTGGGGACCTGATTGTTCTCAGTGTGCAATGTCCGTGACTGGCTTAATATCTCAGTCAAAAATAAACTCGTAATTTTCTGATTCTAATAATTTGATCAAGTAAAATAGAAAGATGGCATATAATGCAAAAACTGGGAAATAATTACTTCTGATACCATCTCAACATCCGGTTATTAAATCGATCATGTCTGTCACAATTTCACTCTTCATGTCTTCAAAAATTGCATCTCCAATCTCAAACCCCATTTCCCATCTCTGTTTCTCGTAACAGCTCCAATCTTGCGTTGAATCAAGAAATTCTATTTCCAAAAGTTGTGCCAACTTTGATTGTTTTCCCCACAACTTTACTTTCTCTCCAATAAGCTTTCCAATTTGTTCTGATGCTAATAACTGTCTCTGCTTCTCCTTCCTTCCTTGGGTTTCTACTATCTCCCTTACACAGTCAAAAAGAAGTTGCTTTGTTTGTTTCAACTGAATAACTGTCTTAGGTTTCAAGGATTTTGAAGAAATATCAGATTGTGCAAGCTCCTGTGTTTCTGGGACTTGTGGTATATTTGCTTTCTCAGCTTCTGAGTTGATAAGTATTTTCCAAAGAGAGGCTGATAAAATAGTATCTTCTGTAACTTCCTTGGGGAGAAGAGCACGAGTCTTTGAAGAATTATTTTCTTTTACTGCACTGAAGTACCCTGTTTTATCTGGGGAAAAAAAAAAAAGCAAGTAGAATTCAACACCAAAAAGAGAGAAAAAATCAGTCAAACTAAAATGTTTTTGAGTTAATGGTAGATAATGATACTAACTGTAATGGAGTGAAGAAACCTCTTCTAATACAGAGACGGGACTGAATTGCCTACTCTCTACGATGCATTGCCATGGATGCTTTCTATCTGTAACAGCCTGTTAACTTTATTAGTAAAGTGAACAAATCCAAAAATTTCGAATTTTCTATTTAATTATAATCGTAAAATAAGAAACTATAGTTCCGTACCTCTTCTCTTATCAAATTACAGAGCCTTTGGTCGTTTGGTGTGAATAAGATTTGAGTTTTTTGCTGTGATGTTGAGTTTTCTTCTGCATCACTTCCAGAACATGAATTAAACACAGTAGAACTGCTAGCAGAAGAAAATCTGTCAAATTCTGCTGCTTCTTGATTATTATACCGGTCCTTATTTTCTTCAACATTAACATTTCCATTTCTACGACTGGAACCTTTGATTCTGAACCGCCCATTTAATGAAATAACCTGATTATATACAGCTGTAAATACCTTGGAACATTGAGTGATACCCTTTTTGTTACTCGGGTTTAGGCCAAAGCTAACTGACCTCTTCAAGGACTTTCTTGGATTTCCATTGCAGCAAGTGAAGCCACTAGTTGGGTTAAAGCTTTTTCTAAAATAACCTTTTTCTAATAGATAAAGGTCAAAAATAAAAGGTTCTTGCTGTTCTTGAAGGAGTTCTTTAAGTTTAACTGGTTTGGGCTCTCTAGCAGCCATTGAACTAATGAAGAAGAAGAAATGCTAGTTTAGTTCAGTTTTGAGAGAAGATAAATGAATAGATATATATATATATATATATATATAATAAATGGGATAGACAAAGCATACCTGTCAGTTTGGGACAGAAGAGAAAGAATGGGTATTTAAGTAGTATGTTGTTTCTCTAGGCCATATGGTCATAAATGTTATTCAGTTTCAGATTACCTGTACTCACAAAGATTATGTTACTGGTATGTATTTTTCTAATGGAGTTTTATCTTTCTTTTCTTCTATTCTAATTTCCAGAGAGTAGAGTTCGTTTAGTGTACATCACTGATTGTTTTTATTTTAGATTTATGTCTCTGTTTCCTCTCTTTCATGCCCACATGGTCCTAACAGAATTTGTCTTACTTGTGAGGAAAATACAAGCTACCAATTTAATTGCAATACTGCCAAAACAACAGTATGCATACAATATACATCCAGATTGCTCTCTTTTTCAATTTTTTTTTTTTTTGGGAGGATTTTTAATGGAATGGAATTGAATTTAAACTTGTAGTGTTATCTTCTTTGATGTAAATAGGATTTATGCAGTGACTAATGAAATATAGTATTTACTTTTGCTCTTCATTTTATATAATAATGCTTAACAGAGCAAATATGTTTGTGAAGCTCCTAATCCTGAGTGGAAATCACATTCATGATTATCTTTAATTGCTTTGCTTTAAAGCTCAAAAGAATGAATGAAAGAAAGGGTTCCTTTCTTTAATTATTTTTGTCGGACTCTTTTTGGGTTATTTAATCTCATTTTGAGCCTAATCAAACCCCTTAAAGCCCCACAGTCAGGAAAAGAGTGCAGTCGTGTTGGTTGTGGGTCATCTCTTCTAACAACTCTCGTCCTCTGCCCCAAAAGAAGAGTTGCCAAAAAAGGTGCAATTCAGATGGGTCCTATCCTCGCAGCAAAATGTTGTTTTTTTTCCTTTTACTTTCTATATTAACTGAACTAACTACTATTTGAATTTTTAATAACAAAGCTCTTGTATGATTGTATTATGTTGTTAGATCATAAGTTTGTTAAGCTTCATTATTGTACAATAAATGACTTTACCAAATACTAGTTTAATGACATACTTTATTTTAATAAATATTTTCAAGTACTCATCATCATTGTCACGCCATTTTGTGGAGGTTCAGTATCATAATTAAGCACCCATATGTTTTTTTTTTTTTTTCAAGAAAGCTATATTTTAATTAAAAAATAAATTATATAATTACTCTTCTTTTTATTTTTTTTTAATTAATAAAAAAGAAATTCGAATCTGGACAGATTATACATGCACTTAGCTAAAGTTTTATATTTAAAATGGAAGGTCCAATTGAATTTTCATGGTCCTAAATCCGTGGAGTTCATATAAAGTATGATTATTATGTCTAACCAACGGACAAGATAACTACTATCTTTTATGGCATGAAAACTCATATGGACAAACACGTTGACACTTTAATCATGTGGATAAGTCTTTGATACAGCAGCATCATGATACATCATAATCGAGTCCCTTGATAACAAGAATAAAATGAAATCTAGCCGTTAAAATTTCTTACATAGTTGGTCATATATGTATATCTGCATGCTACCTAATGAGATATGCCATCGTCATTGAATTGGCCCATTCTAAATGTTTAGGTCGTGTATTTAACGGTGGTTTGAAAGAATTTTTGAAATCAAATTGTAAATAATAGTTTTTAATTTTTTTAAATTAAATTAACGTAATACAATTTAATTTAGTTTTATAGTACAATTTTCTTTTACCGGTTTCAATAATTTTTTTCTTTTAATTTAAAAAGAATTTCATTATTTTTATTCTTCAAAATAAACGAATTATTTACTTCTGAATTTCAATTCAAATGAAAAGTGTTGATTATATATATTGTAAAAGCTGATGGGATAGGTAATGGGCCTTTGTTATCACTCCCAATCTAATAAACAACTCCAAAACTCTTACCTTATGGCCCATAAGGTAAGAAGATTACTCATAAAAGGTTGATGGGATGGGTCATGGGCCTTCATTATCAGTCAATATCTAATCAAATACTCCAAAACCCATCACTAATCACTAATTAGTGGACAGTAATGGGAGTTACGTAAGCTAATCACTTTTGGAGAATTTTAACTTCGTGAGATGAGTCTGCTCGATGCAACAAAAGAGAGACGGACATGTGCGGCCTCTTAAAAGAAAGAGAGCACACGTGTGCCATAACAGGTAATTGGTACCATCATGAGTTGGAATGTTTTTTCGTTGTCCTTTGAAATTGAAGAGTCTAAAGCCGACAAATTTTAGGAACGAAGATGCACAATCAATTCAACTGGATTACGTGTTCAATTCAAAACCAGTTACTGATGAAACTATTCATTCAAAGTACCAACAAAAATTACTGAAACGAGTGATATAGCACTTTTCAGCTGTATTTACAATAGCTTTTCAAAGAGTTTAGCGTTTTATAAAAGATTAATGGCGTTTTATAACACTATTAAAATAGCTAAACACTGCACTAAAACAGCTAAACCCTGAAGTAACCTTGACTGCCAATTACCAGCAGAAACCTCCTAAAACTGTTTGAGAATCTGATAAAATGCCATTTGTATTCTTCCTTGAGTTGCAGAAATACCACAAGGAAATGTCTGACTGACTGCAATAGCAATATTGTAGAAAATGACGAAATTCAGACTCTGATAATGCTAGAGACAATAAGTTACTTGCAACTTGTCATCAACCTGTAAAATTTTAAATACTTATCTAGGCTGACAATCAAAAAAATCCAGTAAAATACATAGCAACGAATATGCAACACAGGAAACGATAGAGATTCAAATTGCAGGCTTATATAACATTAAAAGAAGCAATCACTAGACTTCAATACCCAAGAGGTTTGGATACTGAAACTGGATCTAGGGCTCTCAATTTCTCCATTTTGGATTTAAATTCACTCTGGAAGGATGTAAATGATCTCTGTCGACCAGCAAAAGCAACATTGAATTGTTTAATCTCTTCTACAAGATCTTTCCTTCTCTGTGCTTCAGTGTTCAAATCTTTCAAAATATTTTCCTTTTGCTCAGTCACAAAAGCAAGCTTTTGAGATGATTCTGAGACTCTTTCAAGCAAGGAATCTCTTTCTTCTTTCAAAAGCTGAAAATCTCTTTCCAAGCTAGCATATTTTTCTCTAGAATCCTCCAAAAGCTGGTTATTCAGATCCAGCTTTTTCTCTAAATCATGGTATTTTTTCTTGATATTGTCAAGTTCATAGCTTGGTTTCTCCATTGAAGAAGCAGTTTCTCCCCCCGTGTTGGAGCCCTTCATCAGATTTAAAAGCTAAATCTTAAAGAGGGAAACAACCTAAATGCTTATGTTTGGAGCTAAAATGTAATTATTTTTGTTCAAGTACTTGCTGCTGAAATGTCTTAAGTTTGCTGATTTAAAAGACAAGACATGCAGAAGTTTTACTTCAAAAGGAAAAAATCATAATTCCACAAACAATTAAAGTGTCATCAAGACTTCAGAGAAAATAGTGCATGGAAATGAAAGGGACAGACACAAACAAAATATAAGCAAAGTATAAGCTTCATATATTTTTTTTTCTGACACAATAAGCAAATTCACCCACTGCATTCAATGCGAATCATGAGAAGTTTCAGCAGAATTGTAGTCCAGAGGTTCATTTATGCTAACAAATGCATGATGATATATTTTGAGCTGTTTAAAGGGTTTCAATGTCAGGATAAGAACTAAGAAAAGATGATTACTTTCTGCTGAATGTCTAGGGATTGGACAAAATCACAAGGAAATTCTTATTCTCTTTCCGGTCTGGAATCCCGTATCATTATTTGATAATTAACTAGTGAGGCTATATGCTCTTAGAGAAAAAAGAAAAGGGGAACTCAGGCTATACAATATGGACAAGAGGACAGGAAAAAAGTTTAAATCACCAAAATCTAGAAAAAGCATATCCAAATATCAGGGTGAAAAATAAAACCATGATCGATAAATGATATCTTGATGATTGTAACCAGGCAGCTACCTTATAGTCGCAGCTACATATTTTGTTCTTCGCTTCTTTATTCTGAATGGCTGATTTCTTCAATTCTGCCAGGGATGATATTGTGCCTTTTAACCTCTCAGAAAGCAGTCTGCATTGCTCTTGGACCAGGGAACCATTTCCTGGGAAAGGTTCATGATCATCCTTGGTCATAAGGAAATAAGATTCCAGATTTGAGAAAAGGCTTATGCCAATTTCATTTGTGGTAGAGAGCAGTTTGGCAGTAGAAGATTCCCCATCAGGTACAACACTCTGTTTCAAACAATAAAACAAAATGCTAACCATACAAAAAAATTATTGGCAAACATAAATTGAAAAGAAGCAAACTCATGCATAAGCTTCACCTGCAAAGTTAACAAAATATCCTCGTAAAGGTCTTTGCAACTGGCCACAGATTTGCACAAATATTGAGGAATCTCTCGGATAACCTCTACTTCTTGTTTCAGTTCTGACATTTCCTCCATCAAATGATTATTCAATAATAATTGTTCTGAGTGCTTCTTCTGTTAAGAAATGCATCCAACACATGAAAGCCATGAATGCATGTAATAGAAGAACAAATCTCAAAGAATTTGAATGGCATGAGCACAAAAACATAGTTTAACTACATACAATTTCTATAGAGAATCTATGATTGGCATGGTTGTAGTGTAAGATGCACATATAGACAAAGTACAAGTTACAAAATTTTGAAATGCAAGCTTGCTACGGATACATGTAAAGTGGCAACTAGAAGCTAATTTATGAAAATTTTGCTAATGTGCATAAGAATTTAAAAGATTGTCAAAATAAGACAAGCAACAGATAATATATGCTGATATGTTGACAACAATTATTTCTTTGTCATATACTCGAGACTTCCAATGTGTCCAGGGACTCCATAAAACACATCCACCAACCGTATAAAAGAATCCTGAAGTCCTGAACCTCTTTCGCCAGTAATGAGGTTGCATATCCAAGAAACAATATATATAAACATCAATGATGCTAGCCAACCATTGTGTAAAGTTCAAAAAATGTGAAGCCAATTTTATACTGACCTCAAGTTCATTCTTCTCCTCAGTGATGAGTTCTAGTTGTCTTCTAAGATTTTCAACTTCCAGTCTGTAATTATCATTAGAAAAGCCCTGGAAATTTTTATCGAGTCCAATTAAAATAAATCCATATATCATTTGTGAGAAGTTTCTTAGCATAAGGCAATACATGAACAGTAGTTACAATCAGTTTATTATTTAATATTTAGAATTGTTTCACAATGAAGCCTGTGCAGGTAAAGAAGCAATGAAAACCACTCATAAACAAGAAAACCAGTAATGAAATAGGCAAATCTTTGAAAAGGGTAGATGAATTGCAAATTATAAAATTAAGCTCTATAAAGAACAAGTAATTCATTTTTTGATCTTACTCATTTCTGCTGGTTCAACAATATAAAAAACTGTTTTTCCAGAAAAAGAAGAATTAAATATAGGATTTAATTTAGGAAATAAACTAAAGTTGAATACAGGAGAAAATGAATACGATATAATTGTTCCAGAAAATTAAAATTGAGTGCAAGAAAATCAGAATAATGAACTCACAGAAGTTGTTTCACTTGATGGAAAGGATTGAACTTTTCTTGCAGGAGTCTTTTGAATAGAATCAAGGTCAGCTATGTAACCTTTGTTCATTTTCAACCACGTGTCTTCGTCAGCTATATTGCTGAGAGTATCTGGAAGAGGACTGTAATCAGCAAGCCTGGAATAATCAGATCTTTTGGCAACAAAGGCATTTGGAGCTGCCTTAAAACAAGGGGTTCTAAAAGCATCTCCTTGGGATCTATTATTGCTGTCATTGAATTCTTCCTTGCTACTATGTCTCCATGACTTCTGTCCCTACCATGGTTATTTAATCAGCACAAAAGAAAATTGTATCAAACAAATTGGTAGAATGTTAGAAAAATGGCACAGAATGCATCTAAATGAAAAAAAAAAAGTTGTTCTTTTTTTTTTCAAACGTTCATTCAGCAAAAGCAATGAGTGCACAAAATTAGCATAAAATGATTTTTGAGCTTGCATTTGTTGACTAAAAGTCCACAGAATCAGTTTGCCCAGGGTCAAGGATTTAATAGTCTAAGCAATTCTTCAGATGATTTCGCAAAATCAAGATTACCCACAGTACATAGAGTCATCATTAAGAAAACTATTACTTCTTATAACGTATGAGATAAAAAAAGACAAAGGAATCCAAAATAGGGCCATGAGTAATTGCAATTTGGCAGCCCTGAAGGTGAACAAGATAAGACCTGACAGAGAAAGGTGAGTAATAGCAACCAATCAGTGTACTAAAAGGAAGGTTTACTTTTGTCAAAATGCTATAGGAGCACAGATCAGATATCTATCCATTTAACAATGTGCAAATAATCTGGATAAGGTAAAGATGGTGGATAGACAGCATCTACAATAAAGAGATTATTTATAAGTTATCAAAGTAATAAAACTTCAGATTTCGCTTCATTTTTATACCTGACCATCATTCTTATCACACTCTGGAATGGTGACAAGACTACTCAGATTGTCGATTTTCATCTGCTGCTCCCTGATGCATTGATCACGCTCTTTGTGTGATTTCCTCTCCTCCTCCAGTTGTGTTTCAAGTTTCTCCCGTTCTAATTCATACTGGACATGAGTGAGTAGAAAAAGGCATGAGATGAAATTAATGCATTGTCATAATTCAGGTACTCGTGATAATTTCCCACAACAGATCAAAGGTAGAATCTACCTTCAGCATTTCATTTCTCAATTTTAAGATCTCCTGCTCCAGTACTTCAGCCCGGGATCCCTAAACAAAAGCCTTGAAATATTGAACATTTTGTTTAAGCCTCTTATCATGTATGATAAACATGTCATTATCATCACCTGTAGTTTTCTGCGTAGTTCTTCTATCTCTAACTTCTGTCGCTTCAGTAAGGCTGCATCTGTCAAAATCTGAGACATATTCAACTTTGGTTTAGCTGTCTTGTGACTGTTATTGAATAAATACAAATTGCTTTGGAGAAAGAAGCTGTTAAGTGGAAACATTTTGATCAGTCATAATGTTATGCAGTAGAAACTAAAATGTAAATGGACAAATAAGCTGTCAATATGATAGTTCCAAGTGCCAGAAAAACAAATAAGACACAAATTTAAATCTTGCAAGCCACAACCCTGACATCACAGGAACTTTTTGAATGGAAGGTGCTAATCTTTCCTTGATATACACCAAGCACTCAGGTCATTGTGCTGGCTAGCTTATCTCTTTTGGACCAGCCAACACGAGCACCCAACACCTTAATTATTTTTCTTAAACCAGTACCCTGAAGTTTCATCATTTAATCACTTTGGAACTTAATAAATCTACATTACAATACAATTAATGAGTTAAACTGGTTAACATTTCATACAAGCAACAGACAGACCTCATTCACTTGGGCACAATTGGTGATTCGCTTGGCTCGGCTAGCAAATTGGAGAGTTCCCTTTGTTTCCTCAATGTGAACCTAGAAGTACCAAGAAAAAAAAAACAAACAAAGAATGAAAATTCACCAAAGGGTTAAACTTGACAGTTTTATAGTTGGTGGGGGAAAAATAATCTAATATAAGATAAAATAAAATATATAACAACTGGTAGGTACCTCTTCTGGTGCTATAGTACATATGATTGAAGTTTTGGCATTACCACCAAGAGCAGGTTGAAGTATACGGGTTAACTTGCTATCACGATAAGGAATATGCCCCCTGCATAAAGTTAGACAGTTCTATGAATATGCCTCGGAATTAAAGACATGATTCTGGTACCAAATTAAAGATCAACAGCACGAGAAACAATTACCTCTGCTTTGCACCATCACTCAGTTTGTTTATCACATTACCAAGAGCCATCAAACTCTTGTTGATGTGCTTCCCTTCTTTCAAACGTACTCCATCAGCTCCAGTTTTAGCAATCCTTTCTGATCCAGCTAAATCTACCAAGTTCTACTTTCCGAATGGAGGAAGTGAGCATAGAAATTTTGAAGAATCAAATACTGAACTCTATTACCATCTAAATAGAAAGAAAAAATACATGTTTAATAAAAATCTTCAGAAAAGAAATGTGAGAGAATACACACCAAAACAGAGACTCGGATGGTATCACTGCACGAATAATCTGTAGATGAGACAGTATCCTTTGCTTTGCTTTCAATAACCTGGAATAAAAGATGAACAGTATAAAAAGTAAGCAATTTTATTTTATCCGAGGAATGGTGTATAATTAGAGCTCGATTTCAATAATAGATCAAAGGCGATACCATTCTGAATATTGTGTGAGACCTGCTACTACGAACATTCATGTTTGTCTCCCCAAAGTGCCTATTAACTGAGAAAGTTTTGAAGAGCATATAAGCATATGTATTTCATGTTTTAAAGGAATATAGAAGAAACTTGAGGCTATATGCATTTAAACCTTCTCCTGCTGCAATGAGATTGAGCACTTGTTCAGCATTACTCACGATTTCCTCCCTAAGGCCTGCCACAAATATACCACGCTGAAAAGTAAAAAAGTTAAGTAAATTGCACATTCCAATGCAATTAATGAAAAGAGTCCAAAGTTCTAGTTAGTTATTCAACCTCCAAACTCTCATGTATTTGTAGTTTCTGGTTTTCCACAGCAAAAAGATCATTAATTTCTTCATTATAAATCTCCATATAAGATACCCGTATAAGAAACTCCCTGTCAGAAATCTGCTTCAAAAATAGTAAAGTCAAAAGTACAATTTTTGTAAGCACATAAAAGACACTTTAACAGCAGGTATAGCTATGTTACCATCTGTATTTTGTTGAATACATCTTTAACTGCTCGATGAATAATTCCTGGATTAGCTTCAGAACCATTCATGGTGAAAGTCTTGCCACTACTTGTCTGTCCATAAGCAAATGCAGTGCCTGGAAAGATTTCAAAAAAATCAACGCCATATTCTAATAAATCTATCAAGTCCTGATCAGTTACCGAATGCACAGATCAGATCCAGAGTCATTCAACAATTATACAAAGTTATTCCACCAAGAACAAAGCCATAGCAACACAAAAATCATCCACCCAAACGAAATTTAACCCAAATGGGAACTTTAAGTATAAAAAAAGGCAATACCATTAAAGCCCCCCACAGCAGCATGGATGATATCCTTGGTAAGAAGCTCATAAACTCTAGCATTTGTGCAACTTTCGTCGAACACATGATCTGTCATTGTCAACAAACAAAACAACCGTCATACTCAGAAAACCAAGAAAAAAAAAAAAAAAAACAAAACAAAGAGAGAGAGATGAATAAACAGGTACAGAAAAAAAAAAAAGCACTATCCAGATCCATGCGAAGGTTATATTAGAGGAAATGGATGGTAATATTCATTATCACATACCAAAAGAATGGGAGACGCCGGAGATAGGAGTACCGTCGGACTTGCGAAGAGAGATGTGATTATCTTCGATCCTCCAGTGATTTCCATTGGAGGTCTCTTGAGACACAGCTACTGGTGGTCTCACTCTAACCGCTACACAAATCTTCTCCATTTTCCCTCTGTCTGTCTTTGGCGATTTTGAGTTCGAAATTTGCTTGATTTTGAATCTGACTCACGCTCAGGGGCGGGATAATAACGTTTGATTTTTTGAAAGCCTAATTCCTGATTTTAAAACCTTGCGTATTTACGGAAAGTCCCTCAAATTAAAGCCCAAGACAAAGGGGAAACATATTCTGTGACCCAATGTGAATTTCGGCTGATATTGGGCCGTTATCGACTTCTACCGTCTGACTCTAACACGTGGCATCAACTCAATCCACCAGGTCTGACGCATCATCCGTAGAGGATAAATGACGATGGCATGGAATTATACTAGTGACTGGCAGACAACATATCGATGACGTGGCACGATCATGCTACCACAATGACTTGCCATGTCCCTTGATGACGTTGCAGAAGCTAACGCGTCAAAGGTTGATGACGTGTCACGTGTTGGCCATCGTGGCACAAGATGACATATCAAGTGAGCTGACATGTTCAGTGTTGATGACATGACGCCCGATGACATGCAAAAACCTTGTTGACATATGCAGCAAAACCTGACGTGTCCAAGATTTTACTAACAACATAGCAGATGATGTGGCTCAATTTGCTAATGTGTACTGAAAAGGTGACGTGTGCAGGCATGACATGTCATGACCGGTGGTGTGTGCTATGACGTGTGAAGAAACAAATTATGTGGCATATCATGAGCCATCAGCTGGATGCCGTATAATATGACTTGTAAGTAGTGCAGCTGGTGTATCATCATGTTGATGCATGTCACAACTTAACGATCTTGGTTTGACTTGACATGCGAAATATGTTGAGTTGTGGAGATAACGTGGCATAAAAGATGTGTCCGAACTCTGCTAACATGTCAATCGGTCTAACATTATTAACCACGTAGCAGAAGATGTGGCTCCCATGCAGAAGTGTTAGGTTCTTACGATTATTTGGCTGCCGACAGAAAGGTGGTATGACATGGCACATTGGTGATGTGTTGCAATTGGAAGACGTGTTGGCAACATCCTCAGTTTCATCGATAACGTGGACATAAGCGATGATGTGTATAGCTATCAATGAGATGGCAACGGGATATATATGCTGACATGGCATGAAAGATGACGTGGCATTAAGTTGATGACATTGTATAGCTGACATGTGACGTGTGTTGATTTTTGGCTGCAGACTGGAAAATGACGTCATTAGATGATGTCATTAAAGAATCTTTTTGGGATTTGAGCCCAATAAAGGCCCTGGGATATCTTCGGCCCAACTGGTTTTGGGTTTTTATTGGCCTCGCGTCTGCTGTACTGTCGGACTGGTTTACCTTTTCTTAATTGTCAGTCTTAGTCTCCATATTTGATTACTCAGCTAGGCTCCTCGTATCATGGGCAAAAAAAAATTTGGGCTAAAAGTCATATCCGTTTTTCTTTGGGCTTCTTTTTTGTGGGTTCTAGTGTTTGGTTTTTATAGTTTAATAATTAAAATAAATAATATTATAAAAATAATATTTATTTTTTTATTCAATATCGTGTTAAATATAATTTATTTTTTTAAGAAAATACACTAAATTTAAAAATTTGACAAATTAAATATACGTAGCAAAAAAATAAAAATACACATGTTAGGTAATTTATGTGTTACATATCCAAACTTGGATCAAATTATAAAATTGAAACCTTCCTATTCTATTTAATACTTGCGAGTCTGATCTGTCACCACTACATGCAAATAATGAACAAGAATTGCAAACGAACTCTTTATATACATTTTTTTTACAAAAAAAGAAATTAAAAATTTTATTGCGATATTATTAAAACGGATATGATTCAGCATTCGTGTATTTTCCTTAAACTTACTTTGCAAATTAATAAAATATAACAGTAAACGATCCCCACCTAATCTTTTTTATGGTTGAACGTACGAACGAACATAATGCTGCAAGCTTAATAGTCAAAAAGGAATTATTTAGTTAAGAACTTGATCAGATCATTACTAATGATCCCTCTCTCTCTTTCTCTGCCTATGTACTGCTCTTGGAAACATGCAAACAAGAACTTGTAAATGAAGAAAGAGACACGACTAATCTATAAAGCATTGGAAGTCAAGAAACGAGTACATGACCTACCATTCATTTACACACAAGCAATTACATAGATGCCTAATGTTAGTCACAACCCAAAGTGGGCACAAAATCAATTTCATTATTCTTTCTTTTTTTTTTTTTTTTTTTTTTTTGATGCCTAATGTTAGTTCACAAAACCCAAAGTGGGCACAAAATCAATTTCATTTTCTTTCTTTTTTTTTTTTTTTTTTTTTCGGCTTTTTTTTTTTTTTTTTTTTTTTTTCGGCTTTCTTTGTTGGGTTGGTTTGACAGTCAACTCAAATTATTTGATCCTTTTATCTTTCTTTTTGTTTGTATTTTTTCTTCTTCTCTCAAGTAAGTAATATACTTTTAGCGATTTGATGGGGGCTACAGATCCGAATCCATTCCTTGAACCTGGAAGAGAAGGGTCCCATCTCTTTGTGAGATTCTGCTGTCCGTCCATCGATTTTATTTCCTGTGCATGCATATAATTATAATTAATCAAAAAATGTAATATGATTCAAATAATTAAAGATATGGGAGGATATCATATTTTAATCTACAATTAATTATTAAATTTAGTTGTTTATTTGACAAATAGTTGACTGATCAACGGAATATTCGATAGAAGTTCCAATTATTTGTATGTATTTAGATTCTTCTATAACTATTGAGATAAGGGAAGAAATTAAATTCTGTAATTTACATTCTCAAATTCACTGAGCTAAAAACAATTCTGTGTTTGAATTTAAATTCAGATATTTATTATATCCAAAAATCTTCCTAAATAGAGTTAAATATCCAAATTAAATAATAATATAATAGAATCAAAATAGTCCATAAACTGCAACTGCAAGCAAGACTGCTTTATGTCTCATACTTCTTTTAGAATCGCAATTGCTAGAAAATAGGGCAACCCACCTTCCTCACTAATGGCGTCGGCGTTGCAAATAAGAATATTGAATGTGTGTTTTTCATCATACGTGTCAATTTAGAAAAAAAGCGATGCCGAATTAAAGTATAAAGCAACCACGTGATTAAAAAACCCATAAGCATAACTTTTTTTGGTACATCAATCTTTTTAATTTAGACAAATTAATTTTTCTTTTTTTCTCTTGGATATAATTAGTTTGTGGCCTGCATGGTGTCACCTGTAACATGATCATTGATCACTACAAATCAAGAATTCTCAGTATATGCTGGTCATATATTCAAGAATCTGGGAACCTCTGTTTTACAAACATGTGGGACTGTTTGTATTGTTCAAACGGAGGCAAGCCAATGCAGTTCGTTGCTGAATAAACCTTCTAAAGATTTGTATGGAGAAAATATATAATTTTCTCCACGTATTTTAACTTTTTATCTTTCTCTTTTTAAATCGAGGGTTCAAGAAAATTTCTTGGAATAAATGTGAACAAGAAAGAAAAAAGGAACTGCCCAAAACGAAGCAGCCTTTTTAACTAGAACACGTTTTCTCTCAGCTTTTTTCACATTTATGACTTTTCTTAATTACTATAATGTAAAAGGTTAGAATCATCTTTTATACTTGCAAGTTGCAATCTCATAACAAAAGAAAAGAAATTTGATTGAAAAGAAACTTCATTACCGTATACAATTTTTTATTTTTCCCTTTAAAGTTTCATTGATACGCATTTGTTCATTTCATAGAAGGGTTAATTAGTCATCGAAGGGAAAGCAAAACGGAAAGTACTCGGAGATATGGATAGCTGGAATTTATGTTATCGACATACAATTTAAAGACAAATTCCCATGAAATTAATAACGTTAATGTTATCATGAGGAATTCTCAAATTCATCATCTCCAATTCTCTCTCTCTCTCTCTCTCTTTTTTGAATAAGTGACATTTTTTATTCCAAAAAAAGTTAGCTATCTTGTATATAAAATTATATTTGGATGAATTTTATCAATATTTACTTGTTTAGATGATGAAATCAAAATTTAGTTACCTTGCCAATAAAAATATAATCCAAATGAATATGTGATGAGTCAAGGATTATGGATATGTGTATATATTATGAATTGCATTCACAGGAATATATATTATCATAATTGAGTTTTATAAATTACAAGTCTTGTTTTCTTTACTTTGAAATAATTATATATATAAAATAAAATTATTTATCACTTATAATTACCTTGATCGAGTCATTCGATTGATGACATTTTTGGTTTGATCTTTAACCACAATTACTTAATTTAATTGTTTTCTTTTTAACTTTGCTTCTAAAAGAAATTTAAGGATTGATGTGTTTGAAAAACAAAATTAAACATCAAATTAATTAAAGAGTATAATAAACTGAAATTCCAAAAAATATTACTAAAGTATTTTTATTTTGATTTTTGTAGGCAATATTAGACTGTTTTAAGGAGTATAGAGAGGAATCAAACATGTCCTTTTTGAAAAGGAGAATCGGTAATATAATAATAGTCCTGTCACAACAACTTTTCCTGGGCTGAATCTTTTAGGTGAACGTTGTTGATTTCTGGGTCCAAACAAGTCAAATTAATCCACCTACACCTTCCTTTTTCAGTTTAATTTTACCTTCCTCTCTTTGTTTTATTGGTTTTGTAATAGTTGAATTTGAGGCTAATCCAAAACAGAAAGCTATAGAAGAGAGAAAGTACAAAACAGTCCATTCACTAATCCTCTCAAAACACAAAAGAAATATATATATATATATAAAATAAAATTATTTATCACTATTTATAATTACCTTGATCGATGTCAATTGATTGATGACATTTTTGGTTTGATCTTTAACCCAGCGAATTACTTAATTTAATTGTTTTTCTTTAACTTTTGCTAATCTAAAAGAAATTTAAGGATTTTTTGATAATGATGTAATATAGATAGAAAGAAAAACTACAAATGAAATCATAAAAACATTCCATGTACAAATTCCAATATACAAATTACAAAAGGAGTGTATTGCAAATAAACTGAAATTCCAAAAAAATATTACTAAAAGCTATTTATCTTTTCGATATTTTTCTTGTAGGCAATCATAATAAGCGATGATTTTTATCCGGGAAGTATAAGAGAGGAATCAAACATGTCCTTTTTTCGAAGCAGGAAGTACATCCCCTGCCCAGATGTTTTTCAAGTGGCATAAATATTGAGGAGTAATTAGTCCTGTCACAACAAAGGGCTAATTTCCCTTATTTTCACGGGAATTATATAGTACCCTTTTACCTTCCTCTGGGAGCTGAATTACTTGTAGCTTTACGCACTGTTGAACCGTTGGGTTGATTTTTCTTGGTTGTTCCAAAAACGTCAAATTAATTTACCATCCTACACCTTCCTTTTTTCCAGTTTTATTATTCTTACTTCCCTCTCCTTTTTGTGTTTATCAAGGGTTTGTTCTAATAGTTCGCAATATTGAGGTACTTTACTTTCCAAAACCATCAAAAAATGCTCTATAGACAGAGAGATAAAGGCTCTAAACAACTAAACCTTACGTCCTACTCTTCAACTAATCCTCTCAAAACACAAAAGAAATACCCTAAAATTTAGATCTATATACTATAATCAGATGAAGACAATGATACAGAAGGTAAACCATTATTCAGAAAATAATGATAAAGTGATAATAATAATAGGTTTACATTATATTTATAGCCACGGAGCCAGTTTTTCAGATGACTAGCTGCTGATTCGAGCTTACAACTGTTAGCTTCTAGTCGAGAGCTCTCAATGGTCACATATTATGTTGTGCGCTGACCTATACCATCTATAACCCTGATCAGTCGATTGTATTAAAGGCTCAAAAGAATGACGTAGAGTGCCTAGGTTAGAGGAGAAGCGGTACGAAATATTATTTACATATATATTTTGCCCGAGTTTTCATGAAGCTGCTGTTGAGCTTACAACTGTTAGCTCTAGAGCTCTCATGTACATATATGTTGGTGGACCTATACCTCATAACTGATCAAGCATGTTAAAGGGAAAAAGAAGAGAGAGGGAGAGAGAGAAAAGAGAAACGTCCAGCTGCTAAAAAAGAAGTCCTAGACAAGACCCATAACCGGACATGCATCTAACCTAATCTTTACGTGCTATAGCAACGTGGTTTCGTCCAAAAAGAGCTTTAAAAAAGAGAGAGAAAATTTTCACGAGCAGCCAACCTAACACGCCTGTCCATTTGTCGAGATAGAGAGAGAGAGCGCTAGCTCTAATATTTGTCTGTTAATTAGAGCTTCTTGGCCTATCTTATTATTTACGTTAAATAAATTAGGGTTGATGATAACTATTGAAGCCGTTGCATGGTTTGCATGGCAACTAAAGTATGGCATAGATCCGAAAGTCTGGCCTGGAGAGCTAAATATTCAGTTGTTAACTGGTTATTTTCTCTCCATAATACGTGGCAATGGTCTAAAACTGAACCCAACCGCTTCTTCAGTTCCTGGTTCTGTATTCCTAACCGGTTCACTTGTACAGTAAGGTTCTCTACATGCCTCTTCTTTCTCCAGCGGGACCGTCGGGCTGACTCCCGGTTCGAAATCATGCGCCTACGCTTTCTCTCATCCACAGAGTAAACCACCCGGTTCGACTCTTCCGAACCAGAGTTTGGGCTACTAGTACTAGAGGGTGGGCTACTAGTACTAGAGGGTGATTCGAGTAGAGACAAGAGTTCCTCAATTTCACTGGCTGTGAACCCGGTTTCAAGAACCGGATAGTCGAACTGAACCGAATCTTGGGCTAAGAACATGGTGACTAGAATTAGAACCAATGATGAACCGGTTTCCTTTTTTTTTTTTTTTTTTTTTTTAATCTGGCTTTTGGAACCCAGGTTTCAAGAACGGCTGAAGTTACGAATACCAACTGGAAAAATAACCGAATTATATCTTGGGCTTAAGAAATACATGGTGGACTAGAATTGTATAGCACCACATGATGATAAACCCGGTTTCTCTTATTTATGTTTTTTTATCTTTTTTTTGTTTTTTTTAGGCAAAGAGAACCGCGGGAGCAGGGAAGAAATGGGGAAAAGGAAGAATGAAGCTGCCTGCGAAAGTGGTATTTATAGAAGAGATAGTTGAATACACAATTGGCGGTGGTCCACAGTAAACAAAAGATTGTTTTTTTTTTTTTTTTTTTTTTGGCAAAGAGAACCGGAGAGAGGAGAAATGGGGAAAAGGGAAGAATGAAGTGCTGCGAAATGGTATTTATAGAGAGAAGTGAAACACATGGGGTCCACGTAAACAAAAGATTGAGGAAGAGCATGGGGTCCAGAAAAATAGAAAAATTTTTGCTTTTTGTGTCCGGTGGCATGATGGTGGAGAGTCTTTATTTATTTATTTATTTGTTAGATGATGGTGTGTGTGAGAGTAAGATCAGGTTATCTTAATCACGAAGAATCAAACAAAAACAGATAAATTACAAATTACTGAAAAAAAAAAAAAAAAAAAGGTGTTACAGTACTAACTTTATAGCAGAAGTCATATGGCATAGGAAGGCCGTTGCCATGGACTAATAACCTCAGGTTACGTGGTTTGTCGGTTGTAGTTTTGTCCCAAAAAGTATTGTATAAATGTTGAAAATGTTTCAGCACTATTATTATTATTATTATTATTATTATTAGTACCTTAGTTATTTTGAACGATGGGACTATTTGTTAATGAAAAGTAAATCTAAAAAAATTATTTTAGTCATTTAAAAAAAAAAAGAAAAATGAATTTAGCAATTACTTATATTTTGGGGATTGAATAATAATAATTTATTCAATTAATACTGGAGTTATTTCACAAAAGAGAGAATTAATAATATAAAAATAATAAGCTATAAATATTGGAAGAAAGCAGAACATGAACTTTACATGGAGATATGTAGTTTATGGGATTTGGATTTTCTGGAACTCAAATTACAGAAAAGAGTATAATTTGCATCATATGATTATGATTTGTGATTAAAGAAAAAGACGCAACTAAGAAATAAAGGTTTCACATTCATGACCTAATGATAAGGAAGGATGAAAGAGTACATATATACAAACAGCAAAACAACAAGAAAGCAAACGCGTATGTAACACCACCTACTTTTTCAAAAGGAAAGTTAATTACATGCATACATGGCTCCATTATTTTATTTTTCTAAAAAAAAAAAAAAAAAAATACACACTACATGCAAAAGCTAACCATTTAGCCAGGAGTTTCTGTTTCTTGTAATACAGATAAATTAAAATATTCAATTTTCATACACGTACCTTCGGCATTAAATCGAGTTCATTTACTATGGATTTTGCTCCCTATTTTTTATTTATTCTTTATTACCAACGTACCTTCAAGCATTAATCGAGTTCATTTACTATTGGAAATTTTCTCCCTATTTTTTATTTTATTCTTTATATATATATATATCATTATATATTATAACTGATATATATATACATATACCCTAAAATTACTATATATATAATTATTATTATATATTCTATTTAAGAAGTATGTTTATTGACTGTCAAATTCTCTTGAATTTTCTGTTACTAAATATTAGTGTTTTTATATTATTTCAACATTATTGCTAATTCTAGCACCATTCATGCTATTTTAAAATGTCATTGTTATATATTCTTTTAGGAAGTATGTTATTGACTGTCAAATTCTCTTGAATTTTCTGTTACTAATATATTTTTTATATATTTCAAATTATTGCTATTCTAGCACATCAAAATTTAAAATTTGTTCATGTTATGTTACAATATAATTCTCTTTTTTACTCTCATTTAATGTTTCTCTCCCCCAATTACGGAATTCTAATTCCATCCACAGTTTACGATTTCTAGTTACAGACTCCTATCATGGCATGCACATTCTTTTCGTCGGGTTATATATATAAATGTATATAAACTTATTATTAGATTTATTATTATTAAATTTTGTATGTTGAGGAATATTCGGAGTTAGTTTATTGGAACAGCATTCTTGGTAGTTTTGTAGTTGGCAGTTAGTGTTGGTTGTCGAATGTTAATTTAGGAAAATTTTGAAAAGCAAGGATAGTGGAGACTAACATGCACACGTTCTGGTGTTGTAACTTTAAGGCAGGAGTTGAAAAAGCGAATCTAAGCATCTCTGTTGCTCCTGTTATTATGGTTCAGTTCCCAAGTAGCCTTCATGTGCTGTTGGTGAAATATTTAAATGAATCCACCAGATCCCTCCTTTTCAATCCATTTTTCCGTTGCCTACCATATGCTAGGCAACCGATTACTAGTTGTTTTGTTCTCAGACACAAAATGTAGCATTAGGTCAATTTTATAGTGTTTACTGTCGTTTAGTATAAACTGTGAATTGCTTGAACAAATAGCTAGAGGTGGCAATTTCAGACGACTACGATCATCACATCCTTAATAGTCTTCATTAGCATATGTTAATTGATCTTGGGATTGAGCCTACAGGGACTATTTCTTAACTTCATTTTTATAGTAGAAATACATTGCTCTCTACGATAAAAATCGATCAAATGAAGAATTAATGGTTCGGGCTTCCAGTGCTCATTGTATCAATTACATTGGTTAGTCCCTAGTAATAGTATAATCCTTTGGCCAGAGAAAAATCTAGGTTTTCATTTTCATTTTATTTTTTGGCTTAGTTTTTCCATCTTTGTGGTATAACTACACCCAGAGTAAATCATAATTGACACAAAAATGTATCATGGAAAATATAATCGACATGAAAAAGTATCATGGAAAATACAATCGAAAAGCTTTATCAAAAGTGAAAAAAAAAAAATCAATTAGGAGAATTAGAGTTCGAAATCTGTACAATTGATTATTTTCACTCCTGAAATTACAAAAATTTAAATAAATTTAAAAAAGAAAAAAAAAAAAAAAAAAGTGAAATTTAGAGTTCGAAATTATTGTTACAATTGATTATTTTTAACTCCTAATTAACAAAAATTTAATATATAATATTTAAAAAAAGAAAAAAAAACAAAAAAGAAGAAGAGGAAAATCCAGCCACTCAGCAGCATCAAGCATTAGAAACCTAATATATTAATTATGCGAATTGAAGTTTGCAATGCGTCTTCTAATCTAAACATTTGAATCTCAAAATCAAGTGATAGACAACCCCAGTATCGTAAGAAGAAAAGACATTGAATGATTTGTCTCAGCCAATGTATATCACTTCCCATATTATCCCTTCCCTTTTTAATTTGAGGCTTGGGGTTTTCAATAGGTGGGTAAGCAAACGTTCGTGGCAACCGAGACGAGAAAGTTGCAAAAAAAAAAAAAAAAAAAAAAAAAGGGCGCCAAAGTTTAAAGCGAGCAGGGGCCACATATCATCAGCCAATAGGAAGAGAAACCTTAAAAGCTACGAAGCAGAATGAATATGAAAAAAATCGGAAAGAAAGGAAAAGTATCAATGCTAGAGGGTGATCTAAACACTGTGGTTGCCCCCAATTTCTGGTTTTAGGGGTTAATGGGCATCGGACAATCATTATAGATGGAAAAACACAAATAAATGGTAGTAAACTAGCCTATTAATTATACTGAGGAGGAAAAACCATGTTCATTAAAATGTGAACTTGGTAACTAACAATTTGCATGATTCAACACATCATACACGTACAGCATACTAAAATTTATTTTACAGCAAAATTGCTGTAAGGTTCTCAGAAAATTTACCTTCACTTGGGTTTGGCCCTTCAAATCTAGTCCTGCACTAGAAATTGAATTGGCATATGATATTATTAAAAGGAAAAAAAAAAAAAAAAGAAGAAAAAAAACAAGGCTTGCAACTCTTCATCACTTCCACTGATTGTTTTCTTCTGCACTTTCCTCTTGCTGGCAAGACCCATATGGTTTGCATTTACAGACGATACATAGCCTAAGAAACTTATAAGTTCACTGGCGGACTTCCCTGATTATAGCAGCCCAGAAAAAGAAAGGAAATAATTAATACTCTTTTGTCCATGCAAGGTTCAATACATGAAAAAAATAATTAACTTGCAATTTAAAACATCCTCAACAAATAGATCCAAACAAATAAATGTCCTATTGCAGTATATCCATGCCCATATATGGATATATGCTAGTCACAGTAATAATTTGCAAGCACTACCTCTACCCTGCAACCTAACAGGATAAGAAAGTAAAACACAGAATGCCATTGCCATGAAAAATGCTCTTCTATTTCATCCATTGACAACTGCAAAGCAGTCAACTTACCTTAAACAAAAGATCATAAGCAATATGTTCCCAGGGCAATGATATAGACATCAAGCAGCACTTAAGGGGCAGCATCTCGTCATCAGAACTTGTAGAGGCAGCAGCAGCTGCATAGGCATGCTTTGCTGCCACAGATGCAACTGATGCAGCTTTTCGAACAATTGAACCAATCCCAAACCCTTTCTTTGATGTAACTGGTGAAAAGGGGCCAAAATCCTGCTGACTTTGATCTGATAGAATCAAACCTTGATTTAGTAAGAGGGCATGAATTATTTGCACATACCTATAATTTAATAAAAAAGCATATCCCTATTGCAGCAGGCTTCCTGCTTTGCAAGGGCTGCGAAAAGGTTTGCCATCATATTTGCAGTGAGATTATTTCCATGGCCTCAAACTATAAGGAGTAATTTCTAATGAATTTAAACAGCTCTTTCACAGAAAAATTAGGAGTCCAGAATCCCCAAAGGGGGAAGGAAGCCACATGGACAATTGTTATATCTCTGCACACATGAATAAATCTGGCAAACCCCAGTATTGTCATCATTATCCTTCTGGACCATCTGAAGTTTTTCAACAAAAGTGATTGGTAGGACGCTGAATCAACAAGGATAGGCAATGTAATATTTACAGTAACCCTTCACCCTCCCCTCCCCCACCTCAAACACACAACAAAGACTCAACTCCCTCATAACGAACTAGACGAGAGAAAAAAAGAAAAGAGGAAGAAATATCAAGAAGAGAATTTCTCTTTTACCGGCAACACCAGAAACAGCAACTTCAACCTCCCCTCGTCCTCCTGGACCCTTCATGTACAGTTTATCTGTTTTGCCAGGGGATTGCCCAAGTGAAAGGAGACTTCCAAATCGAGACTTGCCAGCTGCAAATATATATATTATATACGCATAAGCAACAAGTTCTACTCAGTAAGTGTCCAAATCCTAGCCTAACCATACAAGAAGCCATAGAATTATTCAACAAAAACACTTGCAAAAATGCATAATTATGTCAAGAATCTGTTGTTTATCTAGGAGATGATACTAATAACAAAACAGGAACACAGTCAAGGGAGTGACACACAAACTTCATCGCAAATTCATATGCACTTTGTCATGGTTTAGATGGATCTTCATTCTCAAGTTATTTCAACAAGTCATGAGTTGAATGGTTGGATAAAATAGCAGCAACCATAGTTAGAAATTGATAACAAGTGAAAGTAATGATCAAATGTTTAGACTTTAAGCCTCACAGGTCCATCTATTTTGCAGTCTAAGCAAGGTTTGCATCATCAAAAACTGCAAAGCTTCAACAAAACTAGTTTAATGCTTAGCAGCATGTCCTCCATTAGTGATTATTAAATTGTTTAAGAATAACAATTTCAAAATAAAAAATAGTTTGAGTTGAAACTAAACCACGTAGGCAAAAGTCAATGTCAAGCCATTCTTTTACACATTTCAAGCATATTCCATCAATAACATGTGAAATGATAGAAAGGAAGTATATTTATTTCTGACTGGACCATTTTCTTATTAAAATTAGAAGACATACCATCATATGCTTCTCGAACCATTTGATAGCTTACAAACCCAGAGAAAAGAGTGAGCTGCAACCACAACTCCCAGAATGTTAAGTTATGTGAAAGCTGATTTTCTAAATATCAGGGTACTTTTTTTGTCCATCACCATGTATTATATCTCAGAATCGGTTAAACATAGGTAAATAGCATATCTCAAGTATGAAGTTGAGCAGAAGATAGCAGATGCTACTGTTATACATTGGAGGATTCCAAGAAGGAAGCTTCTTTGTGATGCTTATCCCTTTTCAACATGTGCATTATGTAACAATTGAAAGATAAATTTACTTATTGCCCTGTGCTACCTATCACCATCGTATTTGTAGAAGGACGCTAGTGAGTCAGTTAGTTTTTGGGATTCAAGGCTTTGCCGAGTTTTACCATAAATTTTTGAGCAACAAGATATGACAATTCTGAGATTTATGAGACAACTAGACAACCAATTATCGCCACAATGCAGCCTGCTAAAGTTTTAGTCGGATAAACAAAAACTAAGGAATTAGTGTTTTTTGCATCTATCACCTCACAAGCTTATTACATGCAACCCACTGGTTGCTCTTCATCAACAATTCACTCGTCCAAAGATTTTTTTTTTTTCAAAATAATAATAATAGTAATATTGAATGCTCTGCATTTATCACAAACATTAATGAAGCTCCTGCCTTTTGTTTTATTAATTACATTTACCAAAATTTCCAATCAAATGAAAAATAACAACTTGCAACCAGATAAAAGGTTGCACTTAAAAAGAAAGGGGGAAAACACAGCCTAGTTAACCAGGAATATACTCTGAATGAGAGGCTAATCTAACATATGCATTAATTATCATCGAATTATGACTTCATGAAGAATTTATAGCTCATATGCGGACCTTATTATAGATCATGGAAGTAGCATAAATAATTCTCACATGTGAACTGAAAGTTGACCCAGACCTTAGAATTCTTTGTCTTTGCAAAAGTAGTATCAGTTTTGAGAGGTGAATTACTACTAGAACTGGTATCTGGTGACCCCTTCTCGGTAGGAAATGCCGCCCCACCATGCGCATTGAGAAGGACACAGTAGCAATGGTCTGGTTCTGTCAAGACCTGTATGGTAGGTGAAAAATTGAAAAAAAATCTTCGGTAAATATAATACAAAGACATAAATAGAGTGAATTGGTTTTTATTGCATGAAGTGAGAAATACAGAGTAGGAAATGAAAATCTTTCGTCTGAAATATTTGCGGTTGTTTAATTATTAAGGCATAGTTAAACAGAGAAAAATAACAAACCAGAGTTTGTTTAAACACAAAGCATTAACTTCATCATATAATAAATAGCAGTCAGCTATAGTTGGTAGCTTTTTGAAAATATATTAATGCAGTAGAACTTGCAAAATGATGTACTAAAAGGTGCAACCATGTTAATATTAGCACATACGACTGCATCAAACGTGGAGTCAAAATCATCAATGGCAAAACAGATATCTGGATAGGCAGGAGTTGTCTCTACTTCCTGGATACATTTAGCAACAGAATCAGCAAAAAAATTGCATATAAAGAAGAAAGAAAAAATACAACATGTTTGTTCATATCAAATGAGCTTGCCTTTTTTGAGTCCAATTGAAAATCCACACGGCTTGGTGATGCATAAACAGTCTTTACAACCTGTAGAGAGACCACAGGCCACATTCATATATCTAAACAGTTGCAACTTCTCCACAGGCTCTGAAAAAACTACATGAACTGAATCGATGTTTCTTGATGCAAAGTTCAGTAGAGCTATTTCATGAGAAGAATCTTATAATCACAACACTTTAAGACAATGCACCACTCGCTAGCCCCATTTGTGGCCCCAACCAGCAAAGAATAAATTATAAAATTTAAAAACATGCACTGAACTTTACTAGGTAAGGCATGAAAAACATGTTACAGCAAGGACCACAATCCACATCATTCAAATAATAAGAAAAGCCTCTACCCATTATCAGATATGATAAAGGAATCTGATGAACGACATCGTTCTGACAAGAACTTTCTCGATTCCTTCCTCTTCTCTACTGAAAGAAGATATGGATCTGTGATGCTACGATGTACACAAGGTGGCTAATTGCTTCAAATTCATCACTAAATTGGGAACGCCAATCAATATTGTGATACAGATAACAGTAGAAAGCCTTAAATGGGCATAAGAATCTTTTTTTTTGGGACCTGTTAGATTGTTTTGGGGGTTTCAATTAGGATAAAAAAGATTGAATTTTCAGATGCTGAATAGTAGCAAGAATTCAAGGAATAAATAACATATTTTTTCTGGACTCTGAAATGTAGGAAAATCCTATCAAATAAAACTAGAAACTTAATGATTGAGATAAAAAAAATATGACCCTTTTTAGATACAAAAATATGACCCTTTCTTTTCTTTTATTGAAAAGTGCCTAATTCCTAGTGAACTATCATCTTAAGTGTAGATTGATTCTTGTGAAGCATTTTTCCTATCTCCTTTAAGGCAGCAAATTGGACCAATTATGTTTCCAAGAAAAGTGGGCTCACTTAAAATATCAAGAACATTCCAGATAACCAAAAGGAAATATTCAAAATCACCTAAATAAACCCAGAGAAGTAAGTGCATGAATTAAAAGCAGCAAGTACCTTGTATATGGGAGACAATGGTGCATCTTGCCCAGCTTGATGGTTGCGAAGGACCTGATGGCTGAAAAAAGGTCCAAAAGTATTCAAGATTGAAACAAAAAACTAAATAAATAAATAAATAAAAATAAAAGCATGATGCTGAGAGATGGAACATAAAAGTTACCTGCAAATTGCTACTGTAACTGTGAATGAAGTGTGTGCAATTAAATTCAAGTAAAATGAGCGCCTCCAATCTATCTCTTTGGAATGTTCACTGACCAAGTTATCCAACTGGTTGACAATAGTAAATATCTTATATAAGCACCATAGAAAATGATTTTCCAACTAAAAAGAAATTAAGGATGACATATATCAATTTGAGCAGAAAAATTATAGCCTAATTATCAATGTTCTACTATGTCAGCCAAATTCAGGTTCATCTTCATGTTTGTGTAAAATTAACATTTATCATTGAAAATCCAAGTTGGAACACTCCAAAATTCTTACTATCACTTTGAAGGAGCATGTTTATATTATACAAAAAAGGTAAAACGAACATGCATATCAAAAGATATTAATTCAACAAAATTTCAGCTTTTTTGTCAGGAATGAATGAACTTCGTAGCTGTGAATTGCTGTCCTTATCTTGATGTCCATGTAAATCAGAATACAAGTTTATTATCTTTTGGCTACTCAACTCATTGGAGCTAAGCAGGATGTGAACATGAGACATCATGATAGAGATAACAAATCATTTTTTTCTTCTGTCAAACTTTGACATCACAACTGCTGTACCACACCGGGATAATTTTTTTCTTAATACGTTTCTTCACAACCATTCGCTTTAAATTACCAACACCAGAAGTACGGCAAAATGTTGTTGCAAGTAATAGACCTCCATGCCTAAAAAACATTAATTCTGGTATAGGTAGACCTCAACCATATCAATAATGAGAGCACAATAACAAAAAGAGGATAAATGATCGTGAACTCACTAGATTTAACAGAAAACAGAAAATCTCCCACGTTAACTTTTTTTTTTTTTTTTTTTTTTTTTTTGAATATCCCAGGTTAACTTTTGAACACAAGACAAAGGCTAAACCAAAATGCTAATTTAATTTTCATAGGTGAAAAATGTTTATGTTAACAAGCACAGCGTGCCAACACATTGTAATTAAAAGGAAACTTTTGTTTAAGGAAGCTAACATGATGTTGCACAGCACATCATATTGCAGAAGAAAAACCTTCAAAGCTATAGCCTATATGCTTTTGCAAAGTCCTATTTCTAGAGGTGAAGAAAATTAATGAAACCAAATTTGTCACATATTCATCAAGCTAAAGCTTGATATCATGCTACTTTTACCTTAGGTGCCCACCTGCGTACAAAGTAGGGAGGGACGCCCTGCACAATATCATTGAAACCATATCCTTCTGTGCCCTAAAACATGTGAATTATACGAAAAAATTAGTGCAAACCAACTAGAGCATCACAAAATCAGGTAACACACTTAGAAGCCCCCCGGGGAGGCGGGGTGGGGGTAATGTGAAGAAAATGCCACACCATTTTTCTGACGAAAAATACAAGATCATCATCCTGCCGCCCCCTCGATTCCTTACCACGGATGAAGTATAAATCTAACATATCATACCAAAAACGGCCATCCATTTCAACATCTGAAGCATCTTGTTCACTCTCAGTAGCTTTACTGAGCAACTTAGAATGCTTTTTTACCATACTCAACAATTCATACCTACCAAAACAGCCATTCATAGTCAAATAATGAAATACACATCCACAATATGCCAACATCGAACTTAAACGCAAAAATGCAGCTCTAAAAGAAATTTGAAGTTTAAAATCAAATTACAATTCTAACTTAGTTCAGTTTAACCAGAATTTGATGTTTGCCTCTCCACAAAAAAAAAAAAAAAAAAAAAAGAAAAAAAAAAAAAAAAAAAAAGGAAATTCCAATTCGAACAGTTAAGTGCATCAAACGCGGGCAGCGAATGTAAGGAAGTAGAGAAGATTAGGCTAAACCCTAATCGGGCATAGGATCTGTACCTGGAAGGAGTGTCTTCTCCATCCCGTACCATTTCTTTGTCAAGTTTGGAAGAGAAAACAATAAATAAAAATCTTCTTGTAGTCTTGTATCAGTTCGTGGTTAATGAGATGATCAATAACGTAAGGGTTATAAAGTTTTTATTCTGACAAACGTTTCCATGAAAGAAGTGGCGCGAGTTGGAGTTGGTTGATTCGATATTCTGATTCCTTTGCTTCGGGTTCCTAACAGCTCAGGAAGACTCCAAGTGCAAGACGGCCAAGAATTATTAAGTAGATCTGAGCACAGAAAAAGAAGTGTGAGCTTGCCTCTGATGAAAGACAGGTGTCAGGTACAGAATAAGGGCGTTTTGGTCATTCCGGAGCCAGAAGTTGATAATTGGAATTGCAAAGGCTGTGACGATGGGCTGGCTATCCACAGTCGATTTGATGGTTGGAAAATGGCGTGAGAAACGATGTTTGATCCAACTTGGCCTGGCAGCGTCAAACTCTAGCGTAAGCCACGTGGACAACAGAGTGCTTTAAGAAAGACAGCTGGACTTCTAAAGAAATCATTGCAAGACAAGTGGAAAGACTGGAAACTTTTCCCTCCACGACGGAAAAAAAGTTTAGATCTATAGTTTGCTATCTGTCTCTCTGACATGGCCGAGAAAATTTATATTATAGCCCCATAAAGTTCCCATTAATTTGATTAATGTGGGATAAAATTGAGAATCCGAACTTATGCAAGGAATAGAATATAGGAGGTTTTAAGTTTAAGTAGTCTCGATCACATTATTTTTATCAATTTAATTAATCAAAGAAGTAGTGCCCGGTTGTTTTCTGTTTATAAAACCTTTTAATGAATTAAAAAAAAAAAAACAACTAATTAGTCTTAGGTGGATACCATATCACACCACAATTTGGATAGAATGTGGACTTATTAGGCAATCAATATTAAAAATTACCTTTAGGTTTACCCTATCATTTGGGCTGGCCGAACTTTGGCGTAACTGCAATTGCAAAGCAAGGCCCATTCCCATATTAATCTGGTCTTTGAAATAGGCGTTTTGTCTTATCACTCGAGTACCATCGCATCCTTGACTTAGATATGAATAAATCAATATCGACGAAATTTAAAATGTTACGAAATTTAAAATTTAATGTCTCCATCTACTAATCTAATCAAAATTTTCAAAATAAAATATTCACCCAATTTTTGAAAAAAAAATCCTACTATAATATGTCTTTTATGTTTTTTTCATTACAAAACATTTTTCTTATTTATTTACCGGAAAAAATAAAAATTGTGTCAAATATTTAAAATTGAAAAACTTATAAAAAGGTGACTCAGTATCATACGTGTATATAAAAATAAAATATTTTTATTCATATTTCAAGAACTCAATAGTTAATTTTTTTTAACATTATAGACATAGATCAAAAAAGTATAATTGTAATATCAATAAATGACGTGATAATTAAACTATTTTATGGACCTAAATCATTTCCTTGTTAAGACTTAGTGACTTTTTTTTTTTTTTAACTGTTGATTTATGAATTTTTAGAAAATTGTAACTTTTTAAATCTGAAATTTCAGATTTTATGGCAGAGTTTTGTCAATTTTTTTTTATCTTCTCCTTATACCTACTGATATAAATTTGAAAATACCAATGCTTATTAGTGCTTAGAACAAAATATAAATAAGTTACATAAGATGAGATGGTCGATGGAATAAAATAATTTAAGAAAAAAAAAAGATAGAATACATTTTTGTTTACAATTTGCAATTAGACCTTGCTCAATAACATGTTACTCTCTAAAATCAGGTTTCGAATTAATTTGACTTAGGATAGGTTAAAACGATGATGCAATGACTAATTAATGATCATAAAAGCTAAATGCATGGAAAAATTGTATTAAATTTTGAACTTGTGATTTCAGGATTTAAACTCTTAATCTTGTAGGTAAAATCGTATGGAGATACAGTTTCTTTCCGTTAGTATAATGAGTATTTATTCTATGTTAAATATTCTACATGTAAAAATAATATTTCTTTGATTATCCTATCAAAATGTATTAGATTAAACATAGCAATTTTTTTTTCTTTTTTCTTTTTTTTTTTTTTTCCGTCCGAGAAGGACCCTATATATATATTATTTATTCGAGCTACAGGCCCTTATAACTTTGGATTCCTTGTGTGGAAGGTTAGAGAAAATAAAAAACAACAAAGGAAAAGAAAGTTGCCAACAATCAACATTATGATTAGCCAAATTGCATGTCATTCAAAATTCATAGACAAAAAGATCTTTTTGAAATTTTAAAGCAACTTTGGTGCTTTCTTACTTTATCTAATTTAATTTTTTAAGATAAATTTATCAAAGCGTGTCATCGGCGCACACAATGTTTTTACTGCTCCGTTTATCGTTTTGAAATCACAAAGAAAAGAAAAAAAAATGATCTTATTAGTTCAATAAATTAATACTCATTCTATACAAAATGGATTAAATTAATTCACCATTTTCAGATGATTAATTGGCACAGCTTGCATGAAATTGAAAGGCCTTATATCAATTCCACAATCAAATCAAAACCAATTCAAAAACCAAAACCAAAACCAAAACTCAATTGAGTAATTTATGAACATAAAAAGCTTAAATCACTTATTGAATTGCTTTAATTCATTTGAACATATGCATAAGAGATTCAAACTCATCAAACATATAACATAATTAATCCCCATTTTCTGGTTTAATTATTATTTCTCAACCTCTTCCAAAACCATAAAGACCAAACCTTAAACATCCCAACCCAACCCAACCCAAAACCCCATAATTAACTTACCAAAACGCACATTTTTCTTGTTTTGCTGACTAACTAGTAATCATCAAATGCTCCACTTGTAGTACTCTGCTTCTTTCCTTTCCCTGTCCTTCTCCTGCTAGTAGTGCCACCTTCATGCCTTGTGTTTCCGTCGTTGAGAATCAACGGCGCGTCGTTTGCCTCATCGCCATCATCAACAGTGGCAATACGGATGCAAGAACATCTTTCTAAAGATGCAAAAAAAGCACTAGCCACACCATTAATGAACCACATAGCCACCCCATCAAGCTTTCCGCACCCAGCTGAGCCATGGCTCGATGATGTCCGGACCCTGTCCTCATCGGAATTAGAACGGAAATTGAAAAGGCCAGTGCAACTCGCGGTGGTACTGGTAGTGACAGCCATGAGCTGGAACACTCAAGAGAAAGAGAGATAGAAAACAGAAGGCCTTTGTTTTTAAGTGTAAGGGAGCTGTATTAAGGTTGTTAATTTACGAAATGCACATGATGAGATAGGCCCTGCTGGTGACTTGTGAAATTAAATGATACAACTTGAATTTTATCCTCAATTACCAAAATTAAAGATGGAATCATTTTAATAAATGTTTTTTTTTTTATTTCTCTAGTGGGCAATTATTAGGGGGAATTAAAAATATTTAGCAACCTTTTTCTTTTCTTTTCCTTTTTTTTTTTTTTTTTTTTTTATAAAAACAAAAATTTTATTATCCCATCAAAACTGAAAAAACTATAATAAACGTTATCTAATCTAACATTGCCAAGCGAAAACTAATATTATTATGTGAACTTTTTTTTTTTTTTTTATTTTATAAAAACAAAATTTTTATGTGATCCCATCAAAACTGAAAAACATAAAACGGTGTATCTAATCTAACATTGCAAGCTGAAACTAATATTATTATGTGAACCCACACAGCCACCTACTGAAAGGTACTATACTCTAAACGGAGTAGCCTACACTATAAACAAAAAATACTTCAAATTAATTCCCTAGCTTGCCAATTATTTATGTTTTTTGGCCAAAACTAAAAACCAGTAATCTGTCACCAGCCTCGTCCTGTGTGTCTATTTATTTTCTACTTCATCAATCAGGATATACACGTTGTGTTGGATAATAACTTTTTTAGTAGTTTATAATGTTCGGTAACATAATATGTTTGAATTAACTTTTAGAGATTAATAGAGTGTTTATAAAAAGTTAACTCCTATAATATTTAGCTTTTAATATTTTATGAAAAGCTACTCGAACAGTTAAAGTTAAACACTACTAAAACAGTTAATAACTACCAAAATAGCTAATTTTGCCGAACAGATCTCTAATAATGTCATTTAGGTAGTATTATTTAACCATAAACTAAAAATAAACATTGTCTAATATGAGAATACAAGAAAATAATTAATAATAGCATATTTTGATAACTTTTGATTTTTTTTTCTTTTGAATATTGAGAAAAAAAATTTAAATTTAAATCTATTATCCGGCCGTATATATCTTTATCATTAGACTATGTCTTGATGTACAGTTTTTGATTTATTCTAAACTATTGATATATTGTTTTGATCTAATAATATCGTAAAAAGAAAGGAAAAGCATGCTTCATTTATACGTATAGCATAATAATAAATATGATTGCAAAACAAATAATATCATTATCGAATCCTATAAATGGACCTTAATTATTATGTTTTATTTTTTTAAATATGTAATTATGCACAGCAACAGAAGGCATTCTCTAATATCTGGACCTCATTTTGTACCGAAACATAAATGTATAATAATTTAAAAGTACAAACGTAAAATAATGGAGAAAGTGAAAAAAATAGGAATAGGGAGAAAGATGGAGAAGACCACAAAATATATAATTAAAGAAGAAATAAAGATAATGATGATACCCAAAATTGAAAGTGTATATCATCATTTGTTGCCCACTGGGGTGACCCCATTCATTACCCATCTAACAAACCTAGCTCTGCTACTATACAGATTTTTTTTTTTTTCCCAAAAGAATTAAAGCTAATTTTTCATTATTAGCACAATGTTTTCCCTAATCTCAAATCATATTTTTCTAAATAAAGAGATACCCCTATTTATATAATCCACAATATTTTTCTGGGTATTTAGCTTCCGAATGAAAAAAATTGTTTCCTCTAATAAAATCAATGCATGAAATTATTAAGATAGACTTAAAAGGAGAAAAAGCATTCATTGGCTAATGTTGATTTATCAAGGTTTGCCATTCGCCAACGTAAATAAGTTTAATACAAGAGCATGATTAGATGTGATGTAGTATTTCTTTTTTGGATAGAAAGAGGTTGAAATGACAGTTTCAAGATTTCAATTATTTTTATATTTTGAGTACTATTTATTCAATTGAATCATTGATAAAAATCTTTTTTTTTTTCTTAGGTAGGATGATCATGGTAGCAAATGAATAACACAACCGACTAATCTGGATTCGGGATCCGCAGAGATCTCTTATGGAGGGATCCTCTCAATTCAACTTTTTCCATTCATAATGCTAGAGTTTGAACCCTAGATGTTATTTAAGATATCAATGTCTCATCCCACTAAGATATCAATGTCTCATCCCACTGGATCAATCGGTAGCTGTGAAGAGGTTTTTTTTGTGTTTAAGATTTTAAGACTTTGTATAACTGGACATAATAAGAAACATGTATATGGGTCTGGAAAGGATAGTGCAATATATGCACAGGGTGACAGGCCTATGATGCTTCAATTCCTCTAATATAAGGATACCAATTCAATTTTGAAGGTAAGTTCAATTCTCCAATTTATATAAGAATTAAGTTTTAGTTTAATATAATTGAGTTCCATTCTACAAGGTACAGTGGAATTTGAGATTTGATATTATTTTAATGTCAAATTTGGTCTAATAAAAATTTGAAAAAAATTGGTAAATATGCACTTTAGTTTAAAATAGTGAACCAAATCTACTCTTTTTTTTTTAATATAAAAAAAAAAAAAAACCCCTCCAGATTCAATATGAATTGCATTAGTAACTGTAAGCTAAGGATATTGAGTTGTGTTAGGACTCTTAATTTTAAACATAAGCTAAGGACATCTCTATTGAGTATTGTCTATTTACTTATGTATTAGGCTTTTAATTAGGTCTCTTCAAACCAATCAATAATCCAGCCAAAGATGTCTAAGCTAAGCACCTTTTTAGCCCTAGCCCTTGTCCTCAGCTTGGTTATATCTTATGCTGCTCGCTTTAATCCTGCCTTCTCTGGAAAAAATACAACCTTGTAATTTCTCTTTAGCATATATGATAATAAATTTGATAATTTATTAGCTCAATTAAATTCAATAGAGTTGAGGCATGTAAGCAAATCGTACAATAATTTTGCAGATAATGGCTTTGCAGCAACAATCTCTTTTCTTACTTGGATATAATGAGGTCTTGTGCTAAGGAACTCAGATGCTTTTTATTTTGAAATGAGATAACAGTAAACTTGCAACCAAATAATTTGATCTTTTACAATAATAGCCACCAACAAAATAATCTAGTCAATTTGGAAGGAGAAGTAATTTAACACCATAATGAATTCTATAATTTACTCCTGAGACAATCTTAATGGTTATGTCTTATTGCACAAAGATTTGTAAAACAATAGGTATTGTCATTTAGTTGATTTTAAAGAGCAGCAAGCATTTCCATCTATGAGAAGCTATTTAACAAAAATGAAAAAAACCAACATTACTGAAGCTAAACTCAGCCTAACCATCAAAACTAGATACTGAGCTCAATATTGCATTAAGGTAAAAAGATATACAAGCAAAACATCCCTATTTGGATGACTAGAACTGGTTTGTGAGCGAGGACAGGACCATCAATTTATGCAGCTAAGAGAACCCTACTGCCACCTAGAACATAAAAATACAAGGCGAGACATAGAGTAACAAGAACAGATGACTTTGCCCCAAAATATCTAATAACTTCAAGTCCCCTGTCCACAACCTCTTCATGAACCACGTTAAGACTTCTTTTCAAACCATCTGATATCTTCCACAATAACACCTCTATCACAGACCTTATTGTTTCAAAAGTCACCCTCCCAGTTACATCTAGTACAAACTTCCTATTGCTCGGCACAGACAATGCAGATGAAACCTTACCAACCCATCCACCATTTTGAACCCCATCAAGTGAGTTTCCATCTTTCAAACATACTTCTTGCACAAGAGAATCATCTCTGGTTGCACACGAGCCTTCCTGCTCAATTACAGAACACGAAGTGCTGGAATTTGAATTTGGATTTTTCAAATTCGAACTTGTCAACACTTGATGAGATGTTTTAACAAGCGTTTCTACAGCACCATTACAGAGAGAAACCAGAACGTCCGTCACATTGCTTTGATGCTTCGGATTGGTCAAACCAGAGAACAATTCATCATAAGTGTTGATATCCATTGTTTTATCGAGATAAACAGCAACTGCAGTGCTCACAAACTTCTGAATACAATCAGCTATAAGCTCCTTACAACAATCATCACAAACCACATTAACCCATTTAGACACATCAGAGAAGCTCGACCTATTTTGATCTACACCAGCGCCAGCAACAGAATAAAACCCCAAAACCAAACTCCTCGCAAAACTACCTACAACAACAGAAACAAATCCAGTCCCTGCATTAGAGAACAACTTATCCATCACCTTATCAGTAAAATCCGAATTCGTTGAACCTGAAGCCGATTGATTAGCATTTGACTCCAATTTACACCCTCTGCTAATCCCAATCGTCAAAGCCTGAGAAACCCTAGTCAACGACTCAGAAAACTCATCTGATTTAGCGATCTTAGAAAGTTGCTTCAAGCTATTTGGGATTTCATCAGAATCGGACCGCAGAAACACGTTTAAGTCCCTGGAAACAATGCCAATCGTATCAGCAGATTCGGACACCAGTTCAGCAATAGAAATTAGGGCTCGAATAAGCCTCATCAATCTCCTCCTTTTCTTGACCACGGAAGGGAAATTGTATACTTTATAAGCTCCGTAACCAGAGACACCAAACAGGGCAAGACAAATGAGCCATTTCTTTCTTCTCTGGGATAAATTCATGCCCATTTTTACCAATTGAAAATCCATCCCTAATACCAAACCCTAGAGCTGCAATAGAAATTGGAACCCTAGGGCCTGGAATTGCGAAATTGGAAGTTGGCAGAATAAGCTTATATAGAGGCGATGGCGTGTAAAGGATAGAGAAAGGATATAGTTAGAGAATCGAGGAATCTAGGGATTGGCTTCCATTTTGATGTCTCGGTTCTTGTTAAAGTTTTGGTGTTTATAAAGTTGCAGAGGGAGGGAAGGCATGAGTTAATGATTGGGTGGGTGGTGGTTGTTATATTTGTAACTGAGGATCAATTAATGATTGTACAAAGTTAGCTTAGATTATATGTCGAAGCGATAATAACAGATACTAAGAATCAGATCCAATTAAATGGCACATGCAATGCAAGAAAGAGATGAACCTGTTTGTTGCAGAGGCGCAGACGAGGACGGTTAAGGGGTTGTTTGGCAAGTGGCTTGAAATGGGACAAATACTGTTACAAATAGCGGTCTCCGATTGGCTATTAAGCTCGTTCCTCGAATCTTGTGAGATGGATTTTCTTCCGTTTCTTTTCTCTTGTTTTTATTTTCCCCTTTATCTGTTTAACACGTGAGAGTAATCGAGAGGAAATGATGTGCATGCGCTGACCATGACCGGCGACTGAGATGTTTCTATAGACTAGAATTTCAACGTTCACATTCCTTTCCGGTGAGAAAGTACAAGTTTCGTATGAGCTTTTATGTGCAATTTCTTTTTGATCCACCGAGAGGCCCAACGGGCTTTTAAGACATCCCTTACTTTAGCCCCATCAAACCAAAAATGTAATATTTTATCATGCGATTCTTATCCATTAAATTTAGTCTCGCTCACATAAGATAATTCCCGCAATCCTTGGATTTCCAGTTTTTTCTCACAGACCAAAAAGGGTTTGTCTATATAGGTCATCTTAACTCGTACATTTCTCTCATATAAGAATCTTTTTGAACTGAAATTAGACTAATTTCACTCATAACGTGCTGAGTAATTAACATGATTCGTTTACAACTTTTGCACAATAAACCAACATACAATCACTATGGCAAACTTGAGTAAAACAACCATCATATACAAAAAGTTCCGACTGGCCAAAAAGGGCCTCCGATAGGTCATCGTAATCTTATTCCTTGTACATTTCTCTCATATTATTAATATAGGGAAAAAATTGGCTAATTTCATTCATAACGTCTTTGCTGAGTAATTAACATGCTTTGTTTACAACCTTTGCACAATAAATGAACGTATAATTACTCTATGGAAAACTCAAGTAAAACAACCATCATGTACAAAAGTTCTCACGGGCCACCATATATTCCCTGCCATGATTCTGGACACTCAGTTTCAAGTTCACTGCATACTGAATGGCTTTACACTTCCATCTACAGCACAATCAGCAGAGCTTACGCTTAACTGAAGGTACATATAGGTTTATGATGTTGAAGTTTCCGTATCCTTTTGGAGTATCTTAGATTTCATACAAATACTGTTGTCAATATCATCCTCAAGATCACTGAATGATATATCTTCTTCATTTCCCAGAGGGAAGGTGGCTCTGTAACTGCCTAAATCCGAACCATCCTCATCTGGCCAGTCATCCCCATCATCTTCATAATTTGGAACCACTGAGTTTGAGGATTGGCCAGCTAGCTGACCCTTATCCTCAATTTTTATCACTGCCTTTTCTTTGATAATTGATTTATCAATGCATTCTGTTTCTGGACTTACAATGGGGTGCTTCTCTGTCCCATAATCTGTTGCCATACTGCTTGTTGGTTCAAAATCAAACGTCCTGGCATATTCAAAATCTTCACGCGATAATGCACTCTCATTTACATAGGAAGTGCTTCTTCCAAACCAATCAGTATCTGGCTTAGTTTGTTTATGTAGCTCCTTCATCCACATTGCTCTGGCTTCCATTACCTGCAAGCAAATGGAAATATTGTAATTCACTGCAGCCATATCCCCAGTCCTCAAACAACTTACCATTGTAAAATTAACCATATGACATTAATGAAACCTTATAGTCCATGAAAAAACCCAATTGACCCTCTACTTACCAAGCCAAAATATAATGTGTAAAATCATACAAGCAACCTTCACGATAATACTCCGGATTGATCCATTTAATGGAATACAGAATGGATGAGTGTCAGTGAAGATAAAAGGAAATCTTGCGATAGGAAGATACAATTTGTGAAGTTAGATGAACAGTAATATTTGTTTTATGTGACCATTTGGCAACTAATTTCTTAAAATAAGGCTTAATGTGCAATTTGCAGAAATAAGCATAAACCAAGGTTTGAATGGGAAAGCGTTCAATAAGATCCTCCATCTAAAGCAGTTCAGAATGATCTTTCAAACAAACAAGTTTGGAATGATTACAATTTTTAAACTAAATGAAAAACCAAGGGTTGTTAGGATACTCTAGTCTGAATATTGTAGGCAGCATTGGCAAGCCATGCTTCTGTAACATTTAATAATTAATAACATAATGATAAATTTTTTAATTATATACATGATGGCATATCCAGCCTTCCCAACCCTGCTACCCAAAACCCTATCCCAAGATCAATAATAGAAAAGGAGAGAAAATTTTATTCGCTTGCAATTTCAAGTTTATCAACTGCAGTGCTAGTAAGAATTCAACATGACATAAAAAGGACTTGATAACAAAAGGAGCTAAATACTTAAATTATAACAATTAAAAGGAGACAAATATTACCTGAGGTGTAGATAGAACTTCTGCATCATGCTTGTTGAGTCTTGAATGCAGAAGAACAAAATAAACTTTCCAAAAGTAACTATCAGTCATATGGCAGGGACAAAGTTCAATTCTGAGAGCAGCTAGTCTAGGAGCAAGTCGTTCAATGGCCATAGCGTGCTCTTGTTGGGCACTAGACATATCAAAATCTAAGGAACGAGAGGACGGGGAAAAAGGCTTATAAAAGGGCCAAGACTCATAGAAGCAGAGAATATAATTTAATCACTGAAATAAATGAAGCAAGCAGCATTCAGGCAGTTATTAAGCAGTACCTAGACAAGAAACTGAAAAGTTATAAGATATGTTATTAGTTGAAGTTGTAAAAGCCCATTTTAGGACAACTTGGAGCACCCAAATAAAAAAATCAAACTTCACATGATCAACTGATTTCACCACATAGGTTTATGAGCTATACACCACCAAATTGGAGCTCTGAATCATCTAAGTTATATGAATTATGAATATAACATGGTTTTTCACATTTGACTTGTGCAGTGTATCCTACTGACATAAAATTAAACAACCAACCTTCAGAAGATATTTATTATTAACAAGCCCAGACCATTATTCTTCAGGCTCTTAGTTCTTTTACATACTAAAGTAGTAAAAGTGTTGCCTCTTATGAAAGATCGAACTTTTGCTAGGGAAATATGTAAATATAGCAATCAGGGAGCAAGCAACCCATCTACCAAGCACACCACAAATATCGTCGTCCATTAATGAGTCTTAATATTAAAATGGGTGGAGAACCATCGAAGGATGTAGTATACATATATATACACATTCAAAAAGCATATGCTTGACCTGCTAAATTTTGGACAGAAGAAGATAGCTGAATTCACCTATATCACAGCTAACGCAATGCATAGGTAGAGCTTGCAGTTGCCATCCTATATTCCAGTTGTGATCATTCCAACTTGCCCACATTGGCAATTACAAGACTCTCAGTGAACCGCAAAACAATGCATCGTATAACAGCAGAGAATGAGCAATTTGGTTGCCTTAAATCTCAACAAAAAAATAGGCACTACTACAAATTTCAGTTCAAGTGTGAGCAAATGCAATAAAAATTTGAAAAATGGACGCACCATCTAAATCATCTTCCTCGTCAAGAGGAAAATCCAACCATGTCTCAGGATGCATTGCAATATTCCTCGCAAATGCCAAAACCTCGTCGGTAATCCCAATGGCTCCTGCTCCCCAATCATCACGCTCTTCCATCTCTAATTCCTCCCCTTCTCCCTCATTTCCTTCCACATTATTTTCAACCTCGTTTTCCTCCGATCCAAACGGAAAATAATTCGATGCCGCTTTAGAAATCCCCGTGACCCCGCTCCTAAATCTTCCTCCGATCTCCGCAAAATCTTGCCTGATCCCCTCTAGTTCCTCGGAATCGGAATGTCCACCTTCCTCCGATCGATCGGAGGGCTCAGACTGATTCAAATTGGAGACTGATCGATCATTAAACGTCGGCGGAGGAGCAAGGAAAGAGGCGACACCCCACAGTTGACGCGTTAGGGTTTGCTTCAGTTCAGTGAGATCCTCTTTCACGCCTCTCGCTTGCGCTTCTTCTTCAACTTGTTTTCTTCTTTCCGCTCCTTCTGTGGATTGAGCATCTTCCCCATAACGTTTTACTGGTGAGAAATCATGAGGGGTGTAGGGTGCGACGTCGTGTTCAGCAGAGTCATCATCGTCGTCGAGTCGGAGAGAGTTGGCGAGGGAACGAGCCAGCCATGACATTGTGCTTGTGCATCGATGGAGGGGAGAGAAAGTGATTGATGGAAAAGGTAGGGGTTGTTAAAAAATGTTTTGCTTTGAGAGAGGCGGAATCCTGTGATACACTGATTTGATTATAGGATCCAATTATGCGGTGCCACGTCATACATTTAATTACTAATGATTAATGATGTTTTCTTGCTGTTAGGCACAATATGAAAACGAGGTTTGAGCTTATACAAATCTGAGTTTACTTAATTGCTTTCATAATTTTCACCAGATAATTAATTTTTATAATCAAATCAGATTAATAAAAGTTACTTAATTCATTCACAGTATAGGCGGTTTAAGCTTTTTATAAAGTGATTAAGAAGTAATAAAATGTTCGTCAGTTTGATTAAAATACCCTTTTATATTACATTATTAATTTGACCAAAGATAATTTATAAATTTATAAAAGTAGTTAATATGTACATGAGTCGGCGTCGTTTCAGCTTGGCCCATTTCCACTTAAATCGACCTTGTCTACTCAGTACCGTGACAACATAACACGAGGTTGTTCTTTCTTTTGTAAAGAACTAAACTCCACTCAGACATGAAAATCGCAAGTAAAAATCTTGATCGGATCATCTTTCTCATAATCAAAACCCAAGGATGAATATTAAAAAGCCTACTCATAGATCGTGACAACATAGTAAAGACAAAAGGCAGCAAAGCTGGATCTTTTTGGTTGATAGAAAGCCAAAGCTGCCTCCATAAAAATGAATTAGTCGATCGAAATTCAAAACCGAAAAACAATGGGCTTTTTTACATAAAATTTTCAATACCAGGCCAGCTTGCCAGGCCCAATCGAACCATTTATCTAATTTCTGCTGCAATTTTTGCTCACCTGATTGTTTAGCTGTGCTTTTCAATTCTTAAACAAGTTTATTTCACTAAGGAATGAATTGCTATGACATTGGCTTCTGCAACATCTGAATTACATACTTCAACCGCTTCAGCACAGGCTACTAGGAGATAGACAAGTCAAAAACCCTGTATCCTTCCGGGTCAACTGGCACTATAGCAGATGATGATTAACTGGATGATGAAAAGGGTGGAGATGGAGAAGGGTGGTCTGTGTTGGAGGATTTCCAGCAATTCAGCTATCCAAAAGAGGAATCAGACTGACAAGGATGACTATGATCAGAAAAATTGGTGGATGTACTTGCAGAAGATTTTGATGCACCAGAATAAGATGAATATTATTGAAACACGCAATGCATCTTAAAGAAAAACGATATTTATGCTATTGCTGCAGCTGCTGCGATGGTTGTTGCTGGTGGTAGAGGAGATAATTAGAGGAGGATGTGGTTGATGAAACATATAGAAGTCTTTATAAGATTCATCGAAACAAAGTACTTAAAATGTATCAGACTTGAAATTGTTCCCATCTAACAACAGTTCTCCACTAAAGCGCCAATTACCATGTAAATCCAGGTCACAGTACTAATTGCTTTAGATTACAATGGGACTGCTTTCCTTCGTTACTGGCAGAACAATTTTTTTTAAATTAGAAACAGGCGATCGTCCACCATCCGCACTCAAATTTCATACGAGAGAACAATCATCTAAAAAGGTCTAAAATGAACAAAACATAAACAAGAAAGAGAGTTAAAAATTAAAATAGTTAACGAAATAAAAGTAGAAGTTCATTATGAATGATTTTACATTGAAAGCACAAAAGATCTACATTTAAGGTGAAATAACCTTTTCCAAGGTGAAATTTAACATATGCTTTCCCACCCCACAAAACCATAAAAATGAAGGACAAAAAAAAATTGAGGATCAATGGGGAGCTCAAAATTAATATGGAATTACAATTGAGAAAGATGCCTATAAAAATTCCCCACCCTTAGCTCTTTCTTGATTCTCACCATCCACACCCTGCAAACCACCATTATATATATTCTAATATACATACTTTACAATTTACAGACCTCTCCACATGGAAACAATCATGGAAGCAGAGACCAGAGTTGTGCCACTTTGGTGAAAATAATAAGTCCAATTCAATAACAACCTGGCTGGGAATTATTGGAACTTTTCGGTCAAATACCAGCTTGTAGATGGTGGACTGAAAGATAATAACTGCAAAGTATGAAATTATCCTATATCCACATTATGATGTTCTATTACGTGAAACCAATAGAATGTATCAGACGATCTTTAATTTACACGGGATACCTCAGAAACCCCCAATTGACCCCATTCCATCAGGCTCCATTCCCTTTGCCTTTTGGCCAAGGAAAAATATATGGGACATATCAACACAAAAAGGCAGTCTCTTCATTGTATTGTTTTGGTCAGCTTGCATTTTGATATGAAGATAGTAGATGCATAATTTAGACTACACAATTTCAAGAGCTCAGCCGACCTCTGCTTTAACACGGGGTCACAACCACTTTGTATTACCAGGAGCAGCTTAGCTGCCAAACCTGCCTCCACAGCAAGTGCAGCACATTCTTCTGGTGCAAGCTGACAAACTGCCCACAATATTGATAATGCCAGGTGAGTACAGCTCTCTGAAACCTTCATCAACAACTTAACCACATTCGGTATTGTACGAACACAATCCTTCAAAGCTATGCTTCCCGCTGGAACAGTTGAAAGAACCTCCAGAATATGAAGTGCCAATTCTAGGGACTCATTATTCAGACTAGGCAATAGCTCCACTAATTGAGGGATTGCACCGATGCTGACAATTGAATTCCGACAAGACTCATGCGAACAAAGAATCTTTAGCAAGCCAAGTCCAGCCAATATCCCGTTTGCGTGTCTCTTATCTTTCACTAACCTCAACAAGCCAACTGCAAGGCTCAAGCTGGACACATTTTCGGATTCAAATTCCTTCCCTTGTATCAACATTTCAATCAATCTCGTACAATTAATCTTGGTCTCAATCGAACCCTCATTTAACATATCTACCATTAAAGAAATCTTTGCAGGCTGCAGCAAATTGGCTTTCGATGTGAAATCAAGATTCAAATTCACAAGAATCCCAATTACCTCGGACCCAACAGCATGAGTAGTTAAAGGACCCAATAAGTTGGAAACCAGAGCAACCCCACCGTTATCTAACACTGTCTTCTTAGTTGTAGCATGTCCAGCGACAACCTGCCTGAGCTCTTTCAAAGCTTGAATTCTAGCTTGACCCTTAATCTTCTTTAGAGTCTCCAGAAGCTCAATAGCCCTACCTTGCACGTCCTCCGATCTTTTCTTCATAGCCAAATACTTTTGCGAGAACCAGCTGTAAATCAGCTGCTGCAGAGTCCTATTTGGTGTTACCGTATCATCCCAGAGCTCTTGCATTGTAGTAGGGCAAGTACAATGGCCAAAAGAAAACCATTTGAGGATATTGGATCTTTCATAAGTCTGGCCAGTGCAGAGAGTCACTGGGTCTTGCATTGGGTCCAATGAGATTGGACAAATAAACACAGAAGGCACCTCCATCGATTCAAGCTCCTCAATCATCTTCTTCAGATCCAATTTCTCCGTGTTGGCCGTGGAAATTAATCCACCACCAGTGCCACCTAAAATGCCATCTTTAACAGCAGTTTCCAGATCCAGCACTTGCCCACCACTACCTACATCTAGCTTCATTATTCCTCCTCTTCTATTGGTATTAGGCTGATACATCGGCATTTTGAAATAGACTATACTACTGGTATTGCTTCTGAGAAATAATTGAATTCCAACCCAAAAAACCCTCAGATAAAGACACAAGCTTAACTAAAAGTTTCCTCTACAGACTCCAACAAGAAGGCAAAATCATCAACCCTAAATCAGGTCAACAAATGAAGAAACAATCAAAAGGGACAGAAAGGACAATAATCACTCGTAAATTAGCAATGCCTCTTCAGAAGAATTGAGAAAACAATGAAAAGGAAGATCAGAAAAAAGATATGAAGCGACGAGTCAACTGAGAAGCGAGAACCATACCCAACTGTAGGCTGTAGCGACAGAGAAAGAGTGTAAGAGGAAAAAGAGAAGAGAACAGCTAAAGTCTGCAAGCTCTTCTCCAATCTTCCACAGCTCCTGTTTTCGTCTGGTAATCAAAAGAATAATTTCTTTGAAAATTTCCCTTTAGTGGGTCACTGATACACCATACTTTAATATTTTTTCCGGATGAGGATCTATCTGTTGAAATTACGCTATTACCGTTCGCTTATTAGTCCTATTGAAAAAAACTGCTTACATGGGTGCCCAAACTGACAGGGGTAAGACCGGAATGGACAATTTGACTGATAATTGTAGATATCGACTTCAGTTAACTGGGACCCATTTTAAGTATTTGACGAGAGTGACCGGCTATAGCCCGTGACTTAACCTTTGATGACCGCGCACCACACGTGCAGTCATTAGCATATCGATATGTATATAACCTTACATTGAAAGGCAAGTGTGCTTTACAATTGAAAATAGCTATTCGGCAAGCTGCTTTTCATTGTGAAATTTTGCTTCAACTTTTCTTGTTCAAATTGATATTTAAATAAGCATTCTGAGAGACAATATTTCAGAATTTGAGAGAAATAAAAGAAAATAAACACAATGGATGTTTTTTAAAAGTAATAGAATGAATATTTTGAGAAGTCCTCGATCTCACCTTTTATTTTTTGAAACATGTCTTCATCATTTTTCTTAGTACTTGCAAATTTCAAATTCAAGTTTATTTCCAAATATAGAAATAAATTTTCATATGTCAATCTATATAGAAATAAATATTATACTCTGTCAACTCGATCAGATACTTCTAATCAATATTGTATTTTTTATTTTTTATATAAATGGTTTATTATTAGATTTTGTATATAAAAATATAAAAACATATTGATCTATATTTCATATCTGTATATAATTTTTAATTAATGAAATTATAGTTTGATTTTTTTTAAAAAAAATAATTAGTCAATTAGTTCGAAATTCAAGTTGCATTATGTGTTCCATGCTTATTAATTTATTTCAATTCAATTATAATTTCCACTCTTTATTCTTATCTCTTATTTTCACATTACTTTAAACTATTTAATTATTTAATTTTAGTGTGGGCTCTTACAAATTTCAAAAATTAAAAAAAAAAAGTGCAAATTAAGCCCGAATTCAATTAAATGATTAAAGTCCATGAAAACAATCATAAGGTGAGTCCAAAACTTTCACTTTCTTCAATGTTCAATCTCAAAAGAGAATATTTCTTTACTCCCCCAAACTTTCGACTCAGTTTATTTTAGGAAAATAACTTATAGAAAAATATTGTTATATAAAATATTTTTTAAAAAAAATATTGTTATATAAAATATTTTTTTAAAAAAATATTTTTTAAATAATTTATTTTTTATTGTTTGGTTGTAATATTGAAAATATTAAAAATTTTATCTTATAAGATGATAAAAATAATAATAATAATAATAGAAATTTTAAAATTTTATAACTTATAGAAAAATATTGTTATTATAAAAATATTTTTAAAAAAATATTGTTAATATTAAAAAATATTTTTAAAAAAATAGTTTTTTGTAAATAATTTATTTTTATTGTTTTTGGTTTGTTAATATGAAAATATTAAAAATTATTCTTATAAGATGATAAAAATTATAATAATAATAGAAATTTTTAAAATTTATTATAAATATTAAAAATAAGTAAATATTATTATTGTAATAATAATAGAAATTTTAAAATTTTATTATTAAATATAAAAATAATGTAAAAAATATATAAATTATGAAAGCCGCCGGTGGCGGTGGCCGGTGATAAATTGTGATCGGTGGTAGTAATTATGATGATTAATAAATTAAAAAATATGAATTTATAAGATTTGCTAATATTCGGAAAATATTTTACTCTCTCAAAAAATAGGAAGTTGTTTTATTTAAAAAATGATTTAGTTTTCCTTTGACCAGAAAAATATTTTCGGTTGACTTATTTTTTGAGCGTCCCAAATAATAAAAAATTGTGAAAAATATTTTCCTGTAAATTATTTTATGAAAATAAATGAAGCCTTACTCGTCTAGTTCTTTCTTCTTCCTCTTTTATTTTCTTTTTTGTTCACAATGTAAATATTTTTATTTTACTAAATATAATTAATTATATATTTTAAATCCAAAGATTTTAATTACAGTCAATTCAAATAGAATCATAACTTAAAAAAAAAAAATTAATGAGAATGAGAATAATAATAAGGTTAATCCAGATGATGAACTGAGAGAGGAATCTATAATCTGGGAGATCAAGGTGAGAGGAGGGGAAGGGGGGCGCGATTCCCCCTGGCACGTGCGAGTGAGGAGTTAGCCCAACGAGAAAGCAAAGTGGTCAAATTTTAGACCTGAAAGCCAAAAACCAATGCGTACGCAATTTCAATACCCGAGAAAACTGGTCAAAATATGAGCTGGCACTTTACCAAAGGCACGCTCTCCTTGGGCCCCACCCCACGGGGCTTCCAGTTTCCTCTCCACTTATTTATTTTGTTTTTTTTTTAATTTTTTGTCTCTTATTTTTGAATCATGGAATCTTTTCAAAGCATCTGCTTCTTACCTAAAGTGACTTATCAAAATTTAATCATTTCTTTCCTAAAGCAATTTTCTTTTTAATTATTAATTATTAATTAGAGATGTGCATCTAACTCTCCCTTTGGATTTAGCTATCATATACAATGAGCCTAGTTGTCAGAGACAGATTTATTTGGTGGCCACTGGCCAGAGAGGCCACACCACAGCCCCAATATATTTTTACTTTCTTAATTTTTTATATCATAAATCATTTTTAATTATTATTCAATAAAGAAAATTTTTATGGGATATAACTTTTTAAAACTTTAATTTTGAAAATCAATTTCTCTTGCGCTTGCAATTATATATTTGAAGATGTAATGTAAGTCTTATGACGACGACCCTTTTTAGTTTTTTTAGTATAAAGTGCATTAAGATTAGAGATGGATCACGTGAATTAAAATATGTACAGATACAGGTCCTTCGAGGACATCCCATAAATTATGTATGGATACAGAATAGTTTTTCGCGAATTTAGAGATGGTTGTGGGTGGTTAAAATCTAACCACGGGTGATTAACCTATAATTAATAATTAACTAATGGCACCACCAATTTCTGCTTTTTGACCATTTGACTGAGCTTGTGTCTAGGGTACCCCATCCTAGGGGCCAGAGATATGCCCAAAACGAAACCTTTTCAATGTATCGGTTTAAAAATTTTTTCATAAACCAAAAATTAATTAATCAATTTCCTTTTAATTTACGTTGTCATTTATGATTTATCCAATAACCCGATGTTAAGGATGACTAAAGTTAACAACTGCACGTGTGGTGCACACCCGCCGATGGGTTTACTCACGGGCTGTAGCCGGTGACTCCAAGTAGAAAATACTTCCTTTTCTTATCCTTTTTGTATTCTAACCATACTAGTTTAATAGGACAATTTTTCATATTCCGGTTTTACCCTTGTCTGGTAGACTTGAACGTCAGCATTAGACTACTTATGGGTCCCAATTTCAAACGGCAATGCGTGATTTCACGTATTTATCACACAACATATTAAAGGTCTTATTTTTTAAAAATTAAAGTTACTCAATAATAAATATTAAATAGGCCCTATTTACAGTTGTTTCCTATTCATAAACTGTAGTACTAATAATTTAAAAATCAAAACATTTTATTTTTGCCATCAAATATTTATGATATGGAATAGTATATAATTTAAATTTAAAATATTAATTGCACAGCAAGACATTGTGGATACAAATTCACAGTCGATTATAATTCTAGTTTTTTTTTTTGAATATTTGAGATATTTTTTTAAAAGTATTTTTTGGGCCATACGGAATTTATAAATGTAATTTTCAGTTTGAAAACATTTGTTAAAAAGAAGGAATGAATTGAATATTTTGAAGCAGCAATGGCCCACAAAAGCGAAATTTTCAAAGAAATTCTTTTGCGGTCTTTGATTACCTGCTCCGTAAGCAGAACAGTAGAAGAAAAGAGACTCAGCAGAGAATAGCTTTTCTCTTTTGCCAATTTTTTCCTTCTGCCACTTTCTTCTCAATTTCAATTACTAGGTATGGTTCTGAGTTAACCCATTCTTATATGTCTTTATCTATTTTCCCTTTTCATAATTTTCTTTTCTTCTGTGCATTATTTGGTAAATTTGGGTCGAAGAGGTACTGTTCATGTATAAGTGATCATTATTATCCTTTTTCTGTAGCTTTTGATTGTTATTTCTCTCTCTTTTTACCTGATCTGGGGTTGATGATTTCACTTGTTTCTTTTGGGGAGCTTGAAGAGGAAGTTGTTAGTGAGAGAGAGCTTTGGTAATAGAGAAGAAGATTGTCATGGTTATAATGTCTTTGATGATGGTGATGATGACGATGGAGAAGAATGTTACTCTTTTGACCAGAGAAAGAGATCAGATAAAGAGCCAAAGTAAAGCACACGACGTAGAAAAGTTGTCCCCTTTGATAGTCATGGTTCCTTGTGTTTGTCAATGAAAGATAGAGACCTTATGCCCTCTTTTTTATTTTTCTTTTCCTTTCCCACACGTTTCTTGTCCCGTGGAAGTGATGTCTCTTATTATTCTCTAATTTCTCTTTTCAATTCTCGGCGTGGGTTTTTATTGGATTAGATTCATTTGCTTCTCCTTCCTCCTCCTCTTCTTCTTCTTCTTATTTAGTGGCTATAATATCCAAAAGGGTACTCCAAAATGCCGATTTTTATGCCTAATAGCCATAGAAGAGAAGGAAGTATAAAACTATATCTGGGTAGTGGTGGGCAAGTGCTAGATCTGGAAACTGCCGTTAAAGATGGCATTTTAGGCGGCAATGGTGGTGGCGGTGGTGTGATTTCTACAGCCGGTATCGAGAAATTGGATCTCAAGATGATGATTGAAGAGCTTGAATCGATGGAAGTGCCGTCTGTGTTCATTTGCCCAATCTCATTGGACCCAATGCAAGACCCAGTCACTCTCTGCACTGGCCAGACCTATGAGAGATCCAATATCCTTAAATGGTTCTCTCTTGGTCGCTATACTTGCCCAACTACAATGCAAGAGCTTTGGGATGATGCGGTCACTCCAAACAGAACCCTACAGCAGTTAATTTACAGCTGGTTCTCGCAAAAGTATTTGGCGATGAAGAAGAGATCGGAGGACGTGCAAGGAAGGGCTATTGAGCTTTTGGAGACTCTTAAGAAGGTTAAGGGTCAAGCTAGAGTTCAAGCTTTAAAAGAGCTTAAGCAGGTTGTCACTGAACATGACACGGCCAGAAAGGCAATGCTAGATAATGGCGGCATTGCCTTGGTTTCTTCCTTTTTAGGTCCTTTTACTACACATGCTGTTGGGTCTGAGGCTATTGGGATTCTTGTGAATTTGGAACTTAATTCCACATCGATGTCAAATTTGATGCAACCTGCCAAGATTTCTTTAATGGTAGATATACTAAATGAGGGTTCCATCGAGACCAAAGTTAACTGTACAAGATTGATTGAAATGTTGATAGAAGGTAAGGATTTGGAGGCTGAAAATATGTCAAGTTTGAGCCTTTTAGTTGGTTTGTTGAGATTAGTGAAAGATAAGAGACACCCAAATGGGGTATTGGCTGGACTTGGTTTGTTGAGAAATCTTTGTTCACACGATTCTGTAAGAAACTCCATTTTAAGTATTGGGGCAGTCCCACAACTTGTGGAGCTGTTGCCTAGTTTGAATAATGAGTGTTTGGATTTAGCACTTTATATACTAGAGGTTCTTTCAACTATTTTAGAAGGACGAGTGGCTTTGAAGGATTGTGCACATACCATTCCGAATGTGGTGAAGTTATTGATGAAAGTATCTGAGAGGTGTACTCAGCTTGCTTTGTCAATTTTGTGGGCAGTTTGTCAGCTTGCACCAGAAGAATGTGCTGCAATTGCTGTGGAGGCTGGTTTGGCGGCCAAGCTGCTGCTTGTAATACAGAGTGGCTGTAATCCTGAACTGAAGCAGAGGGCAGCTGAGCTATTAAAATTATGTAGTCTGAATTACACAGCTACTATCTTCATTTCCAAGTGTAAGCTTACCAGAACGATACAATGAAGAAAAAATATGCCAATTTGTTGATAATTAAATATATACACCATCTCTTTTTTTCCTTGTGTCAAGAGGCAAAGGTTGTAGAATGAAATCAACTGGGGTTTCTAAGGTAACCCCACTTTCTCTTCGTTGTGAATATCAAACAATTATATTGGTTTCACTAGACAGAAAAGCTTCATAATGTGTATGTTTAGGCTAACTGCATATGCTGTAGTTATTATTTATTGATCCACTGTGCATAAATTGGGGCTTTTGCTCATGTTTCACCTTCATTTTCTACATCCTGTGTCAATTCATGCAATGATGAGCTCCCATTTGTAATTTGTACACAAAAAGTTCACGCATGCATAATTAACCATTCAAAATGTCACCTTAGTTTGGAGCTTGCTCTTGTATTATATATTTGATGCTAACTAGTTTTCCAGAACTTTTTAAGGATGAGATGGGCAATGGCTAGTCCAAGGAATCACCCCATCTAAAACTAACCTCTTCGAGATTCAACATCATCAGCTTAATTTTATAACCAAATTGCCTTAAGATATTATTATAAGATCAAGAATGACATTTTTTTTTATCGGAAAAGGAGATTTAACATTAATTAGATTTAAACATTGGCGCTAAGGCTTAATATAATCTTATTTTATAACTAGATTAAGGCATCAGATTGTTTATGAAAGACATTTCAATTCATTAAAAAATAAAAAATAAAATCAAAAAATAAAAAAGAGATAAAATTGGATTCTAGGGCCCTGGAGTCCACTTTTGTTGTTACGAATGCATCAACACTGACAAAATTAGGAACAAAACAAATAAGTAGAGAAAGAAAAAGAAGAGCTTCAGATCTTGTCAACTTCAGAAAAAGAGAGCACCCAATCAATCTTTCCACGCATTATCGAACGCTCTTATTGAACCCGCCAATTTTTTTGTAAGATACTGCAAAAGACTGGCTCTTTTTTTTTTCTTTTACTATTATTTATTTTTCTGAGACAAGGTGGGTAATTCCCATAATTGTTATTTTAATACATTCATATAGGATTACGCAAAAATGACTTCCGTGCTGGCTATGAGCACTTTGATATATTCTTCTTCTCGACTAGGATTGTCACTGTACATTAGTCCATGTATTACTGGCTAAACAAAAAGCAAAAGCAAAATCCCATGAGTATTAAGCTGAGACGCCAACAAGCTAATCCTTCTCAACTAGTTCTATGTATATTATACAAAAGGAATTATTGACATCTTTCCTCTATTAGAGTGCTTGCTCTCTGTTATCTTTCAATACTTCCTACAACAAAACCGTTACAAAATTGTTTGCAGCTCCAAAGAGTGTCTCATGATCGAGGCAGGCAGCCACTTTCTTCCTGAGATTACATTAGTGCCATTGTACACTTTGACATGCCTGCAATTAAAGCAATCCTAACTTGAGCACCATATTTTATAACCAGTAGAAGGATTTAGGAAATAGTTAACTAATTAATACTAAACTTATCGTGTTCACTTAATCCATGCCATTGAATTCAAAATAAGCAATTAAGATCTCATCAATCTAACAAATAACCACACAGTCCCTAATTATAAATTCAATTTTTTAGTAAATCTTGAATGGTTTATTTTAAATTCACTGGTTTTAGTTTATTAAATGTGAGTATGTGACCTGCCCAAGCATATAAGTGAGAGAACAGAATCGTACTATTATACCGCGTGTTGGAATACTTGAGTTGGTCCAGAAGTTGCTGTAAGCCTTGCCATCCCGAGCTCTCCCAACTTTAAATTGTCATGAAAACATCAGCCCTGCACTCCTGCCCATCTTAATGCATAAGTTCCTAACTTTTTAAATCCTCTAGCATACAGGGTCTGATATGCTATTTTACTTTCTTTCTCTATATAAACATCTAACATTAACATCCAGCTTCCTATTGCTTGTGTGTTGTCAATTCAATTTGCAAACCTCAACTTCTAAGATAACACAATAATATGCTAATTAAATCCCAATTATCCAATCATTTTTAGGAAAACAAGATTGTAAGAATCCAATATTGAATATCAGAACCAACCACACAGAACAAGAGTCTTACTAAGAGTGGAGATTAGGTTCAAGGAGCGTATTTAACAGAATATGAGGGTTTTAGATGGGGGATTGGGGTCAAATGAGTGTTGAGGCTTTTCAATGGATTCTTAATGATAAGGCCTCTGCAAATGACCAGATAGTCTTATGCATAATATTCATGCCAAGTAATTTAAGGGCACTCATATGCTTTTTAAGTCATTTTCTTGACAGCTTCAAGATCCAGACCAGAGGCAGACAAGTTGGATTTTTTTTTTTTCTAAAAGAAAAATGTTAAATAGGACTAAACAATGGGTGGCTTAGTATTTGGGTTGAAGGAGGAATAAGATTTAATGAGATGGGGGATTAGGAATTATAAAGATTCTAAAAATATCGTTCAGATAAAGTTGGCTTTTCTTGTTGCATATGGTGTGGAATTGCAGGAGGTGTTGTAGAAGAGTCGACTAAGCAGAAAAAATGAATAGCTAGAGAGTAAGAACAACTCATTTTGTAACCAAATAAGAACCATGTCAATTGCCTGTTTCAGCTTCCTTTTTTTCATTTTTAATGTGAGGAATTCTTTCTTTTGATTTTCTTTTACCTCGGTTTCATAGTTGAAAGGAAGTGATGAGAGACTTTCAACCCCCTATCTCCACACCTACACAACAAATATTCTTTTTTCCACTTTCTCTACTCCTAGAATCAAGGGTTTGGATAGAAAGCATTGTTTTAGAAGTCTGTGGCCAAAGACTCTATTGCTCTGCTGTTACTTGGATGATGTAAAATCATGATATGTCTTTGGACCATCAAAATAACATTTTTGAAACCAAAAAGTGACGAGCATACTCTAATTGCATGACTTTATGTTAATACCACAAAAAAGCACCTTATAGGCAACAGTCGGGTAACGTGCAATCAGACTAAAACACACATTATGTTACTGCATCTATTATGTGAAACCAATAGAACGTATTAAAAGTTAACATATAAAAAAGAGAGAGAGAGAGAGCGAAAAGAGTACCTTAGAAACCCAAATTGGCTCCCCTAAAAGAACCAATGCCTTCACCTTTTGGGAATAAGACCAGACAACTGGTGTGCTCAACAAACTGACATTTTCCTTTATTGTATTGTTCTGGTAAGCTTACATTTGGAAATGAAGATAGTAGCCGTGTAATTAAGACTACACAACTTTAATAGCTCAGCTGACCTCTGCTTCAGCTCAGGATTACAACCACTCTGTATTACGAGAAGCAGCTTCGCAGCCAAACCCGCCTCTACAGCAATTGCAGCACATTCTTCCGGTGCAAGCTGACAAACTGCCCACAAAATTGACAATGCAAGCTGTGTACACCTCTCAGATACTTTCATCAATATCTTCACCACATTCGGGATCGTATTGGGACAATCCTTCAAAGCCACACTTCCTTCTAAAACAGTAGAAAGAACCTCTAGGATATAAAGTGCTAATTCCAAACACTCATTACTCAAACTAGGCAATAGCTCTACTAACTGTGGAATTGCCCCAATACTTACAATTGAGTTTCTAACAAACTCATGCGAACACAGATGGCTTAACAAACCAAGTCCAGCCATTACCCCATTCGGGTGTCTCTTATCTTTCACTAACCTCAACAAACCAACCAAAAGGCTTAAACTTGACACGTTTTCAGCCTCCAAATCCTTACCTTCAATCAACATTTCAATCAATCTAGTACAATTGATTTTGGTCTCAATAGAACCCTCATTTAGCGTATCTACCATTAAAGAAATCTTGGCAGGTTGCAACAAATTTGACCTGGATGTGAAATCCAGATCCAAATTCACAAGAATACCAATTGCCTCAGACCCAACAGCATGAGTAGTAAAAGGACCTAATAAAGAAGTAATCAAGGCCACACCGCCATTTTCTAGAACTGCCTTTTTCGCCGTGGCATGTTCAGCGACAACCTGTCTAAGCTCTTTTAGAGCTTGAACTCTAGCTTGACCCTTAACCTTCTTAAGAGTCTCCAAAAGCTCAATAGCCCTTCCTTGCACGTCCTCCGATCTTTTCTTCATAGCCAAATACTTTTGCGAGAACCAGCTATAAATAAGCTGCTGCAGAGTACTGTTTGGCGTTACCGTATCATCCCAAAGCTCTTGCATTGTAGTAGGGCAAGTATAGTGACCAAGAGAGAACCATTTAAGGATATTGGATCTCTCGTAAGTCTGGCCAGTGCAGAGAGTCACCGGGTCTTGCATTGGGTCCAATGAGATTGGACAAATGAAAACAGACGGCACTTCCATTGACTCGAGCTCTTCAATCATCTTCTTTAGATCCAATTTCTCGGCACCGGCCTTAGAAATCAAACCACCACAAGTGCCACCTAAAATGCCGTCTTTAACGGCGGTTTCCAGATCTAACACTTGCCCACCACTAGCCAAATCTAGCTTCATATTTACTTGTCTTCTATGGCTATGGCTATGGCCACCACACAAGAAGAAGAAGAAGAAGAAGAGATAAATGTAATGAAAAGTATCCAACGAAGATGAAAGAGAAAGATGCAATCTTTTGTATGAAATGAAATTAATGAAACGAAAAGGGTTTTGAGGAGGAGAGTAACCGGCTATAGGCTATAGCCCGTGATTGACACTTCGGCAACCGTGCACCACACGTGCAGTCATTACTTTGGTCATTCTTAATATCTGCTTGCTTATTGGATATGTTACTTTATAACCCACCTTTCTTTAAATCGGATTGGTTGGTGAATCAATTAATGACTCGGTTCACTCCTTTGAATCGTCTGATTGGGTTAATTTGTTTAAACAAATTATCAATTTCTTGTTTTTTTCTTTGTTTTGAAATAAATGTACTTATGATTCTTAAGATTTACTATACAAAATTAGAAACATTTACTGAATTATGACAAATTGTTGATCTTTTTAAAATAATAGTTGATTATTATTTAATAATAAGTATATGGTTCTAAAGTCATACCATCATAAAAGATTTACAACGACATTATTAATAGCTCAACAAATCACTTTAGGTGTAATTTAAAGTATCTATAATTAATTTACAGGTCAATATTTATTTACTCAATTAAATTGGATATTGGATCAACATAAATATTGGATTAAATAAATTATAATTATTTAAAAAATAAAAAAATTAATCGTAAAAGAAGTTTGACAAATTACAAAATATATTAAAAGCAGTATTACAAGATTAGAAATAAAATAAAAAAAACAGGGTCGAGTTTATCCGTTTATATAATATATTCATTTATCTAATGAATCCATAACACAATTTAAATTCGTGAATTTAAAGATAATTAATCTAATCGGTCTATTTTATTTTTAAATTTACTAAGTTGTGTTGAATTAGATTAAATGAGATTGTATTGAATCGAAGCATTAACAACCATTTTATAAGCAAAATTAAATAAAATTATTTTTTTATTATTATATGATTATTTTTAATCTTTTATAAGCAAATTGAAGTAACATGAGGATGCATTGGGTTGGATTAAGATACACCGATGATGGCAGCTAAATAAAATAAAGTGGAAAAGCCCGTCCCAGTAAACAAAATTAAAAAAACAAAATTGCTTCGGTTCACAGTCAAATAGTCAAAAAGCAGAAATTGAGGTTGGCAGTCGAATAATTACAGAATCAATAAACTAAACAGACAACCACAGTCACAGAACCACTTCCACGCTTGCACGAAAAATTATAAATCACCTCTATTAATTAAATAATTAATGAACTAAACAAATATTACACGGCAAGTTTATTTACATCTGAACCTTAAGGCTTAACATAAAGTTCTTGGGTTTAGGGTTTTGGGCCGGTCCAGCCTCAATAACTACATGAAATAAAAACTTATCGTTAATTCAGTTTAAATATCTGCTTAATTACCATTTAATCTCTGAGGATATAATAGTATTATTACAAGAAAATCATAACAATCCAACAGTAAGCAACCAAAAATGACAATGTCCCTTATCTCAAATGGCTAAGGTGAGTCATGGGTTCCAATCCTAAAGACTTCATTTTTACCATTTTAATATAATTAAAATTAATTGTTTTGACCCACAAGTTTCAAGTTGAGTATTTTGATCACGATAATTTTTATTAATTTAGAGTCTGTTTGATAATATTAATTATTTTAGCAGCAGTTAGTTATTATCTGCTCCACTAATATTAATTTTTTAGCTACTAAATGGTACAATTATTCGAAATAGAGGAAACTAACTCGAATACTATTGCTAGACAAGGCCTTCGATGAAAGAAAGAGCTACTTACCTTCTATCGCATAACCTGATATTTTCAATCTAGTAAAAAAAGTTATTTTCTTTCATGTTTTTAACTCTATATTGGGATAACCTCAGTCCCACACCGAACAAAAATAAGAAGAGGAACTAAAATATAATGGTTCAATCCAATCCATTAGCATGAGGTTTTTTGGGAGGTGCCCAAAAACAAATCCGTGAGGACTTGACTCAAAGCGGACAATATCATATTAATCCAGAGTTGGAGCGAGGGTATGCGCGGTCCCAACACTCTAACCCATGTGAAATATTCAAATAAAATCAATTATTAATAAATCATTCATCAAAAAATTAATAATACATTACATTCCAAATGGCATGAAATTCTCAGACTACTGAGGTCATTGCATTAGAATTAATACAAGAAATTTCTTCAATTATTTGATTAAGAGATAATTCCTCGTCAAGTATTGATGTATGAGAAACTCCACTTATTCTCATTACCTTAAGGGGTTGATTTTTCTTATCAGCCCAAAAAGACTCCAGCGCCAACAAACTGGCCATGTTGACTGTGCCATCTCCATCTCCATAAACAACATCTGGTTGCTTATTAAAACCATCTTTCCCATATACAAGAGTTTTCGGCGTCTTTACGCCGCTCCCGATTATACAAGTAATAGGAACTTCAGGCGCATTTAACCCTTCCATTAAGGGTAAAATGCGCGATTTATAAGGATAAACGCCTTCTGAGAATCCAATATCATTAAGAAATTGAGGAACTTCAAAAGCTGAATAATTAGCATTTGGAGTAATAACAAGTTTTTTACTACCAAATATACTTGGATTAGGCAAAAGCCATAAATTACTCTCTGATGTCCTTTGCTCTCCTCTTACAAGCAATGGATCAACAAGGGGCACTCCTAGTGTGTTTCCTGAAGCAAAAGTAAGCATTATTTCCACAGCGCCACCCCATGGCGCAGAAAGAGCAACAAAGTGTTTGATAAATTTTTGTCTCCAAGAAGGTGGGTTTCGGTTGAGAAGTTGAAGGACAAAAAGGCCACCTAAACTATGTGAGAGAAGCATTACAGGCTGTCCTCCATTTTGGGCGCTTGCTTTTTCTATTAAATCTTTTAAATCTTGTAAAAATTTTGAACCTACTCTGGATGGGTGACCTTCTGCAGCTAAGCCATATCGGAAATCGTAAGGAGCTCCAAATAGTGTTTTGCCATTTACATATCCAATTTGTTCGAGTGATTCCACCAGCGGCGCCATGTATGCTGATATATGCCTGAACGAAATGTAATAAAACTCATTTCTAAAGACTTCATTTTTCAAAAATAAAACAATCAGGACAAATAACAACAAGAGCTAGTTAGGCTTACTTGACGATGGGGCGAGGGTCAAGGTAGAGAAGTGACTGAGTGGAGCCAAAATTAGGGACTCTGGTTTCAATTCCAGGTGCATTGTAATAATCATCCAAATCTTTATCATAATTAAGCATCATACGATCTGCAAAGCACTTGGTGAATGGTGCTAATAGGACACTCGGGTCAAACCATAGCCTGAACCACCCCTCCTTTTGTTTCACCACCGGGTAATATCGGTTGCAAAAAAGGCTCGTCGGCTTGTACGCCCGAGTTAGTCTGGCTTCTAGCTGATTTCCTCCACTCCCTGGTACTAGAATCAGAGGGTGGAGATTGCCTGTTGCTTGACACGCGTACAACATCATAACCGTAGACAGTATTCCCAGTTCAAGCACCCGATTCTTCATTTCTTGTTTCAAGCAGAACAGTAATGGCTACTTCTAAATGGGCAATTGGTATCCAAATTTGCCAATCTGAGAATTCTGTGCAGAGAATGTGAAGTGATGGAATTGCCACGTCGTCGTGCAACTTACCCGTAATCGTTGGGCTTCTTATTGGACCACTTGTTATTATGTGATAGGACCAATATAAACAGGCTTTGACCCAAAGCAATAACCAAATTGAGGCAAGGGCGTCCAACTACCCACAATTTATGGGCCTCTTATTAGCCCACTTCTTATTGTGTCGTAGGCCCAACGACAACGTAAATACTACAGGCTTTCGCCCCAAAGCAAGAAGCAAATTTCATGAGCGTTTCAGAAGAAAATAAGAAAATTCATGAGGCTAGGTCTGAGCATAAATCAATCAAAACCAAGAAAATCTAATTGCCAGTTTGGTTTTCAAGACATCTGATTTGATTATTATTTTAATAAAAAAATTTAAAAAATCAAACCTCGTTAAGCCAATTGAAAATTGAATTAAACCGATTTGTTTTAATTCAGTTATATAATTAATTGGTTCGTTTTGATTTATATTTTAAAAAATTGAAATATTTTCAATTTTGACCAACTCCATGCGATTCATGGAACCAACTGTTTGATATACTCTTAAAAAACCTAATCGTTCTTGTTAAAGTATTTATCGGTCAAAATCCGGCCTGGCCTTCCAGTTTTTTATTTTTTATTTTCTTGGAAAACAAAGATAGAAAGGATGGAGTTTAATCCTGAATATCCTAACATACAATCGCTAACTAAAAAACTAATACAGGACAAGTCTTCTTCCCATCCTGAGATAGCTGAAATCTCCTGCAATAATAAAATTATAAAAAACTTGTACTGTGGTTAAGTAAACTTACAGCTGCCGTGGATCTTTCAATTTATATTATTATGATTACACGTCTAAATTCTTTGGATTTAAAAATAATTAAAAAATAGGAAAATCGCTGCATGTAAATCAGGTGCATATTATTATAATGGTTCGTGCAATAAGTATTTGAATTGTTTAGCTTCCATAATAAATAATTAAATATATATTTTGTCTTCTCCAATCAAACTTTGACCAATTTCTAATAATTGTATAAGTCGCCTAATATTTGGCGCTTGCGGAGTTACGCTACCCAAAATCAAATAGTTTTTTCTCTCTCTCCCTTTGGCTCATTCTTTATTAGCCACGTAGGTTCATTTTACTTTTATTTTATTTTATTAATATTAATATTAAATTTATTAATATTAACATGATTTTTTTTATTTTTGAATTACACAATAAGAATAGTCATCCTTATAGTCATTAAATTAGTAAAAAAATTATAATTAAGATATCTTAATTCTAAAATCTTTTATCCAAACACAAGCGAAAGTACTAAAAAGACCAAAACTGATTAGTAAATCAATATTATTATTTGCTCAACACATTAGAAGAAGAATAATGAATAATGATTTATTTGTTCTTATCCTGATTGTTTAATTTATTTCAGTTTGCTTTCCATACTGCTCTCACACGTTTTGCCGTCTGCTGTTGTATTATTTAGGAGTAATCATTGTTTAAGAGAAGTCATTAAATCATTTAAAAAATTGAATTAAACCATACTATTTCAATTTCATTTTACACCTAATTTATTTAATTTAGTTTTAAAATATGTACACAAATGTCTCCTCAAAACAAACGGCGTACAACTAACATTTTTATTGAATTGAATGGATAACGATTGCTAGATTATAGGAGTCTTCCTAATTGTTTACTTTTACCCAGTGGGCGCCTGTGGGTTCTTAAGTCCTTTTATTATTTTTTTATCAGCAATAAATTTCTTTTTCTTTTTCTTTTTTATTATTTATTATTAACTAGAAAAAACTTAATAAAATTAATAAATATTTATACTCGGAGCATCCAACAAGGTAGACTCCAAGTCATTGCTTTCTGTATATGTCTTATCCATGACGTGTAGTTGATATATTTTTTGATGCCTGAAGATTGTTGTGATTCATTTTTTATAACGTATATATAAATAATAAATGTAATGAATTCAATTTTAAAGTACATAAAATATATAAATAAATTTTATAATTTAAATAGTTCGATTTTTTAAAATATTAAGTTGTTAATTGTTGAAAATAAATGAACCGAAATGTCATTGTCTAATTGAATTTGATTTTGGGGATTACTTCTCACTTGAAAAACTTATTAGTCTCGCTTCTACGCTTTTCTTGACCAATTGAGAAATGACACGTGCAAGCAAGTAATTAATGGAAATAGGACCATGGTTCTTGTTGGTAATTCCGGTTTTGAAACTAAAAGGGTTACTGACTAACTAATTTTAGAATCATGCCTACCTCATTATTGTGCATTAATTAACGCAATAACGCTCATGCTGTTTTTTTTTTTTTTTTTTTTTTTTTTTTTTTTTTTGAATTGGAATATCAATCTATTATCAGTTCTTATATACATTTATCACTAGACTATATCTTGATGTGCAATATTTTCATGTTGTTAGAATACTGAGTTAGCCAAAGTCATGACTAGTAAGGTATAATTTGACTGATATGTGTTGAAACGAGAAGTTTAATATTTTTATATCTAAATGAGATTAAAAATTAAGAGTTCATTCACATGAATAGAGTAAATATCCGCTAGAAATTCAATAAAATATTTTATAATTTGATAGTCCATCCAACGCGAGTAGATATAAGGTTTTACGATTTGATAAAAGATATTTCAGTATAAAAAAAAAAAAGTCATGACATTATCGATCAACGTTTATTTTTTAATATATGGTTGATAAGTTGATTAAATTAAATGTTTATGTTGCCATCTTATTAAAAACATACGTATACATATTAAAAGAGGGCACCTAAGTTTGAATATATTCCTTCAACCAACATCTATCAATTTAATGAAAAAATTTAGACTAATTTCAGTTGATTTTAATAAAAATAACATATATTTTAAATAAATGGAAAGGTTCTTTCATCACACCAAACATGCATATGCATAGTAGTTTTAATTTTTAGTCTATGCATGTGGCCTCAACATTTTTATGATAAGATCTTTAATTGTGTAATTTATTAACAATTTCAAAACATGCAAAATTTTACGCGTAGACCTTTAAAAATAACCTACCTCCTTTTCAAAAAGTTTGGTTTGGCATAAAAAAAAAGAAGACCGATAGTAATAACAACAGTGAAATAATTTCTTAAAACAAACTCTAGTGAAATAATTATACAAAAGAATAATAATCAAATAATGATTAGCAAAAAAAATATATAGTAATCCAAAACAGCTGTTAATGTATTGATGAGATTGATTTGAGTTGAAAAAACTATGGTTCCTAAAATAAGAGGTCGGATAATCAATCATTGTGAATAGAAAAAATTATGGTAAAAAAAGTTGATCACTGTAGACTTGCTGGTGGCATGGAAACTAAAATAAACATAAAAGTGACTCAGCAAAAAAAAAAGATAGGATAAGAGCAAATTAAATTCCAAAATTCAAACCGTACGAAATTTCATAAATCACTCAATTTGTTTATTTTTATAAAGTATACTCTCTTTACACGTTGTCATTAATTATCTCATATGATAGCTTACAAGCTTTTCCAATACGGTGTGCTCTTGAAAAGTCCAAACCCAGGCACCATTCATACCTCTCCTTCATATTTGCTTCTTATACATAAGCAAATAATCTTCTAAACATCTTCTAAACCCACACCACCCCTTTTCTCAAATTGTTCGACCTTTCAAGAAACACAAAACTCCCTACTGAATAAGAACTTTGAATTCTTGCTTTTCTTTTTCTTGTTTTGTTTGTCGTCATGAGGGCTAAAGGGCACAACCAGAGCAAATTCATGAAAATCGTTACAATTCCAATAAAAGTATTGGGCAAAGCAAGGGATCTTTACGTTAACAGCATGTCTAGCTGCGCTGCTAGAACCAGTTACAGCCACTGCACATCCTTGCCAAACGGAAACTTGCTTAAGAGTTACAGTATGGGTTCATCTATGTCTAATGACAATGACGATTACAGAGAGCTTATAAGGGCAGCTTCCGTCAGAAGCCTTGGCCACAAGAACGAAATCGATATGGTATTGCAGCAAATGAAGCAGGCATCGACGAAACAACAATTGCCTAAGAGTTGCAGTGTAGGGATGGGATTTATGGGAAGGATTGATGAGGAGAAACCAGGCATGGAAGAAGAAGGCAGTGTTGACGGTTCAAAGAAGGGAACAAAAGCAGATTTGTATCCAAGAAGCAGAAGCTATGCTGTTGGTAAAACAGGTGCTGCTTTTTGATAATTTCTTTGAGATTGGGAAGGAAGTTAATTCTGTTTCCTTTTTTTTTTTTTTTTTTTTTTTTCTTTCTGTGAAAAGATAATTTAATCAAACTGCAATGTGGTTTATATTAGTTTTTATTTAGTTTCTTGTAAAATGAAGTTAATCCTACTTCCAATTGAAAGTAATAATGATTATCCACTGCTTATTTTTAGCATATCAACTGGATATAAAGATTCAGTTTTCTATGAGAACTCTGACAAAACGTTTTTAAAAGGATTTGTTTTTTTTTTAAGCCGACGGTATTCAGATCCTGTTATCAAAACCTGCTTAATCCGATATCCAGATCTCGTAGTTTTCATTAGACCTTTTCTTTTCTTTTAACTTTTGGCTTTTAACTTGTCAACCTCTTGTCATCAGCATTCAATTTGATTTTTCATTATATAGCCAAACTTGAAAATGTCTTTAATTTGTGCTGGTAAGTGACGGCTTTATCTCTTGACTTTCTGTTACAAAAATTTAGAAGTAGATTAAAGTCAAAGCAAGTAACTAAAAACATTCCTAATTTGGTAAAATTACGCAGGGCAAGGATGATGTTCGAATAAGGCTCTTCTGATAATCCTGGCATTAATGCTAAAATTTAAAATCACCTAAAAAATAGATACTTAATTTGATAAATTCCTTGTCATCAAAATATATAATTTGCACATTAAAATATGATCTAATAGTAAATATATGTATAATATGGTAATAGATTATTGTCAGGTTCAAATCTCTCTCGCTCAATACTAAAAATAAAATTATTCTTTTTAAAAAATTAAAATACTGTTGGGACCGCGTGTACCATCCAACCCCGAATTAGTATGATATTATCCACTTTGGGCCAAGCCCTCACGGATTTGTTTTTGGGCACCTCCCAAAAGGCCTCATACTAATGGGTTGGGTTTGAACCATTATATTTTGGTTCCATTTCTTTCTATCCGATGTGGACTTGAGAGGATATCAACAAAATACAACTGTTTATAAATTATTTTTTTTTCATTTTTAATTTCAGAGTCTTCTCCGAATTTATACATCTATAAGATTTTTTCATATTTTAGCTTCATTTAATAGCATTATATATATATATATATATATATCCAAAACAAAACATCCACTGGAATGACAATCCTTTTAAATGAATTCGTGAATCGAAAGAATAAGAAAATAAACAAGAGTCTTCCAGTTTATTTTAATCATGCAGTGGCCGGCGGCTATTATAAAGTATTCTTCTGATTTGATTCGGTAAATAAAATTTGAAGGAGTCGTGGCAGTCAAATTAGTGTCACTTTTTCCTCTTGTAATTAGTCGACTTAAATGTAATCAATTGTTTTCTTTAGTGTTATAATTATTTGAAGGACGAAGTGCGGACACAAAATTTTAAATGGCCGAATTTCTCCTTTAAACTCTTTTTAAATTGTCATTCGTGCTTTTTAATTTTACGAGAAACCGTTTGTATATTTTAAGTTACATTTTCTGTAGCTTTTGTACTCCTTGACATGTTATAAAAGAGCTGTGTGAACTCAAACACATATGAGAGCGTGAACCCCTTAAACTTTGTCCAGCGTGGAGAAAACGATATCATTTTACATTTTAAAATCATTCCAACTTTATCTCTCATCTTCTCTCTCAGTTGCTCTCTCTATTTTTCCCCTTCTCATTCTCTCAACATATCTATTTCTTCTTCATCTTATCTGTTTCTCTATAATCAAAATCAAACCAACATTTTCTAATAATTTTATAGTTAATGAAATCGAAACTACAAATGCAGGTTTGTATGATTTTTTTTTTTCAATTTCTATTTTTACCTATATCTTACTTTGGGTATTTGTAGTCTCTAGATTGTGTTGTTGGTATTATAGGAGATTTTTTATCTTAGATTTAGCATCGATTTCGTCAAAGAAAACTCTTTTTAATTTAAAGTTTTAAATCTGTTTGTGTCTTTGAATCTGATTTATTTTATTTTTATGTTCTTATGTTTCTTTTTTTTTTTTTTTAAATTCCATACAATAGAGTTAAAACATAATTGTATTTTGTGAGAGAAAGGGATTTCAATAAGATGGAGGCGCTGAGATTTTTTGATTTTCCTCTCAATTGCAAATTTCAGTCTCTTGCATGCAAAGAGGTGTTAATATTTTTCATTTTTCTCTTTTTTTCTTTCCTGTTATTTCTTAAACATGTGGAAATCAACTGCTTATGACACATCAATGCGAGTGTATTTCACGTAAAAACTTCAATTTGTTCAGGAGTATAGAATCTAAAAAAGACGCAATTTAAGGAATACAAGTAGTCACCTGCAAAGTTAAAAAACACAAATGACAATTTAAAAAAAAATTTAGAGAGAAAATTATGCATTCGATCAGTTTTAAATATTCATCCTTAATGTTTCCACATTACTTTGAAGGATTAAAATTGAATTTGAATCATATAAGGAATGAAAGAGAAAAAAATAATTAATTTGCTACCTTATGTATGAAATAGATCAGTATATTTTTAAATTTCGTACCATATATTTTCAGATTTAAAGTAAAATTGAATTGCCAATCAAATGTACTATAATTATCAATTAAAAGCAGAGAGTGAATATGTGCATTCGAATCCTATTTATCAAAAGAGTCCCATCGTGCAATAATAACAATAATAAGATAAAAGTGTTTAAAATTACAATTTCTCCTACCATGATTTATTTTTTCAACAATTGCAAAATTGAAAATTTCAACAGACAGGCAGACAAGTCAAATAAATATCAATAGTGCATTTTTGTCCGTTGGGGCCCATAGTTTTGAAACTAGCGGTGTGCTGGCTTAGCTAGTTTTTTTGTTTTTTTTGAAAATGGCTTAGCTAGTTAGATAAACTTATCGGGAGCAATTTCGAATATGGCAAATTTTCTCGCGATTGAGTCAGAGAAAATGAAGGAGGGAAAGAGAAAGCTTGGGAAGATTAAGTGCTGCTATCTCTTTCGTAAATTAGGTAACATTAATTATTTTATTCTAATTTTTCTTTTATTTAGGTATTTTCTCCGTTTCTTAATAGAAATTCATTTTGCCCAAGCACAATAATTAAGAAAATTATTAAAAGCCATTAATAGGGTTAAGACTTTACTGAAATGCCATTCTAGTAATGATAAACTCAATTTATTACTCAATTGAATTAAAATGATATATTTGAAAATAAAAGCATAACATTACTTCAATTTCATATGGCCGTTTAAATTGATTTTTTTTTTTTTTGGCAAAATGGACGTTTATTAAGGAATGAAGGGAGTATTTTCACCAAATTTTCTCTCTTAATTATAAATAATTAATTGAAAAATGATTAAAATTATAAATTTATCCTAATTTGTTATATATATATTTTAAAAAAATATTAAATTCATAATTTTACTATTTATAAAATCATTTTCCGTCTTTATTTTCTTCTTCAACAACCAAATATCAAGAGAATTTTTTTTTTTTAATTTTCCTCTCAGATTTTCTTTTCTCCTTAAGATGTGTCTAAAAACACTCTTAATTTTTTTGAAAAATAAAAAAGTGTGAAAATTAATGAGACGGAGTTAGTATATATTAAGGGCCTTGTAGCCCACTAAAGCAAGATGGGCTGCTCAATTGTTCAGAACACTCCATGGTCCTTCAACCCAATAAACTGGAAACGATCCATTACTAAAACACCCTCATAATCCAATAAAAATCACAAAACATGCCCTTTTGCTTCTCACAGTAAATCACAAGCGCGTTATCGTCCCGCCACGTAGTTTCCGAATCGATCACATCCAGAAACTACTACATTTATCGCTGGCAAAAATTTCAAAATCTCGGTGCTAGTTATCGGAGGACGATTGAATTGCCGAATGAGGTTGGAGAAAGGGGCGCACTTGTCAGACATTGATGACGAAGACGAGCTCGATGAAGAACCAGGAGAGGTGATCGAGTCAGCTCCACCTCTCAAGGTCGGTGAAGAGAGGGAGATTAGTAACTCTGGTATCAAAAAGAAGCTCCTCAAGCGCGGTCTAGGCTGGGAAACCCCCGAGTTCAATGATGAGGTTACCGGTACCTATATATGTGTATATATACATTTCTTATTTTGCTATATTTACTTCAATTTATTGGATGAACCATGTCTATTTACTAAAGTGATCCTCTGATTGAATGCAGTTCATTACGTGGGTACTTTGCTTGATGGGACCAAGTTCGATTCTACTCGAGACAGAGGTGAACCTATGACTCTTAAACTTGGTCAAGGTGGGTTATTCCAATATATTTGTGTATTATCCCTATGCTTTATCTGCGTTGGTTTTCTTCAGTGATTTTACTGTTTGTGGGTTGATAGGTGATGTGATTGCTGGATTGGATCATGGGATAATTAGTATGAAAAAGGGGGAATGTGCATTGTTCACTGTGCCTGCTGAATTGGGTTATGGAGTTTCGGGAAGTGATAATGTGCCGCCGAATTCTGTGGTTCTTTTTGAGGTTGAACTCATTTCTTGGATCACCGTTGTGGATGTGAGCAAAGATGGTGGAATTATCAAGAAAATTATGAAGAGGGGGACCAGGATTGAGCGTCCTGGTGACATGGATGAAGTTCATGGTACGTCAACTGCTCATTTTCTTGTGTTTTGGTTTCCTTCCTCCTAATCATTTTAAAGGTTGAATGAAATAATGTGGTGGCCTTTGGTTAGTGCAGTCAAGTATGAAGTGACACTTGCTGATGGCACTGTTGTTGGACAAACGCCTGAAGAAGGAATTGAATTTCATTTAAAAGATGGTAATATTGATCAATGGGACTCTTATGACACTCAACTGATTACATGAGCTATCAGATATGTCTTGATTATTGAATTGGACTAGTGAAAATTTTTTCCCTTTTCAGGTCATCTATGTCCAGCATTGCCCAAAGCTCTCATAACCATGCGAAGAGGAGAGAAGGTTAAATTAATTGTCCAACCTCAATGTATGTTTCTCACCATTACTAGTTAATATCTGTACATTGCTTTATAGATTTTTTGTCTTGAAAATGAATAGAAATAAATTCCTAACATCCTGTATATATATATATATATATATATATATATAGAAGTGTCATTGTCAGTTATGTTCAACATAAATTAGGGTAACGGTAAACGGATAGTGAATTGTACATATGACTCTTCATGCTGGTGGATGATTGGAGTGAGCTTTGTAGACTAATTTCCTGGTGATGTCATCTTAGTACCTTCCATGTTTTTTTAATCTCTGCTTTTTAATTATGAGGTACATATTCAATTAGTACTTTCCTGTTGTCTTACTCGAGTTGCTAGTGAAAACCACTGCTTCTGAAATCTAAATATGGTCTCTCTGTGTCTGTGTTGTTTGTTTTCTCGAAGCAAGTGCTAGGGTCTAAATTTTGCGACTAGATCTTGAGAACTTTATACAAAAACTATAAACATCATTTTTGAGTCAATGGAGTGCAGTACTGATGCTGCAGGAAGATAGATAAATAAGTTAGTGTCATATTGCCTTTTTTCTAATTTTAGCCCTTTCATCTACATGATGGCCATGAGTTCTCATTTTTTTTTTTTTTTTTTTTTTTTTTTTTTTTTTCGTTTTTTTATTTTTGATTTATGTAAACTATAAAATTGCAGATGGTTTGGAGAGGAGGATGGCATGCTAATGGTGATCCATTCAGTCCACAAAACTTTCAATACTGTGAACATGGAATCTGGAGTTGGTGTTCCTTCAAAGCCTGTTGTTGATTGTTTACTGGTGATGCCAAGGTGCTCTCAAGAAGATCTGAAGGTAAGGGGAGGGCATTTTTTTTTTTTTTTTTTTTTTTCGTTTTTTTATTTTGATTTATGTAAACTATAAAATTGCAGATGGTTTTGGAGAGGAGGGAATGGATGCTAATGGTGGCATCCATTCAGTCCCACAAAACTCAATACTGAACATGGATCTGGAGTTGGTGTCCTTCAAGCCTGTTGTTGATGTTACTGGTGATGCCAAGGTGCTCAAGAAGATCTTGAAGGAAGGGGAGGGCACCCTTGTTGCAAATGAAGGTGCCATTGTAACAAGTGAGTAGTTTGATATATGCATGATAATTTCCATCAACATCATGAGTACCAGTTGTGTAAGGATGCATAAATGGATATGAAATGATATTCACTGAAATTTTGCCTAATTAGGAATACTCGAGTAATTGACACATCATTGGTTAAAGATACTTATCCTTGGTGGGACAGGTGGATTGTGTGCCCCTTAAGTTTACTTGAAGCTCAGAGAGCTAGCATGATCCTTGTTAGCAAAATAATCTGCATGTGCACAGTTAGGTTCTTGTTAAGCTTGAAGATGTATCAGTATAAGATGCTTGTTCCCATCATGGGTTGGCTTCATGTCCAGACCTTCCTATTCAGGATGCATTAATTAAATCAACACTAACGCCAGCTGTAATGATTTGATTCCCTTCATATAACTAGAAGAAACTCTTTTAGATGATCAAGTGCCAACTTTGATCATCTAATGACATGGATTCGGTGTTTGGGGATCTCGCGAAAAGCAATGCTTTAGAAAATGTAGAGAATTGGTAGTTATAATATTAGTGTTTGGGCTGAGCAATATTTGTTTTTTGGACTCTGGATTTCTAGACTATTATCTTTTTGAATTCTTAAAACTTCTGTCACTCCATCCCCGCAGGGGCAGAGAATCCGTCGCTGTCTCAGCTATATCTATAAATAAATGATGTAAATTTGTTGTAAAATTCTTCATGCAGTTAGGTATACAGCTAGGCTACAAGAAGGAACTGTATTTGAAAAGAAAGGACTTGATGGGGAACATCCTTTGCAATTTGTTACGGATGAAGGTTAGTTTGTGGTTTTTTTTATGGTACGTGAACTGTGGTTTTCACTCGTTAGGTAAAACTTGACATTATACTATTATATTTTGCTGTATGTAGAACAAGTGATTGCTGGTTTAGATCGTGCAGCTGCAACAATGAAGAAAGGGGAGCAGGCAGTGTTGACAATACATCCGGAATATGGTTTTGGAAGCATCGAAGTAAAACGAGATCTTGCTATTGTACCCCCATCTTCGGTGTTAGTCTATGAAGTTGAAATGTTAGATTTTCTAAAGGTAGCTACAGTAACAAACACATGGTAAAACTAAAATTGCGATTTGGATTATATTTGTAAGCCAAGAAAAAAAAAAGGGGCAGTTCCATAGGTAATTTTACTCTAATTCCAAATGGTGCTAACCTGGTGATTTCTATTTTCTGAGAAGTAGGAAAAAGCACCATGGGAAATGAATAATCAGGAGAAAATTGAAGCTGCTTGTATAAAGAAAGAAGAAGGCAATCTTTTATTTAAAAGTGGGAAGTACCAAAAAGCAGGAAAGAAGTATGATAAGGTAGCTCTGATCATATTCTCATCATTATCGTTGTGACATAAACTTGACTGGGGTAGTACCTGGAGATTTCGATTTTTTCTTAACTGTTTCTCATATGCTATTAGGCTGTGGACTATGTTGTTGAAGAGGAATCCTTTGGAGACAATGAGCAAAAGCTAGTTAAGTCGTTAATTGTGTCGTGCTGGCTGAATGGGGCTGCATGTAGCCTCAAACTTGATGATTTACAGGGAGCAATCAAGTTATGTTCAAAGGTGTAGTGCTGAAAGACACGCGCTAAATATCTGAACCTTTTTTTTTTTTAACAAGTGTAACGGTACTTTAATTAATAATTGCTCTACCATGAGCATTTCATGTGCAATTCTGTAGCCTGACAAGTATGCTTCGAGGCAACATGTCATCTTATGTTCTAAATGTTGATCTCCTGTAGGTGCTGGATATTGAGTACAACAATGTAAAAGCTTTGTATAGGCGAGCACAAGCATATATACGAATTTTGGATTTGTTCTCAGCTGAAGTAGACATCAAGAAAGCTCTTGAGGTTGATCCTCAGAGCAGGTAATATAGAATGGACATCCTTTTATTAGGAATTCCTAAAACAATTTTCAATTAGCTTCATTCACTAGCATGGTTCTTTTCAGGGAGGTCAAATCACTTCAGAAGATGCTGAAACAACTTCAAGCTGAAAGCAATAAGAGAGATGCAAAGCTTTACTCTAACATGTTTGCACATATGACAAAGGAAACATCTGTGGCCACCAAGGTAAGTGACGTTCAGCTTCTGCGATCTGCTTCTAAACCATTCACTGTTGGAACAATGGAAAACCCTGTTCTTGCTTCTTGGAAATACTTTTTGTTTTCAGTAATGCTTATTTTCATCAATGTTCATTGCAACTGAATCTCTTGATATTCTGACTCCTACAGAAACTGAAAGTTGAGAAAGAAGAGGACAAAAAGAAAGAAGAGGTCATGGCAATGGAAATGGAAAATTTTACTGATGCTGCAGGTTCTGCTGGTAATAGGACGATTATTGATTCCTGTTAGAATTAATTGTAATATGTAATTGTAACCCTCACAGCCAAAATGATAAACAGACTGAAAAACAAAATAGTAATGTTATAGCATAACTCCTTGTTCACCTTTCGCACGCAGTATTAACATTATAGTGTATGTACACTAAATTTTGACTCTATACTTGGAAATCTGCAAGGAACTAATCTTTTCTTATTCTAGCTCCCTTGCATTTTTCCGTTTCCCTTGTATTACTGCATTTCTCTTTAGTTTATCTTCATACGAAAGCAAAAAGTTAAGGCAACCCATTCCATGTTTATATACTTTTTTGGTAAATTTGCTATGTATTTTTTTTTATCCTTTCAGATAATTAGGTTTGAAGGCTGAATATATAATACAACCTTTAAATTTTGAAAAAAAAAAAAAAAAATCTTATGATACTCTAAATTACAAAATTGATTTTATGGCGCTCTAAATTTTATTTTTTCTATTAATTTATACCTTCTTATGTTATTCTGGCCACAATAATTTTAAAGTATTTGATTTTTATATGTAAAATATTAATTTTATATGTGGTTAATATAATTTTTTTAAAATAATAAATTTTATATTTTTTAATCATTTAATAAATATATAACGATTTAATTTTATAAATTAAAGTGTTAAATTTTTAAATTGAAGTACTGGATGGTTAAAAGTAAAAATTAAAAGTTTTACGGTTAAATTTACGTACTCGGCCATTGTTTTCCTTTATTGGATATTTTACATGTGATTTATTATGGGCACGCTTTTTTATTCATTTTGGTGAGGACGAGGGCAAAGGCAGCTACAGACGGTCTACTTATGTCGAGCAACCAATGTAGGGTCCAGCAGGCCATAATGACCCTTCGTCTAATAAATAAAATTCTTTTTGTCGTTGTATTCATTAATTTTTTCTTTGCGCTTAGTCAATAAATTTAGCAACATTATGTTGTTTTTTATCAAAATGTCCCAGTTGAATAAATAAAATATCACAAGAAGATAATAAAATAAGCTCACGCCTCTACTCTTAACCGTACATTTTTTTCCCCAAGGTCCCGTTTCCTAATCGTCATAATCCCACCAAACCACCCCCTTCGTCAAAACTTGTCTTTCTTCCAGAATAATAGCAGAATGTCTAATAAATAAATAACGAATCTAATTGGTCGAGGAGAGAATTATTACTAATGAGTGGTGAGAAATGGCAAGAGTAGGAGTTCTGTGTGATCTCTGCATTCTTTTCCTTGTGGTATTGTTACAGTGTTGGTCACAAGTTGCAGTCTCTCACTCAAAAGTTGAGTTTCTGCCTGGGTTTAACGGTCCACTTCCTTTTGAACTTGAAACTGGGCGAGTCTTTGATCTCAATTAGAAAATGTTAAGCGGAACAAATTATATGATCAAAGTTACTTACTGGGTTGTTTTGTTTTGTTAATGGTTTTATCAGATATATCGGTGTTGGCGAATCAGAGGATGTGCAGCTTTTCTACTACTTCGTTAGATCACAAGGGAATGCAGAAAAAGACCCTCTTTTGCTTTGGCTAACAGGTGGCCCTGGCTGCTCTGCCTTGTCTGGTTTCATTTATGAAATCGGTAAGACACTCTGTTTGAATCTGTTTAGCGGTCAATTTAGTTGGTCACTTTCTTTCTTTCTCTTGTTTTTTCCACAATTTTTTTGCGAAAAAATGGAAAGAAAACGTTCTTCCATTTCCGACACTACGCAGTACTGAGTTAAACTTTAACCGCCGGCTTTGGAAGCCTTCAGATTTACATAGGTTAAATATAAAAAGAAGCAAAACGCTTTCTCCTGAATATTTAAAAAAATTTCGTTTTCCTAGCTCAAAATTTAAAATCTCTCGACAAGATAGAAAAAGATCCTGTCATCCATCTCACTTGTTCACGTACTGACTTAAACTCTTTGGTTTAAATTAAACAATTAGAACACAAATTTTCCTTTTATTGACTCCACACATAATAGTCACTTGTAGTGGTAAGCTGTTCTAACAATTATTGATGAGCTGATTTTATTTTATAATATATTATATATAAATTATATTATCAGCTATTGATAATTACTACCAAACAATTTTTTTTTCCAATTTAATTTTTATAATCACTTTATTTATACTCTTTCAAAATAATAAACAAATATTAAAACATTAATTGTAGTATGTGAATATGTGAAAGGACTACCGTTGTAGTGATAGTTTTTTGTATATTGATTTCATTAAATTACGTTCTATCACCGATAACATTAGATTTTTACTTCTTGTTTTCATACACCAAATTAACCAACCTTCTCTATTCGAGCATTGGCATTTCATTTACTACTGTCTCAGCCGATGGCCCGCAGTTTGCCAACCCGGTATCTGGTAAAGCAAACGACAGCTCGTTTATCCCTTCGAACTTTACCCCTAAACGACCATATTTTTCACGAGCTACTGGCCCATGTGATATTAACTTAATGAATTAGATAAATTTTGTTAATTAAATTGATATGTTTAAATACCTTCAGGTCCTCTATATTTTGAGGTAGTGGAGTACAATGGGAGCTTACCTACACTGTTCTTGAATCCAAACTCATGGACGAAGGTGATGCATTGTTCTTTTCTAGTTTTTAAACAATTTACATTTGAAATAACACGTGTATTCCCCTGATTAATCTGTTAAACTTAAATCTTAGGTGGCTAGCATAATATTTATAGATTCACCTGTTGGCACTGGATTCTCTTATCCAAGAACCCCACTTGCTTCTGTGTCAGGTGACTTCATACAAATTAATCAAACAGAACAGTTTCTTAGAAAGGTAATGTCACCATTTTTGTCTTCAAGATTGCAAATCAGTATCCATTTGATATTATTATTAATTTGGTTAATGCAGTGGCTAAATGACCATCCAGAGTTCCTTTCAAATCCTGTCTACGTTGGTGGGGATTCGTATTCTGGCATTCCTCTTCCAGGCGTAGTTCAAAAAATCTCAATTGGTATGTTAACTAAGGGAGGGGACTAAAATATTTTTACCTTTTGAATTGCCATTGCCAAGTACAAAGTTACATGTACTTCATTTGTTTCAGATTTATTCCTTAAAAAGTATTGGAAATTATCGCTTGTTTGGTTGTTCTAATGATTGAGGGTGGTGATGCAGGAAATGAAGAGGGCAGGAAACCTTTCATAAATCTAAAGGTCTGCAATTAAAATTTCATTTGATTCAATTTAATGTATATGGTGCATACTTTGGGAATTTAATTTTCTTACAATATAAGGTTTTTGTTTTCTGCATGTACAACTCCTCTCACTTAGTGCATTATTTTCATGTGTATCAATTGTATTAAAAAGAATTATATGTTTTAGGGGTACCTACTTGGGAATGCTGGTACAGACTTCTCTTTCGATGGGAACTCTCAGGTTCCATTTGCTCATGGCATGGGACTTATTTCTGACGAGCTCTATGAGGTTGTGTACTTATTTCATTACTAAAAATAGCAGAAAAGAAAGAAAATTTCGTTCCTTTAATCTAACTTACCTACAACTTGTTCTAGTCATTGAAGCGAACCTGTGGAGGAGAATATACATTTATAAGCCCCAGCAATGCAGAGTGTTTGAAGCATATGCAGGAGTTCACTAATGTACTTTCGTGAATCCATTCTTATTTTTGTTGCTTTTATCATTAGGTTTCTGTTTGATGTAAGTTGATGGATATTTCTATTCTTGCGTTACCCTTTCGCAGTGTACTTCAGGACTTGATGGTGCACATATCTTGGAACCCCTTTGTGCTTTTGTTTCCCCAAAGCCAATAGAGATATCATTTCGTGAAAGAAGATCTCTCATTGACAGTAACTCCAGAGAGTTTGTAGATTCTGATCCATTTCTTCCTACAATTGGCTGTAGGGTAATTAATTCCTTTTTAATTTACTTGGTGCACATTTTTCTTCCCTTATATATATATATATATATATCTTTTAACATCTCTCTCTCTCTGTTTTTTTTTTTTTTTTGTAATTAATTCCTTTTTAATTTACTTGGTGCACATTTTTCTTCCCTGCTATATATATATATATATATATCTTTAACATCTCTCTCTCTTGTATTGTTTTTTTTTTTTTTTTTACGTTACGCTTGTAGACTTATGGATATCTGCTTTCCATATACTGGGCCAATGACAATAGCGTAAGGAAAGCACTTCATATAAGAGAGGTACATAATTAAGATTAAGGGTTTATTAACTAAAATTATAAAATTTGTAAACTTGGAGATGTTTTTCTTTTTCCTATTCAGAAATGCAATTTGGTTACTTAGTTTATGGAATTTGGTGCAGGGAACTGTAGGGGAATGGATAAGATGCAATTATGGGATAAATTATAGAAGAGAAATTAGCAGCACCATTAAGCATCATTTATACCTATCAAACAAAGGTTATCGCTCCTTAATTTACAGGTTAAAATTGGATACTCTATTCAGTAAACTTCTTTTTTCCCTGAAAATTGAAAAAATATTTTATTTTTCGATTTTTATTCAAAATAGTGGCGATCATGACATGCTTGTATCATTTGTGGGAACTCAAGCATGGATAAGATCTCTCAACTTCTCCATCGTTGATGATTGGCGACCTTGGCACCTCGAAGGCCAAGTTGCAGGGTATGTATACTCTCTCAAAATTAATAAATATTTCTTAATCTATTAAGAAATAAGAAAATAAATGAGAGTTTTGGATGTGTAGGTACACAAGGAGTTACTCTAATAAGATGACATATGCAACTATAAAGGTAAATAGAAAATGTATTAGCAAGAGTACATAACTCTTATAATATTGCTAATCTGAACTACTAATATTTATGCTTGGGATAACATGTTTGTAGGGTGGAGGGCACACTGCTCCTGAATATAAGCCCGAAGAGTGTTTTGCAATGTTTAAGAGGTGGACAAGTCAAGAGCCACTCTAAGTCTACAACTAGCCTGAGAAAGTGCTCATGTTACCCATCTCCATATATGATTTGCCAAACATATAATTATTATTATTTTTTTTTTTTTTAAATTCCCATAAAAATCCTTTTACATTTTTGGGTGAAAATAATCTCGATTAGTGATTCGTGGTTGTCCCTCTTCGTCAATATTTTTTTCACCGTGATAAACTTATTTGTATGTATTTTGCCAATAGAAGAATTTCTCTATTTCTATTCACGTGATCTGAAAAAAAGGAGAGGAAGAAAAATAATAGAGAAAATGAGGTATTGAGAAATTTTTTTTATGGAAATGAGGAATTGTTGACTAATATAATGATAGAAAGAAAATAAATTTATTTTTCTTTATTTGAAAATGGTAAAATATTAGAGTATAGAAAATCTTATTATTGAAAATTGATAATTATATTTTTTTAAGTAGAGCACCGAGAAAGGATTAAAATTTATTAATTAATTTAGAGTATTTGGATAATTTAATAAAAATGAGTGAATATTGTCACTTTCCTCCATTATTACAGAGATTTAAAACATCTGAGTGGGGATGGAAAATAATATTACATCATTTAATATTTTCCTCCTCTTTGCAAACGAGGAAATCCAGTAAAAAAAAAAAAAAACATTTTCCTAAATATTTTCCATAGTTAAAAAATCTCTCATCCATCCAAACGGTAACGGCATACCACTTGAGGATACGGGATTTTGCCAGTGACACGCGGTCGCCGGTCACTGAACAACCATAACTCAACTACACCGACGATTCATTCCAGCACATACAGAACGATATCGTGTTTTTCCGTTTTCTTGGAAGCTGCAAGTAATTATCAATGGCTTTCTCTTCCCCTTTTCATATTTCCCAGCAAGTAATTATGTTCAAAAGATGGATTCATCAGTCGACAAAAGCCGATTAAAGTGTGTATAAATTTTCAATTCCAAGTTCATCCCTTAACACTAGCAGGGGAATTTCAAGTTTTATCATTGATTAATCTAAAATGACAACATCTTCTTGTTCTTTTTGCTAAGGACGAGGCAGGCCAGCAATAATGTGACAAGTGATTGTTTGAAAGCTCATTGTTTACGTGCCAAATTATATAGCTCTCACTGCCATATACAGCATGTTTCCAAAAAGAAAATCTCAGCACTCTGACAGCACCACTTTTGGAAATTAATTAATCGTTAATTATCTTAAATATTCGATTACTGTCTCTCTGTTGATGTTTTATGTTGTTTTTGTAAAGGCTTAAGGCAAAGCAGCAAAAAATATTACATGGCCAACAGTATTTTGTAAAGAAAATAGTCAATAAATAAAAATTGAAAGGTTTGTCATTATATAAACAAATAAATATTACATGGCCAACAGTATTTTGTAAAGAAAATAGTCAATAAATAAAAATTGAAAGGTTTGTCATTATATAAACAAATATTTGTTAGAAAAATAAGTTCAAATAAATAAGAAAATTGAAAGGTTTTGTCATTATATAAATCAAATATAATTTGCGTCTTAGATGTTCCGTCATTATATACACCTATTTGTCATCTGGCTATAGAAAAAGTTTTTCCACAGCCACAGAATACAAAAAAAAAAAAAAAAAAAAAAAACAAAATTTCCAGAAGCAATGGACAATAAAAGCGTACGTTCTCCCTCTCCTATCATTCCAATTGGGTTATTTTAGACTTAACAGAGTCTATATACTTGAACTTTCAACTCGCCACTTGCCATCCCGTTTTATCTAAAAATAATCTTCTGTGTTTTTTTGTTACAGTTTATTAAATTGAGAATTATCAATGGGGGATATTAAAAGTGCTTTTGCAGTGTTTTTGGCCGTGAATAGTTTTTGCAGGTTGGGTCAGGGCTTGCCGCGGCTCTTACTCAACAGTTGAGTATCTCCAGGTTTGAGGGTGAACTTGCCTTTTCAAACTTGAAAACTGGGTTCAGTTAATTTCTTAATTCTCCATTTTAGTTCTATGTAATCTGTAAAGTAATTAGTTTTGATGTGTGTGAATAAATTGTTGGCACCTATGACTCAGATATGTTGGAGTGGATGAAGCAGGAGGAAGTGCAGCTTTTTTACTATTTTTATCAAGTTCAGAAGGGGAA